ATGGGCATCTACGACCTTAAGAAAGGCAATGGAAACGGCGTGAACCTTGATAATGAATTGTACGGCATGGCCGAGCTTGCCAAGCAGTACGTGCAGGTGCGCTTACCCTTTGGCGGAAGCCGTAGATAGGTAGGACACACAGAAAGAATCTAACCGCTCGCGTTAATCGCCAAGAAAAACATTTCATAAGGACAAGGATTTCAGATTGCTAGATCGATGATTTGGGCTCGGGTTGGGTTACAAATGGCGTTGGGAGCGTTCCCTGGATTTATTGCCCAGTGCTAGTCAGTCCGGTTCTAGTCTACTCCAGCTGGTAAGAGGAATTGTCCTCTGGTTACGTGGACAGCCCGAGAGGGCACCGAAGAGGGTGCTTGAGGGCGGGTCGGTTGGACACCTAACCACACGTCACTGGACGGTTTCGGGAGCCCGGCAGCACGGACAGGGGCCGCAGGTGTACGTGTACATCTGCTATAACAGCCCACTGGGGATGGCGTCCCTGGCCCTGTCACCGCTAATCCCCTTAACCCCCGCCGGGTTTTATGGTCCTAAAGTGAACTTCATTATTTTACTGTTATTTGCTAACCGCGTTCTTTGTAATGGTAAAGGTAGTGTCGAGATCACCAGGTGGATATGGGTCCGCGAGCCTATCGATACACAACCGAGATCCACCCTGGTCCGACGACCCCGCATTCCGCCGATGGTACTGCCGCCCGCTGCCCGCTTCTGCAAACGCAGAGGAACCAGCCTGCGCTGTTCAGTCGTTGGTCGAGCTTCCGCCGGAAGATCTTCTTCTTCCCCTTCAACTGGTTCACCGGCTACGCCCCGTTTGCAGGCCTGGTGCGTGTCTTGCTACATAGCGTACGATTCCCCTCACACCCGCCCACTGTCGCCACAACTAGCAGATATTTAGTTAAGACAGGGATGCCTTTTATGAAGCATTACTTCAGAACTAGGACTCCCAAATGTGTTCGTAATGCGCGCCCGCATCTCCTCGCGCATTGGCTTATTAAACCGCTTGCTGAATGAGCTAGGAGTGTGTACGGCATTCGTTAGCTAATAATCGCGTGGGGCCTGCTGCTAGCATGTAGGCAGGGGCCCGTACGTAGACATAAATGTTTGCTCATCCAGCGGGAGGACATTATTATCCACAAAGCCACGTCAGCCGACAACAGCATCACCAACACGGTCCAGCAACGCCGTCATCGTCATGTTCGTTATGCTAACGAACGTGCACCATCCATGCGCCTAGCCGGGCCGTGTGCGTGTTGCGTGCTTGCAACCCTGCATGCACGCATCAGCCCCAGGCAACTCCGAGCCAGAAGCAACAGATCTGCAGTATTGATTCCATCGTTTGTTCAATGTGTTTCCACTGCTGTGACGCATCCATGAGGAAGTGTTCAATGTGCATGTGGTATCATTGCCGGATGCACCTACCTAGTGGATCTGCACCTCCGCCCCTCCCATCATACCTGGCCTGCACACATGGCGTTTGTAGTCATTTCATTCCAGCGTCATAACGGATTCCGTCATGGCCACGAAGATGTGAAACGTGTACGTGTGCATGCAGGCGATGATGGGTTGCGCTCAGGGCTTTGACTGCTACACCTGGATGAACAACGGCCTGTTGGATAAGGGGATTGAAATGCCGGTCGCCTTCCAGGAACTGGGTAAGGGGAGAGCACAAACATTTGCAGCCTGCCTGGATGACCCCTACCCGTCCTTGTGTGCATGTATGAGGCTGCCAAGCATCATAAGGAATTACACCATAATCAGGCCTATCATCGTCGTTAGCGTGCCACCATGCATCGAACCCCCTTGCCGTCCTCTGTCGCCAGCTGCAAATGGATAGCCGTTATACGCCATGTCCATTACAGCCATGTGTTGTTGGGATAAAGCATGTTACACGTGGGAATGTGTGCACCCATGTGCGCAGGACACAACATCGGGCTGGCGCACTCAGCACGTTGGGTGTGTGAGAGCAACGGAAAATGCTTCCGGGACGAGTACGGCGATCCTTCTGACCCCATGGGCTTCATCTGGGTGACCAGCATGCAGCAGCAGCTCACGTGCACCAATGCACCTCAGGTAGGTTGCTGATGCGCCGCGGGGACCAGCGGGAGGGGGTGGGGGACTAAGAGGGCGCAGACCTACCTCACCGTCCATGGTAGATAGGTCGCGCTGCATGTCTGCTAGGTGGGCCTCGATTGATGATTTCTTTTGGTGCACTTTCGTATGCGCACGTGTACTGATTGTTGACTTCGCGAGGATCACAGGTACATAGGGACGAGCAATAGCCGTATAGCCTAGATGGCAGGCAAGCAAGCAGCCTTCTGCCGCAAGGAAAACGTGGTGCCCCGTCTGGCAAGCACACGTGTATCACGATCACGTAGTGGAAAGCAAATGTTTATTGTATATGCGCTACCACCTGCCGGACCTGGCACCTTCTCTAAGGGCAGAGATTATTGATGTGGGATGCGTGCATGCGTGGCTCTATCTGTATCTATAGCTTTGCAAGGCGACCCCATGAAGGGGCTCGGCCACGCAGCCCCTGCTGCCTGCTATTGCATTTCGTGCCTGCCTAGCCTGCAAGGCCACATGAAGCTGCAGTCTTTGCAGTTAATCCCATGTCGTGCACGACATGAGAGAACGACGAGCATGACTAACGAAGAAGACTAACAACAAGGCCAACGAACAGAAATGACACGTGGCGGGTCGACCCAAATCGTAATGGCTATATAAGCCTGCCTTGCTTGATCTGGGTGCCTTGCTCAGGCGATTGTTCAAGACCTCGCCCAAAAAATCTATATCCCATATGCGCATGCAGGCCTACAAGGCCGGCTGGTCAAAGCCCATCGATAATGGCCAGTTCAGCGTATTCGTGGACCTCAAGCCCGGCATTCCCCGTGACTTCACACTACCGGCCATGGCCCTCAATCCAAGCAACATGCTGCGGATAGTCACCAATAACCCAGCGCCCAGCACCCCCACTCGCGCACTGTTTGTATCGTACAGGTATGTCGTACAGGGGCTATGGCCTGTTGTACATGCACGATGTCTATCAGCTATATGACGCAGTGCCGAAGTGCCGTTATCGTGCCATTCCGAGAAGAGGTAGGATCATCGAGGGTTGCGTCCGCTTCCTGAACGAGTGGGCATGCATCTCGAGCCTCATAAACCTCTCCCGCATTCTCATACGTAACCCACCGTCCTTAATATTACATTGAATTGAAAGCAAGGCAGTAGCATGCACATGCATATCCGTTAGTCAATCAAGCGATCTAAAAGATGCTGCTCATTTTCGTTTGCTCTCTCCATCTTCTAGCACGTATGCCTATGTGGATGATGTGTATGCATATGCCCGGATGGGCTGCGTATGTGTATGTGTATGTATGTGTCTATGTGTATGTCTTTATTTGTTTCCCCAGCCACACCCTTATGTGACCACACGCCTTGCCGTCCTGACATGCAGGGTCCGCCAAAACATACCAGGTGCATACGACTCAGGCCTGGCGGCCGACTGGAATAACCGAGTATGGTAAGCTAGGTTTACGTCATCTGTATGTGCTAGCTTAATGCTGAGCATCAGGCGTATTGTTAGTGGGAAAATCGCTAGATGGGCGATGAACGCTCTTCTCCACAGCCGCACGAAAGTGACCACTAAGAGAGCACACCAAGCGCCGGCCAAACCCCAGCGGGGAGTGCTTAGTGGTTTTGGTTATCTAGGGCCGCTCCTGTCCTGGTCAAGCCGAGTCACATAAAGGCGGTCATTCCCTGAAGCCGATGCTGCACCAGCACCAGCAACAGCAACAGCAAAAGCAACAAAGCCGCGGCGTGTCACATTTGTCCCGCTGGTCGGCAAGTGCCTTACGTAATTGCTTGGGGTGGTCTTGGACGTTGCTTCAGTTCCGCTGGTCACACATAACACCATCAGCAGCAGTACGACTCGCCGCAGATGCTGCTCCCTAGGGGTGTGTGCTGACAGGTCTCCACACGCACACGCGCGCTTAGTGACTGAGCACCCGTCACTTTTAGTTACCAGAGCAACGAACACTTCCAACCGACTATGCATGTGACAACGCACGTGCCGCCCGCGTGCACCCCAGGATTCACGAGTTCAACGAGACCGCCAACGGTATCCCAACGAACTGGAGGACCCCCCCAATCGTCCTGGCAGCGCTCACAGACGACCGGCAACCACCTACGATCGGAAACTGGGGGACGCTGAAGCGCTCCTTCTCTCAGGTGCTGTCGGGCACGACCGGTGTCGCCATCACGTTGAAAACCAAGACGTCTTACGCGGCCGTCGTGACGGTGTGCCGCTTCGTGAATCTGACCGAGACGGGCCCTCAGATCTGTTCTGACGGCATCGACAATGACTGGTGCGTCTGCATAAGGGGCCGGCCGTGTGAGGGGGTGCATGAGGCTGGGTAGGTATCTGGCCTGTGCATGCGCACGTTCGCGTGTGTATCCATCCACCCATCGGTCTAATTCACACTTGCCGGGATCCAACCACAAACAAAGAGGTCATTCTGTGCTGCGGTGTAAGCATAGGTTTTTTCCGTTTCAGTGGGAGGGGCGGGTAACCCGCGGCTGCAGTAAGGCGCATCTGGCTGCACCTTGCTCCAATGGGGCGTCTCGCATCGCCCACAACAGCCACTGCCTACAGTCTCTTTCCTTTCCTTCTCTCCACCTTCCGGGCAACTGAGTCTAGCGGTGTACAGCAATCTCCACATCTGATACATCCTGGCGATCGATCTTCTGTCTCGGCTGCATGTCTGCTTCTCAGCCCTCCAAGCCCGGTACTCGTGTGTGTGTGCTGGTGCTCGTCCCTCGTCCTTAAAGGTTAAGTCGTATATCGTCTATATGTACAGTACCCTACAGACCTGAAAACACAACAAAGACTTATGGGGCTGCTAACCCTACATCATGTGTCTATCGCTTGCCTTGCTCCGCAGCGATGGACTTGTGGACACGGAGGACCCGGACTGCATGCCCTCCTCCTATTCGGTGACCCCGCCAATACAGCGCGCACAAGTGCCGCTGCCGCCGCTGCGGCCGCCACCGCCACCACCGCCGCGCTCGTCCCCGCCACCTCCGCCGCCACGCTCGCCGCCGCTACTGCCGCCAACCTTGCCACCGCCACCACCGCCACGGCAGGGAAAGCAATCACCCCGGCCATCTCCACCAGGTCAGCCGCCCCCACCAGCCAGCTCAACCCCGACCAAGAAACATTCTCCCCAGCCCTCTAAGCCCTCCCAGCCATCTCCGCGGCGGCCGCTGATCCCCCGCTCCCCGCCGCCACCACCGCTTCCACCCCGCCCGTCGCGTTCGACCAGGTCACCACCCCCACCAAAGCTGCAGAGGGCGCCCCTGCTGCGGAGTCCGCCTTCGCCGCGGCCCCCGCCCCACATGCCTCGGCAGCCGGCAACGCCTCGCCCCCCACGGCCACCCCGGGGACCTAGCCTGCCGCGTCCACCGCGTCCGCCACCTCGACAGCCAGCTGCCCGACCACCACCTCGTTCACCCGGGAGTGCAGCTATGCGCTAGTCACACGCACGCACGCAGGACGTGTACCGTGTATCTCGAGCATCCGGATGTGTGACGTCATGCGAGTGTATGCCGCGTGACAGCTTTCATAAGTCGCTTGACGCGGAGGGATGTCTAGAGAACTTTGTGCGTCTGTCGGTCTATATGTATATATAAGATTGTATGTTATGTCTTTACGTACGTTATGTCTATACGTATGTTCTGTCTGTACGTATGTTCTGTCTGTACGTATGTACCTTAGCTACGTAAGTACGTTCTGCTAACGCGGCATCTACGGCACCGCGTGTTCCTACCGTGGTGCAACTGCCGGCTTTGCTTGCTGCGGGGAATGGTACTCGCGCGCGCCTGTAGCCCCTATAGTTACAAGTTACAAGATCCGCACACAAGTGCGGGTGTGTCCGTAAAAGCCGGGGGGCCCATGGACGTTGTATTGGTATTGATGCGGGTACGCGGGAGGTCATCTTCATTCTCCCTCGTCCGCTTCAGGGCGAAGCGCCGCAGCGCGACGTGCCTGGCCTCCCAAATTTCCCGCGCAGGGAAATCTGGCCAGCAGTATGTGACAATGGCCAATATCGCCAAAAGCAGCCCTAGACTTGCGAACCACCTGCTAAAGCCAGAGGGAAAGGTGGAAGACACGTGCGCGGTTGCGTCCCCAATGCATGCAAAGGTGCGTCGAAATGCAGGCGTGGGGTCCTTGAATGCGGGAATGTGTGTATGTGCACACGTATTACCCTTGCTGCATTTCTATGAAAACAGGCAGCAAGTATCATCGCATGTGATGCGACGCAATATGCACATACACACCATTAAAACACGTTGCAACGAACGGAACGCACGCATCGCGGCTGTACTGCCCAGGAAAGCTTGCGCGCGCAACTACGAAGCAGCAATTTTATCCCGGGCTTTGTGGTGTCGCACCCGATCAAGTTGTGTTTATTTTTTCCGGATGGATGATGACCTACTATGTGGTGTATGGCGTGTTTCGATGTGGTGTGATGGCGAGAGGGCGGACGTACAGCCGACCTCGGGCGCCAACATGTGTCTCGCTGCTCACATTTTTGTTGAATGCACACGTGCATGCGAGCATGCATGAGACGGAGGCATGACTACGGAGGTTTGTAGATAGGTCTGTTGGGCTCGCTCCCAGAGGAGACCTTCAAGTTTAAACCACCTTCATGTTTCTTCGTCATCATGAGCCTAGCGGCAGCGCGTTAAGTGAGAAGAAGTCACTCGCCGCCGGTTGTGACGACTCTTGTCGCACTCGCTCTATGGCTGCGGGTTGCGTCTGCTCTGTCATCCAGAAAAGAAATAGCTGTTGGGGGCGCGTGCGCAGTTCATTCTGCCCCACGGAATGAACTCCACGTAGCCTAGCCTCCTAATCCTCCACGTTCTCCACTCGTGCGACAACAAAACACCAGAAAAGGCAACCAGTTAGGTGCCGCAGCCGATATGCCATACACTCCGCCTGGGCTGATGAGCCAGCAGGCGGTTGCAGCGCGCGGTAGGTCCGATCTAGAGACCCAGGACACGGCTCCATCAGTCAGCTATGAAATACGATGAAACCCACCGATTTCGATGGAACGTACAGACCCGATACCCAAGAAATCTCAAATCAAACCTGCGCCCTACAGCATACAGGAGTCGGCCATTGCAACCCACATCATAAGCGTCAACAGAGCACGGCCCAATGAAACTATGGCAGACACGTGTGTTGTGGTACCGCGTACGAACGCGAGTAACCACGTCCAAGAAGGACTCGGCCAAGACGGCTATCAGAAACTAACCGATCGTGAACGATGAAGGGACTTCGGCCTGTCCGAGTTTGACAGACCAACGGTTGATAACCGGTCCGCTTGACAGCAATACAGGGCTGAGCCCTATTTAAGGCGGCTTGAAGCCGACCTGAACCACGACCTCTCAACTCTGGATTTCACTACAATCTTCACCTACATTTAGCTACCCGTCTACTTCATCGGCGCCAGTCAACGTCGCCTCTACCCCGCTGGATCCGCCAAGGGTAGATACCACTACAAGTGGTATCGAGACCCGAGGCCCCCCGCGCAGTCCTTGGAGCCACCCCCTGGGATACATCAGCCTAGCGGCGCTTCAGGCTCGCGCTCCGGGCATCTTGGAGCTGCAGTACGGGACCTTTCGCAGGCCTGACGGTGCGCGCCTTCCTGCATGGACGCGTTTGCACGAATTCTCCGACGTTTCGGTCGCCTGCGAATCTCCAGTAGGTACTGAGAGTCCCCAGTAGGGCTGCGTAGTAACGCCAACGCAGTTCCCCGCAAACTAGCAGCTAACCGTTCCAAGGGTTAATCGCTTCCGCGCCTCTCGATACCCGTGGTGGACTTGCCTGTTTACCCGGAAGTCCTTTGTTTTCCCCCTCAGTGAGCGACGAGTCGCACACGGCCTCGTCAGGTCTCACGGACTCGGATACCAACTCTGGTGAGAGTGGGAAGCGCGTGACTTGTCGGCCACGCTAGAGTTACCCTGATGGCGCAACCTCCACCGTTAGGCAACGCACCGCCGGGTTGGCAAAACATGCTGATGCAGTACGCAGCGGGCGCGCCTCCTGCCCCAGGCCTCAATGCGCCCCTTGCTATGCCTCTCGCTGGTGCGGGATACCTTCCTCCAGCTCCGCCTCTCTTTGTAGGAGCTCAACCACCCGCCGGTGGCGCAGCTAATGCTGCTGGGGCTGCTGCCCCTATGCTCGGGGCAGGAGCCCCACCCGCAGCTGCCGCTGCCCCGGCCGGGGCTGGCGTTGCGGCCGCAGCACCACCGCCGGCACCAGCAGCCGCAGCTGCCCCGGCAGGGGCTGGGGGCGCTGCTCCGCCCCAGCCACCAGCGGCCGCAGCCGGTCCCATGATGCTGCCGGCGGCAGCTGGCCCTGCACTGGCTGCTGTCGCAGCCGCACCACCCATGGACCCGGCGCAACAGCAGGCAAACATGCTCGCGTTCCTGCAGTTCTGCGCGGCCGTCGTAGCCCAGCAGCAGGCCGCAGGCGCACCTGCGGCAGCGGGTCAACCCGCGGCGCAGCCTGCGGGCGCGCCGCCGGGGGGGCAACCCGCCCCCGCTCCGCCGATCGCACCGCCTGCAGTACCCGCCGTCGCGGCACCCGGCCCAGTACCCGCCGTCGCGGCACCCGGCCCAGTACCCGCCGTCGCGGCACCCGGCCCAGTACCCGCCGTCGCGGCACCCGGCCCAGTACCCGCCGTCGCGGCACCCGGCCCAGTACCCGCCGTCGCGGCACCCGGCCCAGTACCCGCCGTCGCGGCACCCGGCCCAGTACCCGCCGTCGCGGCACCCGGCCCAGTACCCGCCGTCGCGGCACCCGGCCCAGTACCCGCCGTCGCGGCACCCGGCCCAGTACCCGCCGTCGCGGCACCCGGCCCAGTACCCGCCGTCGCGGCACCCGGCCCAGTACCCGCCGTCGCGGCACCCGGCCCAGTACCCGCCGTCGCGGCACCCGGCCCAGTACCCGCCGTCGCGGCACCCGGCCCAGTACCCGCCGTCGCGGCACCCGGCCCAGTACCCGCCGTCGCGGCACCCGGCCCAGTACCCGCCGTCGCGGCACCCGGCCCAGTACCCATGGCGGTGGACGCCATTCCCGGTGGAGCGGCTGGAGCACCCGTCGACCCAGCGGTCAGTGGTTTCCGACCAATGATACCGGTACCAAAACTACACGTTGCTGTAGGAAAGCCAGTTGACGCGGAACGTGTTCATGCGTTTATTGCTGACGCACGCATTTACTTCGCAGTCGCTGGCTGGGTGAACAATCCGAACTTGCAAAAGCTGTTCCTTAGCGGAGCTTTGGAAGCGGAAGCTAAGACATGGCATGTCGTCTGGACACGTGCGAACCCCAACTACACAGTAGAGGGGTTGTTCTTGGCATTGCTTGCTCGCTTTGCCCCGGAGGTACAGTCCCGTGCGGACCTAGCGCAACAGCAATTGTCCAGCGGGCAATTCAAGCAAGGCCCCAACGAGGCGGTAGCTACGTTTGCGAGCCGATACCAGTCCTTGGTTCAGGACCTGCCCGATATGCCCGAAAGCACAAAATGTTTCCACTTCCGCATGGCATTGTTACCCGCGTTGCGCAAGGCAGTTGCTTGCAACCCGGTAACCTTTGAGCCGCATACGACTTATGCTCAGCTCCTTGCTCATGCACTTGGCGCGGAGCGCCAGCAGCTGCTCGAGAACGCATCCGGGCGGAATGCCGTAAAGTCTAACGCAGCTATCCCCGTTCCTGCCAACCAGGAGCCAGAGGCTCCACCCATGAACTACGCCGCCGCGGTTGGACGCGGTCGGGGCGGGTACGCTCCGAACGCTGGCCATGGCGCAGGCGGCGCCGGCCGCGGTGCGGGTCCAAGCGGGCGGGGCTCCGGGCCCCCGCCGAACCGAGGCGGACGTGGTCACAACCCCGCCGGCCGCGGAGGTGGACGCACCGGATGGCAGCCCCTCTTTCTCGTCAAGTAACTGACCTGATGCAAAAGGGGATGATTCGCCCTAGCGTATCTCCATGGGCAGCTCCGATCCTCTTCGTGGGAAAGAAGGACGGAACGTTACGCATGGTGGTGGATTATCGAGGGCTGAACGCACAAACACACGTGCACACGAATGTCCTGTCATTAATGATCGTCGGTTGCCTCTGTTGTTCTATGCAGACGACCTTACTTTGTTCGCGACCTCGTTGGCACGCCTCCAGTTCTCGCTTAAGCTGCTTATTGAGTTCTGTGCTGCTTTTGGTATGCGCTGCAACGTTCGGAAATGTGAGGCCCTTGTTGTGGCTGCTTCCGTTGATGTCGTTAAGAGGGCGTTTGAGGGGGTGAGGCTCATGCTTCCTCTCCGTACTGATGGGTCGCTTTGGCACCCACCCATGGTTGGTAGTTTACTTGTTCCTAGTCCTATTAACTGGTGTGGTCGCGTTAGGTACTTGGGTCTCTATTGGGGCCCTGCGTCCCCGTTTGCGAGTTGTGTCAACGAACTTTTGGAAGCAGGGCGACGGGCTATGTTCGGCCTTAGTAATCGGTTGGATGAGAACAGGGTGTGGGCTCCTGCCGTTCGGCTTCAAGCGTTCGACACCCAGGTCCGTTCGGTTCTCTGTTATGGTGCTGAGGTCTGGGGTCCTGATAGGATTGTCTCCGTCCTGCGGTTAGGTAAAGGTGTTTTACCCGCTGGTAAGTCATATTTTGATTTGGCTTTGGAAGATGGTATGGTCCAGGTCCAGCGTGACTTCTGTTTACGTTGTGCTGGGCTCAAGCAGGTACCTTACAAGCTGTTGTACAGGGAGCTGTCTCAGTTGCCTTTGCAGTACTTTTGGTTACGCCTTGCGTTGTGTTTCTGGAATAAGATAGTCAAGTCCCGTGGGTCGGTCTATCACGACGTGTTAGTAGATGATCTCCGTCTGGCTCTTCTGTCTGATCTCAAAGTGGATTGCTGGTCGTCTAAAGTGCTCATCATTTTGCGTTGGTTGGGCCATGAGTGGCCGGCGTGTGACTCCGTTTCTCAGAAGGTAGATGTATACTCGTCTCAGTTGATTCGAGTGGGTGAGGTTCTGGAGAGGTTATCTGCGTTCCTTTTAAGTGACTGGGATCAGTTCAGCCAAGGGGGTGATCCGCGTGTGTTCCAAGGTAAAGGGGTTTCGCTTTGCAGGTATCATAACTGGATGGGCTCCCCTTCACCAGCAAGAGAGGGCTCCGATCCCACAGGCTATTTGCGTGTTTATTTGCCGGTCAACCAGTTGCGTATGGTTGCCAAATTCCGTCTTTGTTGTTGGCCTTTGGAGGTCAACAAAGGACACCATAGGCCGAGAGAGTGCCGTACGTGTCAGGTCTGTACGTCGGGTAAGGTTGAGGATGAATATCATGTGCTCATGGAGTGTGAGGCGTATACTGAGTTGCGTAATAGGTTTCTGATTAACGTTGAAGATACTGATATGCGCAAGGTATTTCTTAATACCAATCCGAGGAAAATCGCTACTTTCCTTACTGAGGTTTTTGATGAGCGTCAACAGCGTGCTCTGGAGCCTCACGGCTCGTGAGGGCACCCGCCGCGTCGGCGGCGGAAATACTGTAACCACAATGACAATGACAAACGGTTAAAAACCGGTATCCGTTGCCGCGGATAGATGATTTGGTGGATAGTCTGGGAGGTAGTGTGATCTACTCCTCCATTGACTTACAACAGGGATACCATCAAATTAAGATTCGAGCAGAGGATGTACCGCTGACAGCGTTTCGTACTCCCCTGGGACACTATGAATATGTTGTCCTACCTTTTGGGCTGACTAATGCCCCTGCCACGTTCCAAGTGGTGATGAACCGAATCTTTCAGCCCTACCTCGGCAAGTTTGTCGTGGTTTACCTGGATGATATCCTGGTGTATTCCCGAAGTCGTGAAGAACATCTAAAACACCTTGAAACCGTGTTCGAAGTGCTACGACGGGAACGGTTTCATGCAAAGTCGTCCAAATGCCACTGGGCGCAAACTCAGCTTGAGTACCTCGGTCACATTGTTAGTGCCGAAGAAGTTCGCATGGACCCTAAGAAGGTGAAGGTTGTCCGTGAATGGCCACTGCCACAGAACGTGTCCGAGTTACGGCAGTTCTTGGGCCTTACGAACTATTTCCGGAAGTTCGTTAAAGCGTATGCTTCGCTTTCGGCTCCTCTCACGGATATGTTACGTGGAAACAGTCAAGTCCGTCCTGAAGATTGGACACCAGTACGGGTACACGCCTTTGAAATGGTGAAAAATGCGTTAGCAGAGATGTACTGCTACGATACCCAAACATGACTAAGCCTTTTACGTTCGAATTGATCTCGGACGCGTCCTTACGCGGTACGGGTGCAGTCCTACTGCAGGACGGAAAACCTATCGCCTTCACCAGTAAAAAGTTCACCCCTGCGGAGCGGAACTATACCACGGGTGAGCAGGAACTACTTGGTGTAATACACGCACTTCAAGAGTGGCGCTGCTACCTGGAAGGTCCACATGATGTGAGAGTCGTGACCGATCATCACCCCCTGATCTATCTAAAGACGCAACCGACGCTGAATCGTCGTCAAGCTCGATGGCTTGAGTTCCTTTCCCGTTTTCACCTTGATTGGGAACACCGAAGCGGTAAAACCAACGTTGCTGACGCACTGAGCCGACATCCGCTGCTGAATGCAGTGACACGCATGCAAACGCGGCAAACCCTGAGGGCTCGCATCCTGACCGGATACGAGAAGGACCCGTGGTTCCAAAACCCTGAGAACCTTGCGAACCTGGAAAGAACGCAAGAGGGCTTTTAGCTCAAAACTCTTCCTGATGGCAAGAAACGTGTTGCGGTGCCCAATCACGGCGATCTCCGCAAGGAATTCATAAACCGTTGCCATGGTGACCCCTTGGCCGGACACCCGGGAGTTCACCGCACGTTGGAACTTGTACAACGTACTCATTGGTGGCCCAATTGTGCCGCAGATGTGCGACAAGTTGTCCTTACCTGCGACAAGTGCCAACGTAACAAAAGCCGTACAGGCAAGAAGCCTGGCTTGTTACAACCCTTACCAATCCCCGAAATGCCGTGGGACAGCGTCTCCATGGATTTCGTAACCGGCTTGCCCCGTACGGCTCGCCAGTTCAACGCGATCTTGGTCTTCGTCGACCGTTTGACGGAAATGACGCACTTTGTCCCAGTACGGAAAAGTATCACCGCCGAAAAGACCGCTAAACTCTTCCTTCAAAACGTGATCCGGTTGCACGGCGTGCCGAAACAAACGGTCTCGGACCGTGGATCTCAATTTGCCGGTCACTTCTGGCAAAACCTGGCACGGATGATTGAAATCGATCCTAATCTCTCCACAGCTTTCCACCCTGAGACGGATGGACAAACGGAACGGATGAACCGAGTCCTGGTAGACATGCTTCGCAGTTATTGCGCTACAGAACCACGATCGTGGGATGAAGCATTGCCCTTGGCTGAATTTGCCGTGAACAACGCTTTAAACCGAGCGACGAACCAAACACCGTTCTTCCTTAATTACGGGTGGCACCCGGCAACACCGGTGGTGAGGGAAACAGCCTGTAACGTACCGGCCGCCGCAGGTATGGCTGAAACCCTGGAAAAACGACTGAAGGAAGCAAAGAGATGCCTGATGGCAGCCCAAGATCGGACCGCGGCGTACTACAATGCAGATAAGAAATCGGCAACGTACCAGCCCGGTGACTCAGTACTCTTAAGTACGAAAAACTTACGAATGGGCCCGAAGGTACCCCGTAAGTTACAACCTCGATGGGTTGGTCCCTTTCCAGTGGAAAAGATGATTGGTAAAGCTGCGGTGAAGTTAACTACGTACCAGCCCGGTGACTCAGTACTCTTAAGTACGAAAAACTTACGAATGGGCCCGAAGGTACCCCGTAAGTTACAACCTCGATGGGTTGGTCCCTTTCCAGTGGAAAAGATGATTGGTAAAGCTGCGGTGAAGTTAACTCTCACGCCCAATCTGAAGATACACAATGTGTTTCACGTAAGCCTCGTGAAACCGTACAAGGCTGATGGCCCTTTTCGTCCCATACCACCCGAAACATTGCCTGTTTGGCAGGATACCTCTGAAGATGGTTATCTGCCGGTTGAGAGGGTGCTCGATTACCGACGACACAAAGTCGGAAAACGGACGTACGTGGAGGAATACCTCGTACGGTGGCAAGGATATACCGACGAGCACAACAGCTGGGAACCAGCGGATCATTTCACTCCCGATATGACAGCAGAGCTGGAGTCAGTACGACAACGGACTTGCGCGGACGCCAAGCCCTAAAGGGGGAGGCAATGTTGTGGTACCGCGTACGAACGCGAGTAACCACGTCCAAGAAGGACTCGGCCAAGACGGCTATCAGAAACTAACCGATCGTGAACGATGAAGGGACTTCGGCCTGTCCGAGTTTGACAGACCAACGGTTGATAACCGGTCCGCTTGACAGCAATACAGGGCTGAGCCCTATTTAAGGCGGCTTGAAGCCGACCTGAACCACGACCTCTCAACTCTGGATTTCACTACAATCTTCACCTACACTTAGCTGCCCGTCTACTTCATCGGCGCCAGTCAACGTCGCCTCTACCCCGCTGGATCCGCCAAGGGTAGATACCACTACAACGTGCGAAGATACAGAAGGGGCCGGGGGCCAGTTGATCGCATGCATGAATCTGTATGGTGGATGCAGATACACTGCTGCACCTCTTCTGGCACCTACTCACACCACCTCAAATGGTGGTACGTTTCACGAGTTACTTCACCTAACTAACGCTGTCATACACGCCCCAACGCAGCTACCTAGGCGGACATGTCCATCCTTGCGGCCGTCCACTTCCCAGTCAATGCATAAAGATTGGAAACGTACATGGTCCAATTACAAATTTTGCCCCTCTGAACGTGCACGCGAACACGCATGTGAAAGCAAGGGGAGATAGGCCAACCTGCTGCCCCCCCACAGCTGTCGTAGCTGGCCGCTGAAAAGGCCTCTCGAGATGCTGGTGGTCGTGCTTCGCGCGTATTTGTAGAGCCGTACTGTGTACCAGCTACAACAACAGCCCTGTTTCCGGAACAATCACACCTGTCCACCGAGGAAAGCTAACGGCGTGCGTCTATAGCGCAATAATACCGCACGACCGCATGCACAGGGCTTGCAGAGGACACGAAACGAAGGAAATGCGAGCAGCGGGACGGGCTTACTGCCTGGACAAGGGTATCGTATATGCAACCGCAGTCCTCAGCAGACTGTAGCAAACTCCTCATAATGCAGATACTGTCTGATATGACCGGACCGTCCACTAATAGCAGTGCATCCCATGCTCATCAATCGCGTCTGCACTTCTCCTCGCGAGGCTCTCGTTCCCCGCTCTAGCCGGACATCCTCGCACGTTGCCAGCTTAGGGGTCCGTGACCTTGGGGCGCTTGCTTGTGCATGCGCTGTCAGCGCTGTCGCTGCTGTCACTACTGTTGTCAGAGGACGACGAACTGCTACTGCTACTACTACTACTGCTGCTGCCGGTGTCGCACTCCACATCTCCACGCCTGTTCATGCCGTGCGCTATAGCTGCCAGATCCGGCCGCTCTTGTTCCAGCGCGAGGAGCCACCTCCGTGACATCTTGGGCCTCCCCTTCCGGGTGTGCTTCCAGACCTTCCGCACCGCACCGGGAAACAGGAACACTCGTGAGTTCGCGGCTTTCGCAAAGACGACGCATGCGTGAGAGCAACTTTGCATCATAGAAAATCCAATGGCCGGGAGGACAAAGCCGAATGACCACATGGCAAGATGTGCTTAGTAGTGCATCTTCAAAACGATGCACGACCATCTTTTTCAACCCATCCAGCAGGGCGCTCTTCTGGACGCCGGATGGATCCACCACTGGTGGCTAACAAGACTGCGGCAAAGCAATGACGACGCAAAGGACATGATGGCAGGTCCATACAGCACGCCTAGGTAAGCATGTCGAATTCGCACTTCCATGTTTGGTCGTGAATAGCATCGACACGTTACCGTAGGAGGTTCCTATTCTCTGTCCGGTACAGGAAGTAGACTAGACAAGATGTTCAGACCCGCAAAGGTCAGCACGGACTCTCATCCCGAGCAACTGACTGACCCGCTCGAAGTTCGCCCCACTGACGTAGTTCTGAGTGACAGCCAGCGTGTCGTCCAGATTGAGTACGGCGTGCCACCAGCCGCCTGGTACGAACACCGTCTCCCCTGGAGCTTGCAGCAGGTCCACGACGCGCGCAGTCGGCCAGTCCCCCTTCTTCGCCCGCGGGTAGACCTGCGACGTGCACATGCCGACACACAACGGCTACTTGCGCAACGGACGCATGCAGAATGTTACGGTGTGAACGCATGTGCAGCTCTCCCCGGGACCGGCGGTAGGTTCGTTGCGATTGATGATGATGATGATGATGATGATGATGATGATGATGATGATGATGATGATGATGATGATGATGATGATGATGATGATGATGATGATGATGATGATGATGATGATGATGATGATGATGATGATGATGATGATGATGATGATGATGATGATGATGATGATGATGATGATGATGATGATGATGATGATGATGATGATGATGATGATGATGATGATGATGATGATGATGATGATGATGATGATGATGATGATGATGATGATGATGATGATGATGATGATGATGATGATGATGATGATGATGATGATGATGATGATGATGATGATGATGATGATGATGATGATGATGATGATGATGATAATGATGATGATGATGATGGTGATATAGCCAATAACCATCCGCCAGCTAGGTGCCAAAGGGCCCTCCTCTGATCATACCGGACACCATTGCTCTGACCTGAGGGGGTAGAGAGTCCAATTCAGGAAAGAGGCCTCTGGACACACATGGTATGATGCGTTGAGTCCCAGGGAACCCGCTTGTACAGCCCCCCCTGCAGTAGTGGCGCATGGCCTTGGGGCATATCGGGGATATACCACCCACTCGGCCCGTATGTCGTATCTCGACATACAGCTCAATGAGCCCTCAGTGACATTCGGATGGAGTCACCGATCAGACCCCATCACGGCCGCCTTGCTCAGCTTCTACCTACATATCCCTACCTGTGGTGGAATTGTCCAGTACCCTACATACCACCACAGATGTAAGAAATTATCCCTATCATATTCACAGAGGCTTCACCTTGCTGAACCAGCTCACGGCTTCCCGCTCGACGCCATGCTCCCGGGGCAAGACCTGGCACCTCGGTGTCCCCGGGGGAAACAACGCCCAGCGTTTGTGACCTGCGTGGTGCCGCACGGCAGCGGTACCGAGCGCGGGGAATCGAGGACAGAGAGGGAGCCGAGGTGGGGGGCCGTCAGGCGCCGAACACAGACGGTCAAGGGCAGGCCGGGAAGCCATAGCCAGACGTATCGGTCGCGTTAAACAGGAGAGCAACAGCGACCACAGTTCTACACCGCAGTTCTACATGGGCCCTCGGACTGACTGACAGACAGACTGACTGACTGACAGACTGCTGGTGGCGATGAAGGCATGGAGGTCAACCCAAAGAAGCCACTGTATGCTGCTGGTGGCAAAACGCACCGACCGGCTGGGAGCCTGGAGCACTTGGAAAAGTTTAACATGTCCGATTTGGGGTGGCTTGGCTATACTACCCGAGTTGCTTAGCAACATGCAAGCAAGGAGTCGTACACGGGTACACACACGCATTCCCGGCCAGGCCCACAACAATCCAAGATTTGCTGTATGTATGTGTGTGTGTGTTTTACACTCGACGCATGCACGTAACGAAGGCCCCGGCTCAGGCGACCGCCTACCTGCTAACAGCGTGTTCCATGCGCTTGTCGCCAAGGGGTCGATGTGGAGTCCGCTGCCGCTACGGGCGGGACCCAGTACCAGCCACCTAGGTACAGGGCGGCAAACAAGCATTACCAGTTCTACACATGAAACGCAACGATCGCTTACTTACTAGCCAGTACAGTACATATGCAGTGGGGTCAAGGTAGCACCTGGCCGAGCACTCCTTCCCGGCTAGGGGAAGGAGGCTCTCGAAGGAGGAGGAGGAGGTGGAGGTGGAGAGGCCATGCACTTCGTCCGCCAACCCTCTCGCCAGTAATAGATATGCAACGGGCATGCATGCATGCTGCCCAACCACCTCACCTGCCTCACCTGCCTATCTACCCACTCACTTACCTGTATGGGGGTCTTCGCTTCTCCCCCACGAGGCGAAAGAGGTCCTCCCGGAAGTACACGGGGACCTGCGGGGCAAGTGCAGGAGTGCGACCAGCGGAGCTGTGAGACCAAAGCGCCCTGCCGAGTGCCGGGACGTCCTGATGGGGATGGATTAAACCAGGCAAGCACCTTCGTCCGCAACCGCGCGCCGCAACGAGGATAGCCGCCGAACTTGTCATACAACATGTAACCAACCACCGTAACTCGCGTTTGAGCGATTAAGCGGTTTTCCTTCCGCTCAGCCAGATGCGATCGCACATGCGGCAACATGACAAGAGGGGGAATATACACTACGGCCGATCTACGATCCGTACCAGCCGGGCCCTTCCCCAACACGGCTACATCTGGAAAGAGGGAAAAAAGAATCACAGCTCGCGATGTGCGAACTGCCTTCTGGCGGGTCGGAGCAATGAATTCAGTCGCATGCTAGGTGACGGTTTCGGGGGCCTGGCAGTACGGACAGGGGCCGCAGGAGGATCCTGCGCGAACATGACACCGTTGACTAATGACGACTCCCGGCACTTACGTTGCCAGCCCCTACCTTACCACACGACGGGGCTTAGAGTCCCCGAGTACGCTTTACGTCGAGGGACTCGACTGAACCTGACTGAAAGCCCAGGCTGTCCAAGCTGCAATCCCTCCTATCATTTCGGGCCCCCCCCCACACACACATAAAGTGAAACGCTGTTGCGGCCGAAATTCTGTTCCCCCTGTAAAGGGCGCTTCCGTCCATCTGCCGGTGTTACATCCCAGCCCCCAGGCCCCTAATGCCCCCGGCCCCTAGCCGCTCCCCGGGCCAGGCATCAACCAGCTAAGGGCGCACCTCGTAATCCTTACGCATGGACCTGCTGCCGTCCCGATCCGCGAACGTGCCGTCAAAGATGTAGAGCGGGGAGTCGTCCCGAGCCCCGTGCAGCGGGTCCGACATGTAGTCCAGGAACCCGTTCAGGGGCAGCCGCACCGCATAGCCCTCGTCATCTGAACCCACCTGACGATGGGACAGAGGTACACGTACAACGTATATACATGCACGTAAACATGCATGCATACATGCATGCATGCATACATACATACATACATACATACATACATACATACATACATAATTGTAACGATTAATGCTCACAATAGGTAGCCAGGCAAGGCACAGTTACGCTACTGATTGCGTACTGATTAGACCCTCTCTGTAAACTGTGTTGAGGCAGCGACACGGCAGAAGCAGCGGGGTGTTCGTACATGCATTTATGTGGGTAAGAGATTCATTGAGGATAGTCAGCGGGTGCAGCCTGCAGGTGCAAGCACACATGGGTAATGAGTAGGTAGATGATTTGTGCCGCCAGTTATGGTGGCTGCGTGTTGGCGTGGTGTGTGCGTATTATATGCTTGCAGCGAGCAAGCAGGTTGTGCTGCTGTACCTTAAATTTGTGTTCTCCGTAGAGCTGTCGCAGGCGCTCAGGCGTCCAGCATTTGGCAGCGGGCCAATCGTCGGCCAGCCCCGTGATAACGACGGGAATCCGGGGACGCTCAAAACGCTCCACAAATTCGGCTACCGAAAGATCCTGTGTCGATATGTTACGGCATGGACTGCTATGGCATAAATCATTGACAACAACGATTTCAATAACTGGAAAAATCACTCAAATCGCTCAGAAGTCTCCCTTGTGCCATACGCACCGCTTACGCACGCACAGCAAAGCGCATACCTGCCAATGTATCCGGGGAATATGGTCCTCTATGCCGTTAGTGCAGCAAATGTCCGATTGTGCATAACCGTGTCTGTACCTGCAGGAAGGCAGTTCCGTTTATTTCGTTAATACCGTTTTTTTGCGTGGCCAACCGCAACGCCAGCAAAGGCGCACCAGTCTCCCTTGCTGATGCTCAACTCGCTCCTGGCTGCGCGCTTAACCTTTCTGAGTTTCCTTTCGTTGTCATCATCCCTGTATAATCATAAGAGCCATTCTAACGTCTCCTATTGGTTCACGTCAAGGAAGCTTCTGGAGTGCAATTCCGACGAATTACCCTCTGAAAAGAGGAGGCTCCTTGTTCAACATATTGCGAAAACTACATACGAGACGCCGCTTTACTACAAAACGGACACGCCCATACACGGCGCCTCAATTTGGCGCGTAACTACAGATTACATTAGATTCATACGCATGCAATATAATGTATCAGTTGATGTAGTGAAGAACTGCAGTTGGCATAAAAGTTATGAAGTCGTGCAGTCCGCAGAGCAGCTGTACGAACACGAGGAAAGCAGAGGCATCCAGCTCGCGAACTCAATTACATGATACTGTCATATAAATCCTCCTGATATTCCTACAAAGCTTTCAAAATACTTACTGTACCCCGAATATAGGTACTGGGCATCACTGCTAACACATCGTTGCACAATATTTTTTTACTGTTCGATCATCTCTTTTTGATAAAAATGTCTTTCGCGGGATGAACTCTGCGGGCCAAAGATGGCGGTGAGATGTTTTCCGTTGGACGTTTTCCATATCGAAATTCGATGCCCATGCAATTAACCTGTCTGATAACTGTAGGGTGCTGAGGCGGGTCAGCCGCCAGGCGAGCACGGTGGCGTGGGTGAGTACTGGCTGGCGACTGAAAGAGAGGTAACAATCCGCGTTGTGGCCGGCGCTCAGTCCGAGTTTTTGTGCTTTCCTCAGCAGGCCAGCAGCCTGGCATCGCAACATTAAAGTATAGCGATGGGTCGGAGTACAAAGGAACCCTTAAGCACGTGCACGGCCAGGGCCAAGTCCCGCACGGCATCGGGACGTGTGTTTGGGTTGATGGCAACCGCTACGACGGGGAATGGCGCAATGGGCTCATGCATGGGTTCGGCACGTACCAGTGGACATCTGGACAGCGCTATGATGGGGAATGGAAGGTACGTGCCGTGGGTTGTTGGGGATTAGTAACGTTCTCCGCTTCCCCCTTGGCGGCTTACTCTTGCGCGCCACTGCCAAAGCGGCGCCAACACACACCCTGCTGGCACGGCTTATGCAGGACGGCAAACGCGATGGCGTTGGCGTCAAAATGTATGTCGATGGATCCACTTTCCATGGCATTTGGCGGGAAGGCAAGAAGCACGGGGTGGGCGTGTTCAAGCCTGCGTCCAAGGACAAGGACAAGGACCGAGCCAGGACGGTCGTCAAGACTAGCAGCGGAAAGCTACTTCTGGGTCACACGGCGGTGGACGGCGATTCGGTTTCCAACCTCAACGCATACGAATCGGTGCAGCCAATAGAAGTGACACCGCTGCAGGCTGGTAGGTATGGCATGTACGGCATGTATGCACGCTCTTCGGCAAGTTTTGCTTTTATCTGTGCTAGTCGCAAAGGATGCATCGCATGCATGTAAACGGCATGGCAGCGGCAGGGGCAGGAGCCGGGTGTTGCCAGAGTCCGCAGCATGTCGACAATCCTTGTGCAGCAGCGTCCGTCCCGAACCGCGGCATGCTGCCAAAGTTTTAAACGCTCAACTCAGGGGGGCCCCAGCATAGCGATCACTGTGCTCGCTGGTGACCCAGATCATGTGGCTCTGCATGGACCGCCACCACCGCAAGCAAATGCGACTCCAATAGCCGCCATTTTTTACCTACCCACCTGCTCTCTTGTGCGTTGCGTGCAACAATTGACCGACGAGGTGAGGTATCTGCTGTCCGCCCACTAATCTGAGACTCCCCAGACCACTCACCTCCCCACTCTCTCTCTCTCTTAGGAGACGCGTGTGATACCCTCCTGTTGTTCCCCTCCACCCGTGTTGCCCCTGCCAGACGCCTACAGCAAGGAGTCGTCCCACGCGGGAGGTGCCGAACCCACCCCAGCAGCAGCAGCAGCCGCAGCCGCTACTGGTGGTGGCGGTGCGGGGGCGCCGGGCACGTCTTCGGACGGGGTGGCGGAGGGGGAGCGGGATCGGGAGCTGGAGCGGGGCCGGGACCGGGAGGGCCACCGGGAGCGGATGCGGGAGCGGGAGCGGGATAAGGATCTGCGTGAGAAGGAGGGCAAGGTGGTGTTCATTCGGGCGTTTGAGGATGGCGTGTTGCGGAGGGAGGACAAGCTCAGCAGCGAGGACGCCAAGATAATCTTCGGGCAGGTAGGTGGGTACTGGGTGGTGGAGCGGAGTGATGTTGGGTTGCGAATGGGCTTGGGTGGGGGTGAGGGGCCCAGGATGGGGCCGCTTGGTGGACGGGGTAGGGCTCTGTCATCGTGGGGAGCTTGGAGCTGGAGGAGCCTGACCGGAGTGACCTGCTGAGCTGCGTGAGCCAATGTCACAGCCCCTGTCTCGGCGCCTGAGCCAGCTCTTTTAACCTGATACACATGATGTCATGATGCAAGGGCCGGAAAGGGGGGAAGGTATGAAGGGGGAAGACACTGGACGGGAACCCCGGCGCGACCGCATTGGTGGGAGGGGACTAAGGGCTGTAATGAAACAGGTGACAGGCTAGCTGCATGCCAAGTGAGGAAGGCCCCTACTTAACGGCCGGCAGGAGGAGCCTGACTGGAGACCTGGGTGGGGGCTGTGATGGGGGACGTAGCGGACGTAGCTGTACGGGACTCTCGGGGGGATAAAGCGGCATCAGCGAAGTCATACCGGAACTACACCGGGAACTTGCCGGCCATGATGGAACGCCACTTCCCAGGTTGCGCTTACTCGTAGCTACGTGTCTGTCTAGAGTGTTCACCGCGGGTGGGTCATGCGATCGTGCATTGATGGACTAGGTCCTGGATTGCCCCATTATTGCATCGCTGTGTATCTGTGGCAACTCATTGCCCTTCCACTTCCCCTTTTGGTTTGCCGGACTGTGTTGGCGGTGTTGGCGGTCCAACAGCCGCAACAGTCGGAGGAGAAGCGCCGTGGCAGCAAGGCGAGGAAGAAGGTCAAGCGGGCTCTCGGGCTGGGGAAGAAGCTTCAGCAAAAGCATGGGCAGCTGTTGTACAAGGGCATGCCCGGGTAGGACTTGGAGCGGAGGGAGGGGAGGGGAGGGGAGCTCCAGGCGGGGGCCCGAAAGGGGCTGGGCTTCCAGGAACAACGCACTAACCCTGAGAGACCGGGGGGGAAGGCCAACCACGAACGAGTGAAGCCGATGCCAAGGATAGGCTGATGCGCCAAAACTATGTAAGAAATAGCTAACCAGTCGCGACGTGCGAAGGAGGAGTCTTCGCGGTGATGTTAGTAGTCATGAAGATAGGGTAGGGGAGCGCCAAGGAGAAGCCGGGAGCGGTTGTACAATTGGGTCAATTGGGGCTTTGCAACTTTTTCTTTGCGCCGCTGGCGGTTACCATGACCACAAGGTGAGGAAAAGAGCACGCAGCAGCCTTCCACAGCCCTACCATATCCACCCGCCCACAGCGACTTGGTCCGCTGCCACCCTTTTTAACCCCCCTCCCACGACTATCCCGCCATGGCCATGCTCCCTGCCTGACCTCCCGCTGCAGGTACAACCTGATGTTGCGGTTACAGCACGGCATTCGATGGAGTGTCGGCCGGGGCACGTACGGCAGGGCGGCTGCCGGACATACGGCGGTGCCTCTGCCTCCCCCACCGCAGCACACCAACAGCCAGGGTGGGCCCATGCCGCTCACCCACAAGCTTGGACCGTCGGATTTCACGGAGAAGGTCAAGGTGTTTTTCCCCAGTGCGGGCAGGTGGGCGGCGAGCGGCGGGAGTTCAGGGAGCCGATGTGGCCGGGGGGTTACCTCGTGGGGTGGCTCCATCTAATGCCATGACGGCGCACCTACGTACTAGCTCGCAGGTGGAGACGGCCGCTTTGCTTTTGGCTTCCTCTCGGCAACTGGAGGAAACGAGAACCGGGAGCGCTCCCAGACGCGGTCCTTCGCTCCGCACTCCATTCTCCCTACACGTGCTCGCCATGCCGCCTTGTCCGTAACACTCGACCTAAGTACGCTCCTGAGATATATCACCTCCCCGCACTCTTCCGGATGTTGTTGCTCGCTCGTACGTAATTTCTCGCCCTTTGCCAACGCCAATATGTCAACACCACTATGCCCCCGGACGTGGGGCGCAGCCAGGAGACTCCTGCGCATCCCGCGGGGGACTTCAAGTGGAAGGACTACTCGCCACGTGTGTTTCGCAACCTACGCAACATGTACGGCATTGCTGACGCGGACTATATGTTGTCGCTGGGTGGCAGCAGCGCGCTGTGGCAGCTCAACTCCCCGGGCAAGTCGGGGTGCATGTTCTTCCTGTCGGATGATGAGCGCTTTCTGGTCAAGACGATGCGAAAGACGGAGATCCGGACGCTCATCGACATGCTGCCTGAGTACTACAAGTAAGGAATGGCGCTGTACGAATGCCCCAAGCTCGTCCAGCCTGAGCTAAAACCACGTGAAACCATGTGACACTGCGAGTTTGTCTACCGGCTTTTGATCGTCCCCTTTACCTTTGCTTCCTACTATCATGCTCACTTTCATCGTTCTCCTGGCCCTCCTGCTCTCAGGTACATGGAGAGTCAGCCGGACAACTTGGTGATCCGCTTCTTCGGAGTGCACGGCGTGAAGCAGGTGCACGGGCGGACCGTCAGATTCGTAGTAATGCATAACATGTTCAACACCGACCTGCAGGTGGGGCTGTTTCAGGGGTGGGGTTGCGGCCGCCCCGCGGATGGGGGGTGGTTGTGGAGGGCGCGTGTAGTTAAGCTCTGGACCATGTGGCTGCTGCAGCTGTGTGGTGGGTATCGGACAGCAGTGCCTTTCCCCTTGCTGCAGCCGGAAGCCCATCCGCCCATCCTGCCGCTGGCCGGGATGTGCTGCCCCGCCATCACCTGCTGTGGTTGACGCTTGCAGGGTGTGTAGCTAGGCACCCTGCAACGGCCACCGCCGCTGCTGCCGCTACCCCGCCCCCTGCCTTTCCTGCTATGAAAGTGGCCCCAATACGCCGGGGGGTGTGTGCGTCTGTCCTCAGATCCACAAGAAGTTTGACCTCAAGGGCAGTACTGACGGACGTACGACAGGGCCTCGGGTGGATCCCTACGACCCCAAGACCATTTTCAAGGACCTGGACCTGGACCTGCAGGTAGGCTCAAGGATTGAGGGGCGGAAGGAGGAGGGGGAGCTTTGAGGGGAGGGGGGTTGCCATGTCAATGACATTGTGGCGATCGACAGGAATCGCACTGCGTAAGGGGTTGTGACCCGCAAGACGATAAGACCGCCCTCAGACAACAGAGCAACCCGCTGATGTGCCGAGAGCGCAGCTGCCGTGCAGGGGCGCCCGGAGGCGCGTCTCTTATCCCCTTGTGCTTACCTTCTCCTCCCCCCCTTGTGCTCCTCTTCCGCAGTTCCTGCTCGACCCCAGTTCATACGACCGAGTCATACGCCAGATCACCTCAGACGCGGAATTCCTGAGGAAGGTGGACGTCATGGACTACAGCCTGCTACTGGGGATACACTTTTGCAGCCGCATGCGGACCCCCGCACAAGATAACGACAGCTCCATCACGAATCAGCACCCCACTGAACAGCATCACCAGCTGTCTGAGCAGCAGCAGCGGCAAGGGACGGCGGTGAAGGGGCCGCCGGAGGGACAGCGGGGCGAGGCCGTTCCTAAGGGCGGCAGTCCATCCGGCGGTCCTCCAGCGAGTGCGGGAGCGGGGGGAGGCTTCCAACAGATTTCCCAGCCGCCGCAGCAGCAGCAGGCCGTGGCGTTGCAATCCATGAGCTCGCATGATTCGACGGACGGCGAGGAAACCACAGGTGGGTTCGCGCGTCAACTGGGAATTAGTGGGTGGTTAGGTAGTGGCAGTGGCCGCTTACCTGTGGAGCTCTTCCTGTTGTCGTGTGTATTGTCATTTAAAGTCATCGGGAGGTGCCCGTCGCGGGGCCGTCAATGAACCGCGGTAGCGTAGCAACACTAGACCCGCGTAGGTGTCCTAGATCATGATCATGACGTCACCTAGCTGCAGCTGCACCCGCGTCGCCAACATATCGACCATGTTACGGCATATGTTGCATTGTATTACACACGTAGTTGGCCGCGCGGAAATGATGGCTCCTAACACTTTCACATGCGGACACCGACCATGGTGGGATTGGGGGCGGGGGATCCGGAGCACTTCGCCTCCGCAACTGCAAGGAACCTGCTCCGTGTTTGAGAAACTCAGTGCCACTATGTTGAGAGACCAACAAGGGGGTGTTGGCTCCTTCCGGGTGTGCAGCTGAGCGGCAACCCCGATTCACCCCAAACAGTGGTTGGGAGTGGGGCCGCCGTGGACGTTATCTCCCCGGGGCCCGAAGGTATACATTCGCCTATCTTTCTTTCCCCTAAAAACCCCTAACTCAAACCCCAGTTCACTCTGGAGATTTGTGCACCCCGTCCTCTGCACATCACCCCCCCTGTCCGCTGCATGTATGTATATCTCGCAGGTCAGCGGACTTCGCCCTCGCGGCTGCTTGCTGGTTGTCAGCCCCACTCGCCATTGCCTTCCCCGGCAGGTGGCGCCCGGCAGGTTCCGGGGGCCCTGGGTGGCGGCGACGACTCAGACGGCGAGCACGTGCGTAACTTTGATCTTTTTTCGGACCGCCCAGGTGAGAGGTGGGCTGTTGTTGTACTGCTGCCAAGAGAGGAGGCCCCGCCGGATGTTTTCCAGCCAGATCGGAGCAAGGTGGTTGGACGCCTGGTGTGGACGGAACAACAATCTTTAGCATGGGTAACGTATGAGACCCCCAACGTAGGTGCAGGGACTGCAAAACCACCTTCAAAGCGAGCTATCTGTAAATGCATTCCTCAATTCCTTTCCCTTACTGGTCTCATGCATACATCACTCTACCTTGCACAGCGCCGACTTTATACCCAAATTGTCTGCGGACCCAACGTCCTGCCCTAGGGGTCTGTCGCCGGGCGTTTTCCCAGCCCCTGCTCTATTCACCCACCTTGCATTTTCACTACCTCTGCTTTGTTCTCCAGAGCTGGATAAGCAACTGCGGCTAATCGAGGAGCGCATGAGGGCGCTGGGATATAGCGATCAGCGCATTCACGACATTCTCAGCCTGGTGCGACTGCGTATCCTGGGCGACCAGATGAAGAAGCGCTCCAAGAAAGCGTACAAGGTACGAGGCGATGTGGGTTGCTAGATCCTGCTATGTTGCTGCATCAATTCTTTTGTCGGGTAGCCAGGCTGGAACCTGGAACCGCATCATCGTTGGATAGCGTCCACAACCTCGAGAGTCGTCCAGGAGGTCCTGGTGAGGCATCTCTTGCGAGCGTCATATCCAGGCCTTTCCTTCTCGTTGCAAGATTGGATAGGCCACAGCAGCTGACGATAGAAGGCCGTGCTGTGCGTGCGATGCAGGTGTATGACGGACCCAGCACGGTGCTCATGGCTCTGGCATCACGCCGGCACGGGCCGGAGGCTCTGCCCCGGCTGGAGGAGGCTGATGAGCAGCCGGCGTCCGAAGACGATATGGAGGAGGCGCAACCCGGCAAGCAGCCGCCATATTTGGGTTATCAGATGCGAGCTCTTGCTGTCCATATGGTGAGTTATTTGAAAGTGGATGGTTGGGGTACGCCCAGAGGTCGTGTGGGCGCAGGTGACCCTGACTGTAGCTGCTGCATGAGAGGGTTGTTATCTTGCGCTCGTCGCTTCGTGGGAGATTACCAGAGAAAGATGCATGGTTTGTCCATGACTTCCCGCTGTGGACGCCCGTTGCAGGACGGTGACCAGCCACCGGAAGAGGTGGTGCTGTGCTTCGGCATTATCGACATCCTGCAGGAGTGGAACGCACGGAAGGTGGGGAGTCGGGGGCCTTGTGAACGACAGATTGTGCATGGGGATATTTTTATTCGCGCAGGTTCAGCCGGAGTCCTGCGACGAGCCACCTTGGGAACCCAAACTTTCGAGTGCAGACCAGTAATCAGGCTGTCAGATCACAAGCGGCCTTTGCTACCTCCGCGCTCCTTGAAAATTGCCCGGTACTGCCCGTCGAGCCCGAGAGCTCAAGTCCTGCCGACATTGGGCCCTGCTTGCAGCCATATACACAAGTACTTGTAGGGGTTCTGCAGTCATCCCCATTCAGGATGCAACCCCAATGACACATCTCAGCACATCTAACCGTAAACAGAACAAATAGGGCATCTACAACAAGTGTGCGTCAGTCGCAGTTTCACCAGATCCTTACCAGACCTACTTTCCCCAATCCATGCTTGACGCTCGCTTCCAGGTGCTGGAGCGCACCGTCAAGAGCTTCACGCACGACTCGTACGCGATCTCCGTGGCGCCGCCCAAGTTGTACAGCGCCCGGTTCGCGGAATTCCTGATCAAGGCGGTGTTCATGAACCCTGCAAGTGCCGCAGCGCGCGGGCTGCGGTTGCCGCCGCCCACTGCCGCTGCCTTCAGTGTTCAGGGCCCCACGGTGCACACCATCATGGAGGAGCGGGAATCGGACTTCCATCGATGACGATGCAGCGTCAGGACTACTACTGCTATAGCCATGCGGATTTACTGAGCACTTCGGATGGGGGTTAGGCAGCGCATTCCAGGTTCTAGTTTAGATAGAACGATTCTGGCCATTGCCGCGAGAACATGAGTGATACACAGCAGGAGTTAACTGCGTGCAGCTGTGGAGGTTTCTTCTTGGCATTTGGGAATAGAAGGGCCGTGAGGCGTGACAGGTCGCTTTACCATGTCCACCTTTGCAGTGTAGGAGATACATGGCTTTGCTGGCGATCAAATTCTTGGACTGCGGATACGGGAGGCGATACTGGATGATGATGCAACATTGGTGTAGTTTTAAGACGCGGATGACGAACTTGATGCACTCCATGAAGTGCCGCAGTTTCGGCTGTTATAGCATGGTCCGGGCGCTGCCGTGAGTGGCTTTACCATGACGTTAGATTTGTGTTCCGGAGTACCTGCGCCAATCATTGGCGAGCATAATGCTCGCTAGAGATCCCTACGTTCAGAGATTAAGGGATATGTCGGAAGCAAGGTGTAAACTTGGAAACGAAAGCTACAGCGCTTTACCCTCCTGTCGAGACTATACGATAGTGAGCTAGAGAGGTCCGTACAAGATGTGCGCCATTCTTTGCACTAAATGTGTTCGAATCGCACTGCACAGGTGTGCATAATGTAGTGCACAAAAGCTACACTCAATCACTTCTCTCCGTACCGCGACGATATCAGTACAGTTGAGTTCGCGTCGCCTCTCACAGAGGCACAGATACGCTGTGAACCTCAAATCCTTACTCCTCCCCCGCTTCACGAACATCCGTCATTTTCCCGTGCGTAAACTGCCGTTGAATGACTTGGAAGATGAGCACCGTCCAATACAGATGGAGGACAAACAGCACCAGCAAAAGGCCGTTGAAAATCTCCCAGTGCGGATGCGGCTCGATCCCCAGCTGGGCAGCCACCAGCATGACCGGCTCGAACAGCGTCGAACGGATAACGTAAGCTGGGAAAATAAGTACTCGGGCCACAACCCACGACACGAAGAAGACGATGAATGCCGGCATGCCTATATCGTTGCGGTCTGCGTAGCGGGCAAGCTTGGCCATTTCCAGGAAGATATCGGACACGTCGTGAATCAGAATCACAACAACTCCGACGCGGGTGAAGTTGACCGCATAAGAATAGAATAGTAGTCCCGACGTCACTACGTGGTGGATCATGCTCTCCAGCCAGTCTTTCCGCCGTTCCTGCGATGAGACAAATTTTGATTAACCGCACAGTACGCTTCGGTCTAACGGTCACGTTCACGGCTCAACCGCTAACGGTCACGTCCATGGCGCCAACGCGCCATTACTGCTAGCATGCAATCATCTAAATTACTCAGTATCCTCAACCAGCCATTTCATTGTACGGCGACGTAGAGACGCGCTGCTTACCAAAGCGCCCTGCTGTACTTACGAGGAACGATCGTCACATGCAGACTCACCTCGTGCACAGCGAGGAAATGTATTGCTTGGAGATAGAAACCAGTCTCAGCGCAGTAGAAGAGCAGCACGCCGCGAGATACAGGGAGGTTACACGGAGGAAACCGCGAACAACCTAGCCACCAATAGCGGCTGTCTGTGAACCAAATCTGCAAGAAAGGCGAGGAAACCCGTCCGAGCTCTTTCCGGGAAGAAGCAACGTAGCCTATGCCAGTCGGCCGGAGCTTTACGCAGAGAGATGGGAAAGTCTTCGTTCAGACGTACCTCGCCCCAGCAGACTGCGAAGGCCAAAGCTGTGAAGGCTATGTAAACTGTCATTTTCCAGCAGGATTCGTTCCACTTTCGAAGCTTCCTCGCCTGTTCCTGTTCGTCCACTTGCACATCAGTCTTTTTCGGATCACCGCCTGAGAGCGCCCGCTTGCCCAAAGGCTGCGTTTCACAATGAGGGAGCGAAGGGTTGGTGTGGGTCATGTCAGATGATGTCAGGCAAGAGCACTACGCAAGGCATCCATTACACCGCATCCACGGGTTCCCCCTGGTACACGGTTCGCGCGGTTGTTGAAACAGTCAAGGGTATTTCCGGCGCCCTACGCGTACCGGAAATAATCGGACCGTCCATGACACTGTACGGCTTCGGAGGCCAACCCACTGTTCAACCTCCCCTTCCCTACCATCACAAAAAGCGAAAGCCCACATACGTTCGAGAGCATACCGCATGCGCTCACCTCGAAGACGAAGCGTGTAAGGATGCCCCTAATAACCGGGTACAAGAGGGCGAAAACTACGCACAAGGAGAAGTCCAGGTACCGGTCCCCCAACAGGTACGCCACATCAGGCTCCGGTGATACATTTAAAGCTGTTAACGTTGTGTTGACAACGTTCAACTTCACGCCGCTTTCATATATCCATCGGCCCAGGGTTGAAAGTTTCTCGAGCTGCAGCTGGGGCTGAGTCTCCATTTTACTCGTGATCCCTGACTTATTATATTATCGATTACTTTGTTTACGTAGACAGAATTAAGTCGCGACTAGTAAATGAAGCCCGAAAAGTTATCTCCTGTGGGTCCACACCATATTTGACCTAGCAGGCAAACAAAAGGTGTTTAGCCATTATGATCTAGCCATGATGATCTAAGCGAAAACGCAAATGTTGGATTGGCCACTGTAAGAGGCCGCCTATACCTATCAACGGTAGATGAGAAGGTTTTTCTCAGAGAACTTGTCACAATATCTGTGCAGTGCTCTTATTCACTTGTGATCGCTCAAATTGTAAGCAGTATGTCAATTCGCGCCAGCTGGATTCCTGTCGTACTGAACGTTTCTGATTGGCCAAAGCTACCGTCCTACACGCGTATGTTCCTTGACCGCATAGGCATATCATACGAACGCAAGCTAAGGTCGTTACCTTTGGATATTGTTTGGACACACCTACACCTTCTGCAAGAAGACTTACATTGTGATAATAGCAACAGCTCACACGTGGCTGTCTGGTACGGCATCTCCTTTCACCGTGACCTCTAGCTGCACCTACCCCACAGTACGTGCGATCGGTATCCACGGCCTTGGGCTACATGTGGCAAGCGCCAATCAAACGCGTAAACGAGGAAGCGTTGCAAGTCGGAAAAAGACGCAACACACGGACAGCACTGGCAGCACACGGACGGTAACCCTCCCGCGCGCAGCAGGTCTCCGCCCAACGACCTTCTGGCACTCCGCGATTTGCCGTCTTGCAGAAACATCTCATCTACAGGCGAGGTTTACCGTCAGACCCTCTGACGGTGCGCAGTGTCATAGTCCGAACATTGGCCCACGAACGGCCCTGGGGACCCGAACGGCCTCAACGCAGGTCATCGACGTAGTCCAAACACAAACAAACATCTACCACAAGGCACTTCCGCCAGCCGTTCCCCATACACACTATACCCCTCATCCAAGCGGCACCTGCGTTGTGGCAATGCCATCCGACTATACGACGCATCCTGACCAATATCGCGTTGACACCTTCCAGAAGGAAATCCTGTCACAAAGCGAGAAACAACAGCTATTCGCTATTACTTACCACCGAACACTTCCGCTGCCTCTCCAGATCGCCAACCAGACTGCCATCACGACAACGTTCGTACCGGACCGCACCAACGCGTCCATAATAGACCGCAAAACTTTAGGATAGCAGACTCCCAATCGTTCTTCTACCAAAACGGGCACCAACCAATGTACGACTGGCACAGGTTTTCATGGTTGACGGCCTGGTGGATAAGCCGCTGTACCTGCGCCGCCACACTGTCTGGCTCCACGCCGCCAGCACCTCCACCCACTGAAACCTCCGGTGCATAGTCCCGCCCCATAAGCTTGTCAGACATACGCTTCATCACCTCTACGGCACGCGTGTTGAGGACCTGTAGGGGCCGGGATGGACAGCAGCAGCGACAGTAGTGGATTGAGGCCCATGGGTGATTATGTGTGCGTAAGGTGGGCTTCGTCGTGCGTAACTTTTGTCGTCCAGCGAAATCCAAACGGCACTAGACAGGGCGATGCAGCCTCTCCAGTGAACCAGCTTTTGGGAGCGGCCAGAAACATGGGCGATGATGGGCTCCGCAAGCCCAGGTGAGGGCGACATCGTGCCGAGCTGTTCCCTACTAATACAATCGAAAACGACCACGTCTGCAGTTCGACGCAACGCCAGTGGGTGGTGCAATCAAGGTCCTTCTAGACGGACCCATGTCAGTTCCCCGTTACCCCCGGGTTTCCTACCTCGTTGGCATCCCCCAGCTGCGCCACAGCATCCTTGAGCTCCTTCTCGCGGGTCTCCCGGCGAGGGGGGCTGGGCATGAAGGTAAGGCTTGTGGAGGTGCTACCCCTCACCGCTCCACCGCCCAGCGCATCTCGGGCCCCATGGGCGCCTGGAGGGGCAATGAGGATACACACGTGCTGGCATGTGAAGAGTTCCTTTCATTCCAGGCAGACACCGGACATGCATTTCGGTTCAAGAGGTCGATTGATGAGTTGGTCGATAGAAGGGTTGTTGGGTACCAGTCTGTGCGCGGTGAATCAGATGTCGCAGTTTTAACCCACTAAAACCAATTCCTCACCCCCTCTATTGTGCCAGCTAGCAAATGCCCCGGCCCTTTGGTGGCCTGACCTGGCGCCTACCACCACAACATTCACATGGAGCACGACACATCACCCACCCGCTTCTGTGGCCGTGTCTCCGGTTCGCGCCAGTGCCGCCTCCGTGGCCGCCTCCGTGGTGTTTAGCAGGCGCCAATTAATGAGCGGGTCGTGCACAAAGGCCTCCAACATGGCCGTAACGGACTCCTTATTGGAACGCAGCACCCGCATCACATTCTCGCACTGCGCGGGAGGAGTAGTTTAGGTTGCGAGTTGGGGGGCTGGAGCTCATCTAAGTGGGGATTTGGATGTAGAATGGAGTAAAGCTTTGAGGCCAGAGAGGCTGCTGGTTACGCAGGTACACAGCGCAGCCCATTTAACGGAATCGCGGGTGGCAGACGGCGACTGTGCGTCGAGTCCGCTGGAATGCGGATGAGTGCCGCTTACCGTGGTTCGGAAGTTGCCCTCAATGCCGCTAACCTCCATTGCCTTGATCATCATGCGGGTCAGCCGGAAGGGCACCTGCGAGGGCGCGAAGAAGGCCACGAAGTGCGGGCCCAACACGAAAACGTTAGGCCAGTCCGTCGCCCTGGCAAGCCATTCAATCAGCCCTTGCCGCATAAGGGGAAGAGGCACGGCGTTCTCCATGGCCCCTTTGCGTACAAACATACACACACCCCGAAAATCCACAGGCGGGTATTTATTTCTGCGTCGTTTCACAGGTCGACACTCCAGAGAGCGAAAGGACGTCCTCTGCAAACCCTTACGGACCAAGGCACCTGCCATACTCCGTGTGCGCGCTTGCGTTGACTTCAGCTAGCCCAGCCCAACCTGACCCAGCTCAGATCCCTCTTCACCTTCTCAGGGAACTTCTCACGGTTCATGGACGCCTCGAAGCAGTCCCCGAAATCGATGTGCAGCAGCTTGCCGCTGTACCTGTCCAACATGAGGTTGGAGGGGTGGCGGTCACCCAGCCCCAGGATGTAGCCCACCATGGACATCACGGCCGCAGAGCGAGTGTAGTTGGTACGGCGGTCAAGCCACACCTCGCTGTTCCGGCTCTTGAGCCACAAGACCTGAGCGCACGCAGAGCAGGGAGAAATAGTAAAGAATAAGACACGAAACAGCAGCTCGCACAGCGCAGGGGAAAGGAAAACGCCTCGACAGATGAAAAGTGAAACTGACTTGATCCACTGACTCATGTGCGGAGGACCGCCGCGGGGCCCTTAACACCCCTCCCCACCACCCAGCACCACCTTTACATCCGCTCACACTTCCCCACCTTGTGCAGGTCCTCTCCGCTGGTTGAGTCCAATGCAAACTCAAACACCTCAACCTTCTGAATGACCGTCAGGTGATCGTAGTCAGGTGCCATGCCCAGCATCAGCCGGTGCTCCCAGTTGAGCGGAATCTTGCGAGCCTCCCTGAGAATGACATGACGTAGAGATACAGGTCACAAGGTCAGGTCGGACTAGACCAAGCCGGATTACAAGAGCAGTGTAACCCACCACGTCAGATTAGACACAGGGCCGCAGAAGATCTGACCGGGGTCGCACACTCACAGGGACATGCAATGTGGTCAGCACGGAAGGCAGCCATGCAGCAGCAGCGGTTTTTGCAGCAGTAGCAAAGGCCTCCCTCGAGCCGCGACATCGACACAAGAGGGCAGAAAACTGCCCTCTCGTCACAAGTCTATACAGGCCTTGAGACCCATCTCACATTGCTGTCCGTCTGCTCCTTCACCTCCCTATATAATATATATATGTGCCGACGTGTGCGTGCGCACGCATATACATACATAGATACATACATGTGCACACATTTCCCGGGGCCCCCTTGTTTCCCCCTCCACTGCACCTGTACTCCCGAATGAGGGCGTGCAGGGTGTCGCAGTTGGGCACCCAACCAATGAGGCCGCTGTTGGGGCTGAGCGGGATGACGGCGTAACGCGCAATGGACAAGTCCCTCTCCGCAGTGATGCGGTCGTGAGCCAACATGGTGTTCACCAAACCGAACAGCTGCATCACACGCTCGTCCTGACGCAGGTCCTCGTGACCCTGCATGGGGGCGTGGGGGAATGAAGACAGTCAAGGGGCTGCGGGAGGGATATGCGGGAGAGTAAAGCGGAGTAGCGAGGTTGATATTGATGCATAAATGAACTGCATGGTCTGCATGCGCTACATGCGAGTGTGTCATCAACGCGTGGACATACGGACGGACATACAGGCATGGGGGAGCCTGCTTAATGGCGTTTGCTTACGCCGATCGCAATGTACCGCCGCCGCCGGCAGTACATCACGCCGGTCTGGCACTAGGAGTCCGCGGAGAGGATGTCAAGCGGGGTAACTCTCCCGCCCTGGGAACCCTCCTCTTCACCACCTCCCAACCCAAGGAGTCAGACCGCCTCCCGCGGAGAGAAGGGCCCCCCTCCCTCCGCGCGGTACACGCGGCTCCACTGACCTTGAGCAGGAACATGTATTCCGAGCCGTCGCCACCGTGGATGGTGAGCTTCCGGGGCCGCTGCTTGGACGAGATAACGTGCAGCTGCGGCGCAAACGCTGCAATGGTGACCAGCGGCTCGCCGGCGATGTACGTGCCCGGCACCGCCAGCTCCAGTCCCTGTAGGAAAGGAGCAGCACAGGCCGCAGTGTGCCGCGGGTGTCAGCCCTTTTGTCAGAGGACACAGCCGCAAGTGGCTTGCTTCGCTCCACTTGTGCAACCTTAGCAGACTGCGGTCCTAACCTGTACCTCTCGTGGTCCCAAATCCAGTGACCTGGTCCACCACAGACACGATGTGACGTGATGGCACAGGGGGGACAGGGGACACGTGACAAGGACACCAGTGGGGGCAGCAACTTCCCCTTTCCTCTCTCCCGCTTCGTTTCGCTGCTTGGAAAGTAACACACACACATACATATACATACACACGCACAGACGTGAAGACCCTCCAAGGGCACCCACCTGCGCGCGCACGAGCGCCGGACTGACGTACTGCAGCTCCAGCGTGGTGAGAGAGTGGAGCTGCTTGTTGATGCGCTTGAAGACGTGGTAGTATAGGTCCCAGGCCTGAAGCGGAGGAAGCAGGGTGCACAAAGCGTTGAAGTGCCAGATGAAAAGGTGGCCAGATCCAAAAGAGGACGCCACGGCGGGTTATGGTAAGGGTTGAGGGCTCACATCCGTGCCCATCCCTTTCTAAGGAGTATGGCGGAGCGGATGGGAGAACCCAGGCCGAACGCGACCTCGACTAACATCATAAGTCAGTTCCGGGATACCTAGACGCATCGCTCTGTATACTCGTTCCCACTACGCCTCCCCGCGCCTCTCTCTCTCTCTCTCACCTGGTGCAGCTCCGCCTCCTTCCGACTGGCCTTGTACTTCATCAGCCACTCGTAAGCCTCGGACAGCTGCAGGAAGTATGATAGATGCGAATTAGGCGCACCGCAATTTGCAATTTCAGACGAGTGAAAGTGGTGTGACGTGACCATGTGCTACATAGAAAGAGAGGGACGCAAGCATACCATCCGGCAGAGCGGGTGGACTCGGGTCCAAAGTGGGTTGCGCGATAGTCAGGCTTGCGACGCCAAGTCTATCCGCCCGTCTTTGGGGATCCAACAAACAACAACAACAACAACAACAACAACTGCTTGCCGGTGCTCTGTCGCTGACATACTCCAGACCCCGCAAAGCTTGGCCACATCTTCCCTCCAGGAGTAAGCATGCAGCACGGGGCTGCTGGGGCTGCTGCCCCCATGGGATGAACTAAAGCTACGGCAGCAGCTGCTGCATGAGGTGCAGCTAGGCACATTAATCACCTCGTGCCTGTATGTATGTATGTGTGTCCGTACTTGCATTTCCCGGGGAGGCCAACCACACGCAACGCACCTCTCTTCCGTACGACTGCACAAATGCAATCTCCTTGAGTGTTGTGGGCCCCGCCTTTTCAAGCATTTCGTGCAGGGGCAGCAATGTGTTGAGCATGCCCTCTACGTTGCTCTCTCCGAAATACAGCCGACTGGCCTCCTCAAGACCTGAACACAGCCAGGACAACACACCCAGGAGGAAGAGTGGAGGCGGGGCCCCAAGAGGACGGCAAAAGGGCCGGCGTGTGAAAAGTTATCTCACACGAGAAATGTACGTGTTCAGCACCCCGCACCTTCCGCCCGTCAGGCGACGCAACGACAGGGTGCCGCTGTCCTCAGCCTCGGAAGTCATGTCAGGCCAGCCGCCCCTGCCGCACCCACCCGCGCCGCAAAGACAGAGACAGACAGGCAGGCAGGCAGGCAGACATCTAGACAGACAGACATCCTCTCGCGCAGCATTTCAACGCCCTCAGGAGAGGCCCCTTTCCCCTCACCCCTTTCTCAATCTTCGGATCCCGTTTCTTTCCGCGCCCTAACCCCTCCACTTCCCTGGTTAACCGGCAGGCGAGCGTGGCGTCACCACGACTCACCTTCGTGCCACATCTCATGCCACAATATGGCTATCCGAATGAGCTCCCCACTGACCAGCTGCGCCTGCTCCACCAGCGCTGCGCTGTGCTGCCGAATGCACTCCAGCACGGAGTAGGCTGCCTGGCGCCGAGCGGGGCTCTGAGACTTGGTCGCCACCAGCAGTGGGTACATGAGCGCCTGATGGGACGGCGGGTTGGAAGGACGGACAACACGGGATTGCAACGCACAATCCAAGTGGTGGCAGGCAGGTAAGCTGGGCCGCCTCAAACCATATGCACACCGACTCACACACACAGACGGTTGTCCATTCCCCCTCACGCACCTGCGGGTGATGCCGACCAATCTTGACCAGCAGGTGGTGAATGAGCTGCCGCACGTCCGTATTGTGCGTGTGGATCCGCGCAATGATTTGCGGAATGACCAGCAGCCAGGTGTCGATGGACACCAGCTGGAAGCCCTCCTGGAGGGCCGCTCGGACCTCCTCATAGGCCCCGTGGTTGAACCACAGAGTCAGCAAACGGAGAATGTCCTGAAGGGCAATGGGCACATCAGCTGCTAGCTTCATACCAGACAGTACAGGACCTGCCGAGGCAGCTAACACAGATCGACCGGTTTAACGGTATACATACAGTAAGACCATTCAGGTCAAAAGCAATAACGCAACACGCTGCAGCACCGCAGTGCGGAGCTCTCTCCCCGCCTTCCTGGGCCTTCTCTCGCCTCAATTGGTACGCGAGGAGCTATCCAGGTAGAGGATGGTGTTCAGGTGTCTACCCTACCCACCTGCAGGTTACCGGTGCGGTCTCCCGCAGCCTGACCCAGCGCCACACTCCGGAAGAAGCCCTGCACAGCGGGCGGCACATGCCCCACCGCTAGTGTCTCGTCCCGCGTGCTGGGGAACATCGGGGCGAAAAACGAGTCCAGGCAACACAGGGTCCGGCGTCTTTTTACATTAAAAAGGGAAGGAAAGTTTCAGGGAGTGAGGAGCCGGACAGCTAGCTTTGGTGAACGGATTCCAACAACGCGCAACAGGCAAGACGGCACCTCGACGCCCCCTTGCCTCACAAATCATAACTCGGATGTGAGCGGCACAGACGAAGTGCAAGTTTCGGCGGTCGGTTTCGAATCGCAACAGAGGCTACCGTGGCAAGGTAATCACTAAGGCGGCGAGGGCCAGGCAGGGCAGGAAAGCGAAGGGCACGCGCAGCGGCTGATGTGTTGGCGGGTTGTTGTTCCTCCGCACGCCACCCTAGGTACCTGTAGTGCACCGATACGGCCACGTTGAACAGCGCCCACTGGTGCCACGCCTTGGCCCAGTTGGGTGCGTGCTCGGTCGCGGAGCGGAACGATTCCAGGTTCTCCTTGATGACCGCGGGATTGTCCAGCTTCTGCTCGGTAGCGAGGACACCGCGGACAGCAGAAAATAGGGCCGGGATAGGCACAGTACCATGGCAGAGTATTACGGGATACGGATGACGGGGTTCACCCAACCCACTAAAACCACCTGGCCGGAGCGCGAGGACAGCGACATATGTTCCGTTCCGACCACCTGCCATCACATGCCCCAGAAACTGAAGTTGCGGGTGTCTGGCAGCAAGTAATGTAGAGGACAACGGGTAGGTGGGCTAGGAGGCGAAATGCGGACCTGGTCATGTATGCAGTCACGTACAACACCCAGAGGCCGTGATGTGCTTTCCAAGGGAGGGGAGGAGGGAGGGAGGGATCCGCGGAAACGAGCCTCACACTGGCGAGCCCCAAGATAATGGGCATCACTACACCGGGACCGAACCCTCTCGGCGCCTCGTTGCAACATTCAGAACGACGAACGACATCGGAACGTTTCTACTCCTTTTGCTTTTCCTGTTATACCAACCACCGTATTCCCCACGTTCCCCCGGAACCGTTTCCACAGCATAGCTCATTGTATAATCCCACCCAGAGAGAAATACCCACCCAACCATTCTGTCTCCCTTATGTCAACCCTGTGGTCCCGTCACGCCCCCGTGCAAAACCGCACCCCCGTCTACATGCCCCTACAGTCTACACACATCAGCACAGCAGGGCAAAGCGCGAAAAACCACTCACATCGTTCATGGCCCACTGCCACATGCCCAGTCGGAGGAAAGCCCGGCCGTTGAGGGACGCCTGGGGCCGGTCCAACCAGCGAGAACCTCCACCGGGTGCGGTGGCGGAGGCAGTGGGCGCGACAGCAGGGGCCTTCGCAGCGCTGGCAGCCGGAACACCGGCGGCCGTGGTTGCCGTACTTGCCGCAGCGGCTGCGGCAGCGGCGGCCGTTGCCGCGGCGGCAGCCGCCGCTGGCGGCACCGCATTTGCTTGCAACTCTTGGACCTGCGTGAGTGCGTGTGCGTATGTATGTGCTTTAATGGGATCAACAATCTGCGCCGCGGGCAGGAGAGCTGGACACGACGGCACGCGTGTAACGCTTCCAAAGGAGGCAGTCCATCAAACTAGCGTATTCGGCACCATTATGTCGGACCAGTCCTTACATTACACAGCCTTCATCGGACTCTCCCTGGATCCCCCCTCCTTGTAAGTCACATGAGAAAACCTGAAAACCCACTCAGCTGCAACCCGCTCCATTCCCCCTACGTGCTGGTGTGGTCTGATGTGATGTGGACCTGGTGTTCCCTTCCTTGCAGCTCCGGAGCCCCTTCCGTGCAGTCGCAGCCAGGTGCGTACCAGGTCCTGTAATCGGTTGCACGCCTCCGTCCTCTGGCCCTGCGTCCACAGGTGCTTGAGGAAGGCCAACATCACGTGGGGAGCCCCGCTACCGGCGCCGTACCCCGGCTGGCCCCGCTGGTTGATGGACATGGGGTTGTAGCGGAGCAGCTGCACGGGCAGCGGACGGAGGAAGAGGCGACCGACGACATGGGACAAGGGCGGCGATAAGTCCAGGCACACATGAAAACTGAAAAGGTAAAACCATGCACTGCTATTCACAGCCGGGCGGCCGGATAATTAGGTGCGCATGACCACCTTCTGATCTGCATCAAGACAACCCAGATAGGTCACACAGACAGCAGCAACTCAACAAAGCGCACAGGGCCTCAAGGCATTTCGCCTCACGGTTTGCACTGACAGTATTCGGAGTTCCCATCCCAGCTGCCAGTCAATCATTTAGTCAGTTAGTCAGTTACTTAGTCACCCAGTCGGCCAGCTGCAATGCCGCACCCGTCCAAACCTCCTATCGGCGGTCATTCACCCGCATAGGAGAACCCCACATAGGAGTCTGTTCAGGTCGGTCAGATAGGCCCAACATCCCTCAGCCACCTAGAAAGCAGCAGTCACAACGACGCGTGCACATGCACACACGGCGATAGTACGCACCTGCAGCAGCATGCGGTAGGCTTGCCGCTGCCGTCCGCTCTTACGACAGAGGCTCGCAAACTTGAGCCAGTTGTCCACGTCCTGCGTCAAGACCCCGATGGCGCTAGACGTTAGCTCAAGATTACAGTAGGGTTAGCTACTCCATTATACATACTGCCTGCACTGCCAATACCTGGGCTGGGCGATGTCAACACTGCAGGGACCAACATCCGGGGAAACAGGCTGTGACGCCCCGCGTCCGCTCAATGCGGGTCCGTGGACACACTTGCCATGTGCTTCCCCAGCCCGCACCCACAAGTCGCAAGAGAGAGCGCACAACCCAATACCCAACCCAGCGCCCCCTTGGCACTCGGCACACGTGGCCCCGGGTGACTACCACCACCACCACGACCACCACGCCCCTGCTCACTGTCTCGCCCCCACCGCGGGAATCCCTCCCTCCCTTCCCCAACCTTTACACCGTCACCCACCCTACCTGCGCCATGGGCACCACCAAGCTGCGAATGGAGAAGAGGCTCTGCCAGACCTCCACGTGTCGCTGAACCCCCCGCAGCCGGTCTCGCCACAGCTGCTGGATGAAGCTGATGCGGGAGTCGGAGCCCGCTGGGTCGACTGGGAGCGGAGCGGAGCGGCGGGAGGGAGGGTAAAGAGTATGAACATGCGGATGTATGGACTCCTGCGGGCGTGGACATATCTAGTAACACACGTACTATGGTGGTAGGCCGTATAAGGCAACACGGGGAGGACTGCTGACGAAGGGCGCCAGCTTCTGGCATGAAGAGGATATTGCTATCAGGCCTTCAACAGCGACCCGGGGCAGTTGCTCCAGAGCCACATTACCCCGAAACCCAATGTCATCCCCCCTTCCTCCCCCTCCTCCCCCTCACCCGCTCGCCGCTCCAGCGCCTGCTTGTACGCCACCACCTCCTCCAGCTCCGCCAGCTGCTGCACCCGCACCATGTCCGTGTAGGCCCGCTCGTAGCTCTCACCCACCAGCGCGGCAAGGTCAGTCACCATCAGCTCGCGAGCGCGGTCCACGTGCACCTTGGCGGATTCGAACTGGGGCCCGGCAATGAGGCAGGGAGAGAATGGGCATGTGGGAAGCTCATTAGGACTAGGATGGCTCTTTAAGGAAACCCACAGTGGGTCAGTGAGAGAATGGGGACTAGAACAGCGCGGAAGTCGCTGCAAGCTGAGTAACAACCCAAACAACACGTGGTGGGTGTTGGGGGGAAATCATATGCGAGAAAGTGGGAAATGAACTGCCGGTGACCAAGAGGTCCGACACTGCTGGTGGGAGTGAAACGCAATGAAGTCATCGACCCGGAGGCATGGGGAGAAAGTCGCCTAGCTGGTGGGCGCAAAAAGATCGCGCGAGCGACTGCAAGAGGAAGTAAACTTGCAACGCAGCCACACGCAGCCAAAGTAGGAATTACTTTCAGTTCCATTTCCCTGGTTGTGGTAAGAGGCATACAAGACCAGGATTGATCCCCACCCACCGACATGCGCCGGCACACACCAGCTATCCGGGCACCGCGCAGTACCCTGGTGCCACACACACCTGGTTGCTCCTCACGCACAGCACAGCTCGCAAAAAGGCCCCAGTGCCGGTCTGGCTCTGCGGGCCCACATCAGGGTTGTCGATGGTGTCCACATACGACGACATCTCCTCCCAGGCGCCCATGTGCCAGGCGGCATGTGCGGCAATCATGGCCATCTCCCGGCGCACATGCGGCTCCGATTTGCGCCATTCCGTACGACACAGATTGGACAGGTTCTCCCACTCCGCCAAGTTGGCCAGACATCGCATCTTGCCTAGGAGGGCCTGGGGGCGAGGGAACGGAAACCGGAACGGAACGGACTCGACCGGTTGCACCGAGAGTCAACATGATTATGTGAGTCCAACGAACCCTGCAGTCCCCACACAGCCCGACAGCTCCGGCAAACGCCTACAGTAACACCTGGATGAGGAGACACACTCACTGCACCGCAAGCGACCCCTAGGTTGGACTCTCATACCTAGTGGGCTCCCCAGTATAGTCCCAGTAGACTGTCCCCCATCTCACTCCGCAGGTTGTTCCGGAACATTCGCGGCCACGTTTGGAAGACGTCTGGGTCCACGATCGTCTTTCCCAAAACCCTGCCCCCCCCTCGCTGCACCTGCCGTACAGCTGCTTACCGTGTGGTACTCGATGCTGCCAGGGGCCTCCCGCTGCAGGCGGCGCTCGTACGCATCCAGCGCCTCATCCCACCGGCACAACTTCTCGTACCTGCATTGTACGCGTCGGGGCGGGCGCGCAAACAAGGTATACTCATGACCTAGAGGTTTGTGGATTCCTATTGGCTTCAAGTGAGGTGATGGGAACTGACGCATCAATCCACGACCCCAGTATCCCGCAGGAATTAGCTCCATCCTAGGTGGGATCGGAATCGCTTTCCCACCTCCCACCTTCCAAGCCCCCACTGCTGCGTCTCCCCTTCACACACACGCACCAGCTCTCCTTGAGCTCCATGTGCAGGTGCTTCTGAGCATACGTAAGCACACCCACAGCTGCCTCGGGCTGTCGCAGCTGGTTGTTGATGTGGATGAGCGCCTCAATGGCGGTCTGGGGACTGGTCTGAAACTCCAACTCCTGAGACGGCGCACGCAGCGAAACGGAGCAGTATCAGGTATCAGCAACAGCAGCGGCGGATTATGATTGAGAACCGGGGGTTGGGGATAAGGACGGTAATTGCCATCCATCACCAGCGACAGGCAGCCCCTGTTCCCTCCGTCCCCTCTCCTAGCCCCTCACTCCTCACTCCTCGCTCCTCCGATGGCGCACCGGTCACCCACCCACCTTATAGTGCAGCGCCTTGGCGAACGCATGGCACTTCTCCGCCAGCGCCCCCAGTGTGCGGGTGTCCAGGGGCAGCCGCTTGTCATCGTGCTCCATGAACTCAGCAAGGTTGAGCAACGCCGTCACGGTCTCGGGGGGAATGGTGGGGGACGCCAGCGCGGCCTAGGGGGAAGTCGGCCCAGAGGGGCAAGGGGACCCCTCAGTGGGAGGCGGGGCTATCACCCGTTGCCACCGCTGCTGCCCTCGGCGACGTTCCAACACCCCTTCCGGTGTAACCCACCTACCGAACACCGTCACACGTATGCGCATAGATTAACGCCCGGCCGCCCGACAGTCAGACAAACAGTCAGACAGACAGACAGACAGACAGACAGACAGACAGACAGACAGACAGACAGTCAGACAGACAAGCAGACACACGCACAGATACACAGCTGCCGAGCTCACCTCCAAGCTGCGCACGAGCTGTTCCTGCAGTGCAGGGTCCAGGTCCGCCCAGCAGCTCACAAAGCCAGCGGCGAAAAGCTCACGAGCCATGGTGGGGTGGACCTGCGGCGCGATAAATTTATGGGCGGATCAGGTGTGGCGGGACGTGGCGGAGGAAGACACGGGGGGAAAGACGAACCGCGAACGAGGGACGGAGCGAAAGACATCCGTGATACAATCCGCGCGCACAGCACCACACTGCCGACTGTTACAGACCTAGCACTCCAGCTGCGCTCAACAGCAGCAAACGCATGACGGTGTCCATGGATTGCGCTGCACCCATTGTGCCGGGCGGAAACTGGACCCTGCCGCCAGCCACCCAGCCATCCGCAACGGCACGCACTTGTGCTAGCCCGTAGCATGCCCTCAACGCGGGCGAGGGGCTCTCCTTGAGCAGCTCCACACTGAAGTTCCGCATCCACTCCGCCCAGTCCTCCTTCGTCACCCGGTGACTGCTCTCCCACGCGCGGCGAAGTACCCCCGCGTTGACGGAGAGCTTCGGGGGAGGCCCTGAGGATGGAGGTGAACAGTGCCGGCCAAGGCGGCCAAGCGGGCAAGCGTTAAGGAGGAGGGCCCAAGCAAACGTGAGGAAGCGGGGCCCCGCAAGTCAGTCAGCTCTTCGTGTTCCCCTGAGCCCCCTCCTTCCAGCAGCCCGAAACCTCCCAGACACACAAAAAAAAACCTAAAGGTCTCTACCCTCCTGCCATGACGCAGCACTTGCCCAGCTAGTTTCACCCGGTCTGTTATCACCTGTGTCCGGTTGTGGCGGCTGGTGGCCGCCTCCCCCTTCCGCCTGCATGCGCGCCAGCAGGTCTATCTCCATGGCCCAGTTGCCACTGACACCCACCGCAGCTCCCTCCCAGTCCTCCGCATCGCTCATGCAGGGCGGCGATACGGAGCAGACCTTATGCGCCAGCCGCTCAAACCACTCGTGGTGCAATCTGTGCCGCTGGCAGATCTGGAGGCCGCACCCGACAGGAAGGAAAGGAATGCACCGGAGGAGGTTCAGTACACATGCAGACATGCACAGATGGGTCAACAAAACGCCCACCTGCTCACCTGCTCACACTTTTTGGCGCCGCCATGGCGGCAGTGGGGTTAACCAGGACCCGACCGATGCAAACCCACATGAGATAAGCCCCGCACTCGATCAGGGCCCCGCCCAGCCAGTCAGTCAGTCAGCCAGCCAGCCAGCCAGCCAGCCAGCCAGCCAGCCAGCCAGCAGCACACGCCCTCCTATCAGACTCAGATGCCACGCCTCCACGCACCTTGCGAATCGTTGGCACGAAGATGGCGAAATCTGGTCCTAGACACACCGCCACAGCACAAATGGTATCGATTGCGTCCCGCCGAAGTTGCTCATCGCTCTGGCTATCCAGCACCTGCGCAGAGTGCGTTACATTTTGAGTGATGTTGGTGCGGTGTCCTCACATGACCGGCAGTACCATGGTTTGCGGGGGGCCAGCTTGGGCGCTTGTGCAACGGCTACCAGTAACAGCCGCCGCAAACGCAGTAAGACAGACAGGCTGCCCTTTAATTGCCACCGTCACCAGCCGCAACAGGAGCCGCACCCGCAGCACCCGGCTACCTTGATCAGCGGGTGTAGCACAGCTGATGCGTAGCCTCCCAGCTGCATTCGTGGAATAAGCTTGCGCATGGACCTGACGCGCAACAAGGGAGGAACAAGGACGGGATAAGAGCTCTACAGCCATGCAAAAGCCTCTCTGACCCGGTGGCTCACCGCCTAAGGCAGGTGCACCAGCACCTACATCAGGTATTGGAACCATATTGCCAGCGACACAGAACTGGAGCCCACGAGGTGAAAAGATGATGCACACCGCAAAGTGAAGCGGGCAACTCGAATGCCTAATCTGCCAATAGGGGCAGCAGAACGGCCTCGGACTTGGCCCACCACTCAATGCTCACGGCTCGCGGCAAGCCATCCACTAAGCTGATAGCCCTCCGCTCCTCAACCATCCCATAGCCTGCGTGCCTATCATCCAGCTGCCCGCTGTCCCCGCTGGTCCCCACCTCAACCGGTACATCATCCCCCCCAACTACTCCTCTTCCACTCCCCCACTCCACGCGGCTCCCTTCCTCCCGCGCGTCGCCGCCCCTCACCTCAGCGCCGCCCTCCGTATCTCCGCCGGAGTGGAGCTGGCCGAGGGGCTGATCAGTCGCACCATGGAGGGCAGCAGCAGGTGCAGAGAGTCGTCCACCGCGGAGCCCAGCGCCTCCAGAGCCCCCAGCGCCGGACGCACCAGGTCCCAGCTGCCAGACCGCTCCGCCTCGCCAAATACCGCAACAAACTTGGGAAGCAGCTCAGGAACATACTGCCTGCGAGGTTACGGTGGGCCCGGGGGGTGATCATCAGTCGTAGGGAACCTCCCCCTCTTGCCGCGGGATTGATATCATTAGTGGAATACTTGTGGCCATTAGTTTATACACGCACACACACACACACACAGCATCCTTTCGGTGCGCCGGCGGGGAGCCTGGGACACCCAAGAGCAGCAACACTAGAACAGATACAAGAATGTTGGGAAGCACCGGGCCCAATGGGCGTTGACAATACTTCGGGCCAGCGGTAAGCAAGGCTTTCACATGCACGCATATGAGCCCGGCGCACTGCCGCGCTGCGGGCCTGACACGCAGCTACTGAACGCACGTTGCGCCTCCCGGGGCCCAAACCACTCATTACAAACTGCGCATCTGGGACGTACAGACACACAGGTACTCAAGCGCACGTATAGACATGTAGGAGCAGGTACACACGCTTGCGGCTCAGTTTGTTGTGGCCCCTTCTTGCCCCCGTAGGCATCCTCCTCTTCTTCCTTGCTTGCTACCACCTACATGTTTCCAGTCGTGCCAGGCGACTGGTAATTGACAAAGGTGCGCCCCACTCCCCGGGGACCTTTCTTCTGTTCGGCATACTTGGAACTCCTTAACCCTTTCTTCCAGGTGCGGTTGCTTTACATCAGTCGCAACCCGTCGACCCACCGTATGTCATCCCGCAGTGCAACCCCCAAGTCCGCAATCAGCGCCAGGCAGGTGCGAGGTGAGGTCGGCCAAAACTCATGGATCAGCTGCAGCAGCTCCGGCAGGAAGCGGCGCATGTGCTGCCGCACGTACCCCACCAGCGCCCGCAGAGCGCCCAGGATCTCCTCACGAAGAGCCTCGTCACCGCCGCGAAGAACACCAAACAGGATGGGTAGCACCTGTGGCCGTACCGTGCCGCATCATACCGTACCCGTGTGTGTTTGCGTGTGAACACATGAGCAATTGGAGAAAGGTACATGAGCAGAAGGACAAGGTGGAGCAAGGAAACCAAGTCACGGGAATACATAGGAGTATTTGTTGGGGTCATTGAGGCGGGGGCACCGGGCTCACCCCATCAGTCCAGTGCTTCAGATGGATAAGCCAGAGCACCCTGAAGCTCTAAACTGACAACAAACTCAGGCCAGCCCAGCAGACTACCCAACCGATTATAAATCGCATTCGCAGCCTGAAACCCGTATCAGGTCCAGAGGCCAATCTCCACTCCCGCCAGGTCCAACGTCCCTCTCCCATTACCGCCCACCTTAGGCAGGTACGGCACCACATTGAGTTGCAACGCCTTGAAGATGGAGAGCAGCGCCCGTATGACCGCCAGGTGTTGTGAGGCCAGTGCCGGGTCCCGCAGTACCCGCATGAGCGCGTTGATGGCCACTGTGGGGTAGTAGTCCTCGGAGGAGGTCACCAGGCCGGAGGACGGAAGCAGGTCGCCACTGGCGCCGCCATCATCGCCAGGAGCTAGGAGAAAGGAAGGGGTTGTAGAGGTAGACGGGGGGTAGGGGTTAGGAGTGGGCATGGGGAAGCGGCAGAGCGGCACGAGGGGCGATTGAAGGGAAAATGAAAATCCGTAGCGAATCCGCAGCATTGCATATACATGGAGTTCGAGAGGAAGACGGGAGAGGAGCGGAAGGTAGACTTCCTTGGTTCGGAAAAGGGGAGCAGAAGATTTACATCATCAGGTCGTCAGGTCGTCAGGCAACGAAGCAAACCAGCTCTCCCGACCCCAACCCCCTATCCGTGCCCATGGGAGGCTGGGGAGGGATTTAGGAGAAGGACTTCGTAGCAGCAGGAGGAATACCTCTATTCCTCTATTTTCCAGCCCTGATCCTGACCTCTGGCTCCGGACCAATCCCAGTACGGCAGTACGGCTGCGTACTCACCCAGTCCCGCGTCCCCGCTGGCGCCCACCAGGCCCCCCCCGCCGCCACCCGCGGCTGCCGCCCCGGCGCCATGTCGCAGCGGCCGCACGCCCTCCTTCTCCAGTTTGCCCTCCCCGCTCAGACTGGCCTGGTTGACCTTGTGCGTGTGCGGATCCAGTGCGCCGATGATGCCCAGGACCTGAGTCCGGATCAAAGGGAACAAAGTCAAACAAACACAAGAGGGCTCATCGGCGCGTGAATGTGATGTTATGTGTGCATGTTTGTATGTCGAAAGTGGTGCGAGACAGGAAGTAACCCCGTGTGTAATGCGGTAATGCGACGTCATAATGGGTGTTGCCACAGGGGGCACGTGACCATGTAAAGCCCCCCAGTGGGTCCTTGAGGGCACCAGCTAGGGCCCTAGGAGGGAGGAGGAAAGAGGGAACCTGGGCAGGAGTGCATACACACCTCCAGCCGCCCGAAACAGTCAGTCCGTCCTCCGACATGGCATAAAACCGATGAGCCGGCCCAAAAGGGCTCTGACCCAGCAGTAGCAGCAGCAGCACACACGTACTTGAGGGACACCAGATGCGCCGTGACTTGTACAAACCCAACGGACGCGCACGGGTGGCAATCACAGGTCGGTAAGACCTAAGCACCTGGCCGCCGCTGTGAGGAGCGCCGGTCCCAAGATAAGCCACACAGCCGAACGTTGATGCTGATATGTACAACATGTAGGAGTATTGGGGCGACACGGACTGTCTCACGGCCCTACCTTGATGACCTCCCTCCTCTGTGCGGCATGTCCCTCGTGCAGCATCCTCAGCAGCACCGACAGCAGCTGCGGGTACTCTAGGTAGGGACCCATCACATTTCCGCAACTGGACACAATGAAGCCCAAGGTCTTGACTGCCACCACCCGCCGCCGGGCGTCAGAGTTGTCCTGAGGGAACAGGGGAGAGAGCGAGTAAGGACAACATGCACTACATACATACACACACATCAACCGCCTGGAGCAACTAACCAGCTAGAGCTTTCCAGGTGAGTTAACAAGTTCGCCAAATCGGCCGTTTACCGCTCCGTTGCGCTTGGTGCGGGTAAGGCAGTGAAAGCAGGGCGGCTGGAAATTCCGAACAACAGACCATGGCGACAGCAGTAATGGGAAGCCCCTGCTTACCCCCCCCCATGCCCCCGCACTCTCATTCACGTTCCCACCTGTATTGCCTCAATGACCAGCGGCACCACCTCGCTGATGAAGGGCCGGAAGTTGGTGCCGCTAACCTCCGCAAGCGCACCCAGCGTGGACAGCACCGTCTGGAAGCAGGAAGACGAGGACGAGGAGGACGCGGTGGAGGGGGGTTGAACCGAAGGATTTGGAAGCAGCCATGACGGCAGGCAGGGAGTCCCGCCCCCATCGGAGCCCTCCCTGGTTTCGACCCCGTCACGGCCCAAGGTCAAACAAGCCAGGCTAAGCACCTACAAGTCAGTCTGCAAACATGTTCATATCCGGGTAATCCATAAATAGATGTCCGGTAATCTTTCACTCGCCCTCCATCATCTTCAAAAATTTCACCTAAGCCCATGAAGTGCAAGGCCATCCATCCCCTGCCACCTGCTTCATTCCCTGCCCTCGTCCATTTGCCCCAATCCCCTTCGCCGCCCCAACCACCTTGATAACGTTGTTTTCGTTGACCAGGTCACCTCGGTGCATAGCGCTCTTGGCCTTGCTGGCCCCTCCCGCCACACCCCCAGTCGACCCACTTCCCGGCACCACGTCCTTGGGACCACCCAGCAACGTGGAGCCCATGATGGAGGAGGCGGCACTGGGAGCACTGCCCAGGGGAGCTGATCCAGGAAGGGGGTCGAGGATAGGGCCATTTGGAGCGGGGCGAAAAGAAGTCATAACGGCATAAGGGCATAAGGCGCGTTACGACGCGCGGACATGAGCTTGGGACTGGACCAACGTAATACTCAGTGGCAGCACCCATACACGAGGGGTCTGCATCGACATGTACCAGCACCGCACGTAGCACTGTCGTAGCACTGTCTACCTACCTAACATCGCAAGAGGGGCCCACCCCTCACTCCCACGATCGCCACATCACTCAGCCAGCAGCCACCCCTCCTCTCCCCTTGCACCCTCACGTCGTCTCCTGACCTACCTTGTACGACGCCCGCATTGGTGCCCAGGGGAATGGCAACCCCGAGGGCGGTGGGCAGAATGCTGGGACCGATGCCACGTAGCTTACCCACCAGAGCCTTTTGGATGGGCGAGACGTACGGCATGATGAGCTTGGCTGCGCTGGTAATCAACACCTCGAGCAGGTAGGCGCTCTCTGCGACAGTGCAGGCGGTTGGGGCCGAAGGGCAACAAGGGCCAGGGAGGTGAATGAGGGGTGGGTTATTGATGTGCAAGACGCCGGTAGATAGTTCACCAACACGGATTAACGGGTCACCCCTACATGTAGCAGTTCACTCATACATACGGCAGGCAAAGTTGCGAGGTGCATTGCGACATTGGAGCCCAAGTCAGCCCACTTTCCACACCCAGCGCTGACGCCCCAACCACACCGCGAGGCGACACCACACCACACCACACCGCACTTCACCGCTCCGCCACTCACCCTCCCTGGCCCGGTTGTCTGGGCTGAACTCCATGTCGTGCAGCAGCTGCAGCAGGTGTTTCCGCAGCGCCGGGTTGACATGTGCGGGGTTGCGGTCCGCCAGACGACCCACCAGGCGGATGGCCAGTGCGCGAACCGTGCAGCTCTCGTCGTTCATGCCAACAAACAGAGCCCGAAGGCAGTCCGCCTGCATGCACGTACGTACGAATGTATGCATGGCAATACAGCAGTGAGGAAATCAGAAAAGGAAACGAGAAGCCGAGGAGGGGAACGCGAACACGACGTCCAACCCGGGATATCGCACATGGTGACTGAAGGGCAATAACGCAGTGGTTGCATCAATTCAAACTACAGATCCCAGATAACTCCCAACAACAGCCCCCCCGCCCCTCCATCACTCATTACGCAATCATGATCTGCGTCTGCGCTTCGATTATGCCAGCTCGCAGGCTCTCCAATATTCATTCCAGAAGCCACAGGAGCCACAGGCGCCGTTTCCTGGTCACCCGATCTTTCCCCTCCCCTCCCCTGACCTGCGCCAAGTAGTCATCCAGCGCCGTGGTGGCCACCAGCGCCAGAAGCACCTCCTTGCGGACTCGCTCCGAGGAGTCCGCAACGGCCACCACCAGCAGCCGGTTCACACACCGCTCAACTACGCGAGTGTGCCACACGGCGGTGGCGGCACCGCCTAGCGTACACAAGTAAGAGAGGGGTCAGAGGGAGGGGGGGATCAGCGGAGGTGGCCAGGTGGCTACGACATGGTGGTGCAAGACGTTATTAAAGATAGACCGGGACAGCATACATACATACATACATACATACATACATACATACATACATACATACATACATACATACATACATACATACATACATACATACATACATACATACATACATACATACATACATACATACATACATACATACATACATACATACATACATACATACATACATACATACATACATACATACATACATACATACATACATACATACATACACACACATGCAGGGAGGAATGGCTCAAGAGGCACCAGTAATCACTGGCATTTGCGGGAAGCCCCATAATAGCAAACATTGACCCCAACCCCCTCCCAGTGAAACCCGCTTGATAATTGAATTCATATCCGTTCGCTTCCACAGAAGATTAAGGCTTAAACGAAAAGTCCCAAAAACCTTATTTGCAGCTGCTGCGGCGGCAAGTCCTGATTAGCTTTCTCTCACTAAGCTCAAAGACAACCTTTCCCGGAATCCTAAACCCGACACACCTTGCTGGCTGGCAAGCTGCTGCACCGCCCGCCCGCCGGCCCCCACCGCGGCGGCCGACAGAGCTGTCGCGGCGTGGCGCTCCAGCACCCTGCACGCCGCCAGCACTGCCGCCTGGCGGATTTCCTTGTCCGGGTCCTCGGTGTAGGCCAGGATGTGGTCGCGCATGAACTCCAGCAGCTGTATGCCGCCCAGGTCGAAGGTGCCTGGGGTCAAGACGTGAGGGGCCCCGGCAAGGGCGTCCAGGAGCGGTGCGGAAAAGGGCGCGTCGTGGGTGCACTGCCAACCTCCAAAAGGGGACACACCCAGCGAACACTGCAGACGTGATAGCTACACCCGCCAACGTGCTGCATCCTCCTGCTGTACATGATGTACTGGCATTCTCAACGTTCCGTTCGCAAGTGGCTTTAGGTTCCTGCCGTGTGGCGCCCACCGGCTGGGCCGACGGGATCCAACAAGATCCAAATCCATTTAAAAGGAATGTTTTCCGTTCCCGCCCAGTCTCGAAGTCAGGTAAATACGCATTGTACATACATACACAGCTCGGCTCTTTTCCCATTTCCGTGTTGACGCACCCAGATCCGGAGCAGCTTGGCCGCAATCCCAACACCCCGCGTGGAGGGGACCACACTTCGCGACAGGGCATGGGAGCACCAGGAGGGACCCGGACCCGGCCTAGTCCAGTCCCCTCCCGTCCAGCCCCCCTCACCTAGGGTTTGCAACGCCAGCTTGATAAGGGCGTTGCCCTGCAGCTCCCCCGCCGCGATAGCCGCACTGAGGGCAGCGAACTTGGGCTGTGGTAGCAGCATGGTATGCGGCCGGCGGGTAGGTCATGTAAGTGGGTGGTGGTAGGTAGGGCATATTGTGGGGAGCATATGCGCTGTTGCGTGCACAAACTACGTAACCCGATCGACCACCACTTTCAAGTGTCCCTCCTGTATCGTCATCCTGCGGTCCATGGCTGTGAATTTTCACCTTCCGCATGTACGCGATGTTGCGGTCTTACAGTAGCTACGTGCCCCATATTACGGCCAGTCTCTGCACTTCCGCCTTTCAACCCTTCCGCCTTGCTCCCCCTCATCATCACCTGCGTTGTCGCGCTGTTGAAGGGCCTCTTGGAGAGCACCAGACTCAGCAGGTCCAGCAGCTGGTACTGGATGTCCTCAAGCAGCTCGGGAAGCGCATTGGCCACCTGGAGGTGGGGGGCCGTATCCCCACGGGATGGGTGTGTCAGGAGATGGTGCCAGGGGGCAACAACAAAACCAACCAATGGCGCTACCCCGGTTCCCAAGACGGACACGCAGGCTACTGCCCAGTACGGGCAACAGAGCGTCATGGGCGATAGGATACCAAAGAGCGTGACCAGGCCCAGCCCTCACCCGGGACTGGTATGCTCGCAGCTTTCCTCGCTCGCACCTTTCCTCCACATCCCTCTCCGCCTACTTACCCCTTTCCCCTCCCCACCACCACCCACCTGTGTCAGTGAGGACACCAGCACCTCGCTGATGCCCGTCAGCACCATGGATTCAATCAGTGCAGCCGCGTACGGCCGACACAGCGGGCCCAGCGCAACTGCCAACATGCCCACACACTGGAGCGCCTCGGGGCAGGTGGCGGGACGGGGCCGCGCAGCAGCACGGGCGGCAGGGGGCACGGACAGCGCCTCCCGGATGGCTGCATAGATGGGCTGGAGGTAGCCCTCAAAGCCTGAGGACCAGCACAAGCATGGCACGTAACACACGAGCCGTTGAGACACAGGACCACATTAGCACGGGTTCTAACGGTTCCTTGTGGCGGCATGGCATGGTCCCTTCCCCTAGGACAGGTTCAGGACTCCCGAATGCCTGTGAATCGCTGGCTCTGCCGCCCTTACCCCCGTGATACCTTTGCGGAATTTCCTCCTCCTCAAAACACACCCACACCCACACACCTGCAGCACAGTTAACTCGGGCCAGTGCCGCTGCCATATCCGCCAGCGCTGCAAAGGCCGCCCCCCGCTCCGGAGGATTCTTAAGCACCGTCAGCAGGAACGCAATGGCGCGAGATAGGTACTCTGCGGGTGGGCAGGGGATACGGATAAACGGTTGGAAAGAGGGGATCCGGGGCGGCCGACAGCACTTGGCCACACGGAGCGCACGGAGGCGCGGGTGCGAGGATGAGACAGGCAGGGATGGGCCAGGAGGGGGGGGGTGAGCAGAGGCGGCTCAGCTACCTGATGCAAACCTCTCCGGTGAGAAGGCCGCCATGCGGGGCAGCAGGTGGATGACGGCCCGGCGGATGTTCTTCTCCTTGCTGTCCTTGTAACGGAACACGTTCTCGACCACCTCCTTGTACCTACAGGCAGGCAAGCAGGCAGGCATGGAGATGGGGACAGGAATTTCTCATGCACCTACCACATGAGGTTGCTAGGGGCAAGGTCAGCGGGAGGTCTAGGACCCCAACTGGATGGGCTTTGCGGGAGCCTGGTGCGGGGGGGCTGGGTAGGGCTAGGTGGGGCAAGGTGGAGAAAGAGTGCTACGGTCTAGGAAAAGAGGGGGGTGAGTGACACCGACTTGCGTGTGTATGTGTATGTGTGCGTGTATATGGGTTCAGGAGCACCGCTTAGGACTGACTGAACACGGTGGAACTGCAGTACAGCGCAGACACCCACAGCCGTACCCACACGCACCCACCTCGCCAGCATGAACTCCCCGGTGTGTTGCAGCAGCTCCGCCAGCGCCAACAGAGATCCGTGGATGGATTCCGCCGAGGGCATGGAGCCCGTGCGGTGGTCCCGCTTCATGCCGCGCATGGTCTGCTCGAAAAGCTTGTAGTACCACTGAACACGGTAGCGAGTCTCACGCTTCTCAACCAGACACAGGCAAGCCTGGGTGGGGTCGGGTGCGGGAGCAGGCGCAGCGACGGGGATCGCTAAGTCGCTACGACGCACTACGGGATTCAACGACGTGGCGAGGTCCCCAGGGCGGGTGGGCTTTCCAACGGCCGGTTGGACCGGTTACCATTACTCGGCCTCAGACCCACCTTGAGAGCCCGCACCGCCGCCTCCCGTATGTGTTGCTTGGGGTCCCGAAGGGGGAACCACACTGCATCGATGAAGCTCTTGACGTGCACGTTGAACACCGCGGGGGCCGACTCCGCCGCCTCGTGCAGCACCAGCAGTGCGGTGAGGCGCCGGGACTCGGAGGGCTCCACGTGGGGGTCGCACCAGGACAGAGCGCGGCGGATCTGAGGGTGGGGTGCGGGAGAGGGAAAAGGGAATGGGAAGGGTGGGGGGACGACGACTGGTTCTGGATAAGATGCAGGAATGCATAACAGGTACTCATTAGTGCTGTTTGTTCCGTACGAAACACTTCCTTTCGTCCTCCTTCCATGCGGCTGCCCTCCCACTGGGGCTACCGGCATGCCATTGCCCAAGCCCGCCCGTGCCGTCCAAGTCCCCCGCCCACACCCACTCACTTCCTTCTCCACGATATCCGACGTCATGGCCCCACCGCTCCGCACCAAGTGCCCCAGCGTGTGTGCCGCTGTTTCACTGAGTGTGGCATCTTCGCTGTCCTCAAGCACGCGGGACAACATGCTGGCCAGCCGGGACGTCTTGGCCGCGTCATCACCCGAGAGCTGCAGGCGTGGCAGAGCGAGCGGAGGAGGTAGCGGTATATCGGGCGGTAAGGCAAGGACTCAGCCACCCTAGCCCCCGTGAACTGAACTGAACCGACCCCGAATATGGAGTAAAGCGGCCGGGGGGGTGAAACGAATCACGGAGGAGTGAAGCTGCTGCCAAGTAAAGGGTGTAAAGCGGGGGGAGGGGGACAATGCTGGTGGTAAACCAAAGTTGCAATGAATGTCGGCCCCGTCGACATGGTGCCGATGTAGCCAAGCAACGAGGGGGACGGAGGGAAGCACGGTCAGAGGAAACGGTGGGTGAAGGAACGTGACGTCGAGGGCCCATGGCTCCCTTCCCCAGGATGCAAAGTGAGTGGTTGGCGCCATAGGGTCCCGGTTCCATCTGCTGGCAAGTGCGTTATGCGCTACGGCAATCTCACCTTGACATCAGTGAGCTCATCAATCGCAAGCACGCCACCCATACGACGGGTGATGTCGTTCCTGGGTGCGAACGCCGGGTGGGTTACAGGGCATGTTTCCAGGGGTCGGGACATTTGCATTTACAGCATACATACAATTCTGGAAGGATAGCATGCCGCCAAACCAAATAATAACTCAATGTCTGAACCCCCGGGTACGCGCAACTCAACAGCATCCACGGCACCGCACCCCACACAACACACATCAACTATCGGAACGCAGTTCACGCCCAGAACCCCACAGCGCTGCACCAACATCTCCCGCATGGATGCGGAATACCCACCCCTTAAACAGCATGCTGGCGATGCGAGTGTAGAGGTCGGACATCAGCCGTCCGAAAGCCTCTAAAGAAAGGTCCCGTGCCTCCGCCTCAACATACTCCAAGAGGCCTTTATCCCCATCCTTTGCACGGCGCTCCCATGCACCAGGGCGGCATAACTCCTCAAGGTGCCGAGAGAGCGTGTCGGCAGCCTTGAAAACTGGTTTAGCCGTAGCCGGGCCAACACCTGATAACATCATGGTCTGTAGCCGCTCAACAGAGCTTACAGGGCTGTGAAGAACTGTGGGCTGCGGTCATCGCGGCCCGAGCTTTGCCTCTCTTCACGTCGCTACTTTGTTCATAAGAAAAGTTATCCTTTCCGATATATTGTATGTATGGAAGGGCATGCGCTATAGACCTGTAATTGCGAGCATAAACGGGCCGACGAGGGTTTTAATTAAACAGAGGCAGCTAGCGCTAAGGTGTCCTTTCTATAATTGCCTAGCTTGAATCGCTCCGACAGCACTCTAACCTACTGGCCAAGCTGTCTGCCCTATCGACAGATGCGGTTGCCATTTTACTAACTGGCGGGCGGCTAGAGCCATTCAGCATGCCTTGACATAGTACCTACTGAGAAGCATATTTCACTGCTAGTTTCAATAGATTCGGTTCCTGTGCTCGTCACGTGCGTACGGCGAACGTATGCTCCCGGCAACCAGATTTTGATCCACGGTCCACTGCACTACTCGTGCCTACTGGCCACCCGCCATCCTCCCTTCAGCCCTACGTTCCTTGTGGACGCTTGCACATATGCACATACGTGGATGATGTTATCCGTCTGCCTTTGCCAGGCTTTGCCACTTGTTCCTACGCCTCAAGGGCATAATCCGAAGAATCGTCAATCCCCCGGCTATCCGTTGCTGCAAATCATTGCCTCTGTGCTAGAAAGGCCTGATCGAAAGGGGATACTTGACGAGGAAAGAGGAAAGAAACCCCTAGCTAAAAGACAGCACTGGAGCCTTACATCTAGGGGGAGTGCGTGCTGATCAGCAAAACATGCTACGGAAGGAGAAGCTCTTGCGCTTAAGCAGAAGCCACGCTAGTTAAGGCGTAAAGACTGTTTGGCTGAGAAACAATACGGCTGGCCCGTGTCCCCAGGACCACTTAACCTGCAACTTTTCCCAAAGTCTCACCCACAACCTCAAACTCGACGGTGTGCTCATCAACCGGCCCATGTGACGCGCATGTGCCCCTCTCGCACGCTCAACCACGCGCTGGTTGCTGCATACCGACAAACAAGCCGCAGCCCGAACTGCCGCTCCATACAAGTTACTGCAAACGCAGCTTACGCTGCCCTGCTCGCCGGCCCTTGCGCCTCAAAGCGCAGTCCGGACAAGTGGCCCCAAAGGCGGTGCCGTGGCACCCAGCTAGTTCGCGCACCGCACCGCCGTACAACCAAGTTGGTGATCTCGAATGGCCGCACCACCAACACCACGTAAAAAACCAATGCAGCAGTAGAGTTTTGATCCACAAGGAAACACACAACACTGTGCAACGGTTTAACTCCGCAGCTTGGCAACGTGTTACTGAAGGGCGAAACTGGCACTGCATATAATATCGAAAATCCGCCAAGCCAGAGCGCTCTGGCACCTTTCCCCCAGGCCTGGGTTTGCAAGCATCTCATATGTATACCCTTCGCTCACCGTTGACAGCTTCTTGAGTCACCGCCAGATTTTGAACTTCGAGACAACCAGACTTGATCAAAGTTGCTCTTTCTTGCTTGTCGTACAGTGCCTGGTCGGTCTGCGCCTTGCGGTCTGTAGCGCAATTTGCTGGGCGTTTCATGTTGCGCCGGGCGTGTTTCCCCTGCATGACCCAAATGGGGATGTAAGGGGGGAGGGCGCCCAGTGCACTGAGGCGCCCAGTGACCCGCGCAGGTGACCTAATACCCCCCTCCCCCTGGCCCTCTCCTCGTACGGTCCCCTCGCCCCTCAAGGCGCAGCTGCTGGTGGCTCGCGCGGTGCCCTTCCTGTCCTGCGGTGACCTCGCCGGCGGTGACGCGGTGCGGCCCATCCTGCATCCCCTTCCTCATGCCCGCCCACACGGATGCTAGCCAGGTCCCCGTCCGCGCCGCGCCGCACCATACCTCCCAGATGTGCGCCAAGGGCTATATGACAATCAAGCCTTAACGTACGCGTCCTGAGGCACGATGCTAACTGACGGTCACTGAACAGTTCTCTGTGCAGGAAAAAGTTATGCAACCCCATCAACCTTTTTGTACCATCTGATTCAATTATTTATCCGTATCCGCACAACTCGAATCAACAGAGTCCCGATGTCTTTCCTAGCCGCTTCCGTGGGTTGCAGGCAGCGCAAGTCACCCGCTCTGTGACATATGGCGGCCGGTCGGAGTGGCACTGGGTGCAATGCGGAGTTGAGCCCTCGAGCGCCAACACCGGAAACAGATATCTATTTCAGGGTCATCCGCTACACGTTACGTGTCGCGTTAACGTTCGGTTGGTTTCTTTCCCCCCCCCCGTGGCCATAATACGACGTCATGTCGTGAGCCAAATGTGCGTACCGCCTGAGGGGGGTTATGGAGAGGGCATCCTCGGGCTGTCCTTCCCCTCCGCTCCACACCAAGTAACCACCAGCATGACTTACTGCTCACCCACTCGATCTGCAGCCACTCGATTTGCACGCTTGCTCCTTGCCACCCTGCGCAAGTCCGATGGGTCAAGATCGTTATGAGTTATGCAATGATGCGAACAGCTTCTTTATTGCGCCTCCGGTTGGTTCTGGTCTTGGTCTTGGTCGACGTAACGACATAACCCCTGGAGGGTATGGACCGACAGCGGGTTGCTGAGTGGGACCTACCGATTGCCGGGGAAATCCGGCGGTTGCGAGGGGAGGAGGTAGGAATGACACGAGCAGGCAGGAAGGCAGGTGTATGTTGACAGGGAGGGCTTTAGGCTTTGAACAAAGCAAAATCAGCTACAACTAGCTAGGGTGCGATAAGGAACACGCCAATATTCATCCGCCAGTTCTGGATTAAGAAAAGTATATGGCACACTGTGATTGGCACAAGGCAATCCAAGCAGGCCGTTTGCCGCGAGGTAGTTAGCAAGTACGGCACCTGCACGCTTTTACAGTCATGCTTGAGCGCCTAAGTGCTTCCCTTGCGTCATTTCCAAGAACGTTCAGCGTTGTAAACCCCTTGACATATTTGGGCCATGCTGAGAAGCTAAAGCTGTAGAAACACACTCCGCATTGCCGGGACCAGTGAGAATGGCGCAGCACGCCCGACGGCTGGCCACTGGCTTATGGCTCAGCGGTGGAATAACTATGGCTGCATATGCAGCACCGCACGTCTTGGCGGAGAAGGATGACAAAGACAAAGCCTCCATCCATAATGATAGGTTATTCGACCCTGAAGCACTGGAGAGGGGTGCCAAAGCGCTGCGTGAGATCAACAAGTCGCCATATGCCAAGCAGGTATAGTGGGCATCCTTCGAGCAAAGGCGACAAATCCGGAAGGCGGCTGCCATCCGCTTACAGCGCGCTTGATGTTTCATGGCGATGATGATCTTGAGAGCAAGTTATCGAAAAAGTCGGTAATGTAGGATAGGTGTGCTTAGCGCTTTCACTTGCCGTGTGATCGTGTCGCCTCCGACACCTCGTCGCCAGATGTTCGCACACATCTCGCACGCACCCAAAATATATGCGCTCGATACCATATCTCTTGAGATTACTCGGTAGAGCGCTTAGTATGGGGTATCTCTTGGCCAGGCTGAGGGTTTTCGTGGCGTGAACGTTCTTGGAAGATGGCGAGCGGTTGCCGAGACAATTCTTGAAATCATCAACGTTATAGTCTTCTACGGTATAATGATCTTTGTTCGATCCGGCTGCGTACGCTTCAGGCCTGCGCTTATGGGGTTGGTGCGGTCGGCCCCATAGTCCGTGTCCTTGCTCTCATACTCATCATCATCTGTGACGCTGGCCCTGGGTGCAGGCGTTGGAGCTCAGTCGGCAGCAAGAAGTCACGAAACAAGCGGAGCATAGGGAGAAGGAAGCGGATTACCGCCGACAGGCTGCGGCGCTTGAAAAGGTGGGTGGAACTATGATAGACGGAACACACACATGCTCCATTTTGCGTGTACATACTGGGTTCTGCAACTCTTACGCTGAAGCATGAAAGGTAGTAAGGCTCCTCGGGTCGGCGTCGGGTTGGGGTTTACACTTACCCCTCTACCCCCGACACACTCCTTGCGCAAGCTACCTCTTATTGAGTGGGTATTCAACCTGGACAGGCCCGGGGGGGGGCGTCTTGGCTGTGGGAGCCATTGGTTTGGGGCTACCTTTGCTTCGGGAGTGAACCCAAGGAACCCACTCGCGTGGCATTCAACATATAGGCACATAAGCGCCCTATGCCAGCTGACCCACTTGCAGCGGTAGCTGCCCTCACGCCGCTGGCTTGGGTTCCTCTACGGGCCCCTGGCACACCCCGGCTTCACCTCGCGGCGGTTTGGTGCACAGTAGCCCTCACCCCGTATCCCGCCTTGCCTTGTTCACCGTCACCTACCGCCTAATATGGCCCATTCGTTGGCGTCAATTCCAAACCGCGCCGGCGCACATCACGGGGCCGCCATCCGCACCTCGTTCCACGGGGCCGACCAACCGATCCCCTCCTGCTGCCCCTCCTGCCGCTCCTACTGCTCCTACCCACAGGAACGTGAGGTGGTGCGATATGAGGAGGAGAGGAAGATGGAGGAGCAGCGGGCGCAGGTGGGGTGAAGGGTTGGGGGGATGGCGTATGGAGGGTGCACCACAGCACGGGGGGTTTGGAGGCCTATTCTCCGCTTCTGACAGCGGAAAAGGAAGAAGGAAAGGGAAGTGGGGAAATAATAATTACCCTTATTATCGTGTAACATGAGGATGGCGGCATGGGGGAATTTTACTTCTGTTATGGGCGGTGTGGGCAGTTGGAAGGGTGTGGAGGGGTCCCAAAATGGAATCAGCGGGGTAGCGGCGGTGGTCCAGCGGGTGGTGGCTCACGGGGGCCGTGTGGGCTGGGCACGGCCGGGCGAGCAGGTCTGGCTCCCCACCCGCTTTCGTGTCGCCCGGCGGCGCCCAGCTCACACGGCCCCCTTGGGAGCTGCACTGGAGGCAGTGGGCAGGGGGGGCCCTTCATGTGCATGTGCCCGTTGGTCCGCTACTGGGTCCCCTGAGCACCAACCCCAGCCGCGTCTCGCCAGTGCAATTGCCACCGCCATAACACCACGCTGGTGGGTTCGTGTCCGTACTGTGCGGCAGGTCGCTGCCCGTATGAAGCAGTACGAGGACGAGCTGGCTCGCAAGCGCATGATGGCGGAACACGAATTGCAGCGGCAGCGGAATGCGGAGCTGGCGAAGCTGCAGGTGCGTCGGTTGTGGATTGGTTGGTGGGTTGGCTGACAGTTGGCCCATATTCGTAAGTTTCATGGAACCCTCGGGGACCCCCCCCCCGGGGTTACATTCGGCCTCATTTTCCTTTAATCGGTTACGTTGGCCAGGTGGACTAATTGACATCATCACGGTTTGTCTGCTAACCTAAGCTGACACGCCATCCCGCGCCGAAACCTCCGTCTCTCGCTCCGCTGCAGTGTGTGTTACCCGCTCCCCCCTTCGGCAGTCGTTTCCTTACCTTAGCATGCGGACTTCCCCTCTCCCTCCCTACTCCCGCCACCGGCACCACCTCTACCGCCACTGCCAGGAGGAGGCCTCTGCTCGTGCGGAGCAGGAACGGTTGCGGGTGGAGCAGCAGATTCAGGCTGAGCGGCGGGCGGCGGAACAGTACGCGGTGAGATAGGGTGCTGGTAGGGATTGGAGGATCTGGGTTTGGACCTCGGTTTGCTGTTGCTGCGGCGGCTGCTGCTTCTGCTGCGACGGCGGCGGCGGCGGCGGCGGCGAGCCGATGGCTTTGGCTTCGCTTGAACTTGTAACTTTAGGAGCTGCCGACGCCAGATGATATCAGGCGAGCTTTCTGGAATGGACCAATCGACCCGATCTTGAATCCGTTCTTCCCCGCGGGGGGGGGGCACATAACCTCTCCTCCTCCTTTCCTACATTCGGTTGTCCGATCTGGTGTTCCTGTTCCGTGCAGGCTGACTTGCAGAAGCAGATTCAGCGCGAGCGGGCCCTGGCGGAGGCGGAGGGGCGCATCAAGGAGGCCCGGGAGAACGAGGACGTGAACCGGCGGGCGGCGCTGCTCAAGTACCAGGAGGAGACGAGGAAGGGTGAGGGACGGGGAGGCATTTTTAGGCATGTGCTTGGAGGCTGGGGTCTGGGAAGGGAAGGTGCGGGTGTGGATGGGGCTGCTGCGTGGGGGGGCATATGGGTCTCAAAAACAGCAGCAGCAGCAGCAGCAGCAGTAGCAGTAGTTGTGTTTGGTCCGTCGCGCTGCCCCCATCAGCTTACTCCAACAAGCATCCCCACGGTGGCCCTGCAGCCCTAGCGTTTTGGGTACATTTGTTTTTAAAGAATTGCCTTCCAATCCCCTCAACCACTAGTTGAGGTTGCAGGCGGTCTTGTTTCTAACTGCCCCTTCCCTCTCCTGCCGCCTCGCTGCCTGAACTAAAGTTCCCCTTTAGGGGAAGAACCCCCTGCCCTAAACCCCTCTATCTCTCTCTCCCCCTCTCCCTCCCTACGTTTGGTACACTCTTGCCCTGGCAGCAGCTTCACTCGTGTGTGGTTCGTCTTTCCCCCTTCTCCCTGCAGCCCTTGAGAGCATCCACGCGGTAATGAGCCACCTGGGTGCCGCCGCCCTGGAGCTGGTGACTGACACCAACAAGCTGCTGACGGCGGTGGGGGGCACCACCCTGCTCTTCCTGGGGGTGTATGCCACACGGGAAACAACCCGGGTGGTGGGCAAGACGGTGGAGGCGTGGCTGGGGACACCACGGCTGGTGAGCTGACGCTGTGGTTGGTGGGGTCTCTGTGTGTGTGTGTGTGTGGTGGTGGGTTCTGTGGAGCCCGGAGGGAGGGGAGGGGAGGTGTGGGAGGTCAGGATAGCTGAGATAGGTTACGTGGCGGTGGGGTACATAAATGGCGGAGTGATGGAGCTCGGTATTGGCTTCCGTCTGATCCCCTCTCGTCTCCTTTCCCCCCACGTGCCCAATGCCCTCCAATGCCCCCTCCAGGTTCGCGAGACCTCCCGCTTCAGCTTGTGGAGCCCCAAGTCCTGGTCGCTGGGACCTAGTCGTACAAAGGAGGACATCAAAAAGGATTTCTCCGATATCATCCTGCACCAGGTAGATAGATACGGCCAGGAGGGTAAACATAACCAAGGTGATTTGTACGGCTGTACGGCTTTCCCACGTCAATTGGTTCACATGTGGACATCATTTAGCTGAGCAAAATGTTGAACATCTACTTTCTGGTTGCAATATTCCTTTTCCCATCTACTGCTGTGCAGGAGTTGCACGACACTGTACGGCAGGTTGCTGCCGCCGCCGCCAACACCAAGGCCCACGGCGCCCCTTTCCGTCACATGTTGTTTTACGGGCCTCCGGGAACTGGTGAGGTGGAGGTTTGGGGCGGGCTAGCGGCTGGTGGGGGGGGCTGGGGGTTTTACAGGTAGCGGGTGCATTAGTCCGCTTCCTGCCTAGATTGCACCTTCAAAGCCATATTTCTCTTCTGCATCATGTGTTCAACCCCTTGTCACCCCACCATCATTGTACTACCACAACACACACATCAGCTCCCGACGCAACATCTCGGCGGTTTGATTTGGTTTGGGTCAATACGCGGACGGGGTGGTCAAGTCTGTCCTAGTCGCCGGTTGTCTCGTCCCACCTGCCTGCCTGGCCGGCACCCCCTTCACCCCGCCAGGCAAGACCATGGTCGCCAAGCGCATGGCTCGCACCAGCGGTCTGGACTACGCCATTATGAGCGGGGGAGATGTGGCCCCCCTGGAGGGGCGGGCGGTCACCCAGCTGCACCAGACCTTCGACTGGGCGGAGAAGAGCAGGCGGTGGGTAGGGGGAGAGGAGGGAGGAGAGCGGAGGGGTAACAACATGCCACTTTGATTGCCCAACGAGCCGTTTTTCCTTTTCCATTCATGCCGAATGTGGGGCGAGTGGGTGGGCGAGGGCATGGAATGCAGCCTCAGCATGTCGATGCCTCAGCATGTGGTGCGGCCCGACAGCCCGGTGAGCTCGGTGACACTCGAGCAGCTTAAAGGCCCTTGACCCGGAGCCCGCCGCTCTGGAAACGACCGTTGGTACGCAACGGCCAAAAGTGTAGTGGCAGTAAAGTTCACAGAGAAGTTGCGTCATGCGGCTTTGGACTGAGCCAGCAGTTGGCAACTTTGGGCTTTCCCCTTGTCTTGACTTTGCTGCGTGTAGTCCCCCCTCCCTCGGCTCTTCATCCCCGTTTGTGTGCCGGCCTCCGGACCACTTTCCCCTCCTTCCGTTCCCCCTAACCTTTTCTCGCTCGTGGTTCGTCTTCCCCCTTCCCCAACCCTTCCCTTCACTCGCCGCGACCTGTGCCCCCAGCGGCCTGCTGCTGTTCATCGACGAGGCGGACGCCTTTTTGGGGCGTCGTTCGGACTCCATGTCCGAGGGCCTGCGGGGGTCCCTCAACGCGCTGCTGTTCCGTACGGGAGATCAGAGCCGGGATTTCATGGTGGTGCTGGCCACCAACAGGCCGGGTGAGGGGAGGGGAGCGCAATGGGTGGGAAGAGGGGAGAACTGAGGGGGATAACGCACGGTGTATGTGCATGTGCATGTGTGCTTGCTTGGGAGGAGGGGTCAGCGCTACGGGGAGAGCGGAGGGGGATTGCCCGCGTGCCGGGGGTTTAAGTTCTCCGTGTCTGGGGACCTGTTCGCAGTTTCAGGGTGAGGTGGGGGTGCGTTTGGGTAGGGCCGGTGTTCAAGTGGGGTTTGGCGTTTTGAAGTTTTTGGCACTAGGAAACGGGGGAATCCAGTTCGGGTTTCGGAGCTGGCAAGAGGCACTCTGAAGGGTTCCCCCGTCTTCAACGCCACCACCCACCCTACAGTGGGAGCCCTAACAACAGCGTTTCCTGGTGCCCTGATTACCCTAGCTCCTATCCCCGTGTACGGCGATGACATACACAGGTGATTTGGACGATGCCGTACTCGACCGCATGGATGAAGCGCTTGAATTTGGTCTACCTGGTCTAGCAGAGCGGCAGCGATTGTTGGGTTTGTATCTGGACAAGTACATTGCGAAGGCGGGGACGGCGGAGGGCGGCGCGGGGGCGGGGAGTGCGGGCGGACCGCTGGCGAGACTGACTGCGATGATTAAGGGGCGCAAGGTGAGGGGTTGAGGGGCGGGGCTGCTGCTGGGAGGAGGCCGGGGACTGTGGAGAGGTTTTAGGAAGGCGTGGGGGGGGGCTGCCGGAGAAACTCTACTGGGTTTTGTACGGGCCTGACTGGGCAGCGGTTGGGAACGGGTGGCCTGTGCTTGGCCTCTGCTAGGAGAGGGGTTCCCGCCACACGGGCAGAGGGGCCCCTGGGCCGCGTACCTCCTGGTCTGCAGCGGTAGTAATTTCACCTCCCCTGTACCCCCCTTCCCTTCCCATCCCTTCCCCCTCCCACCCCGTCCCGCTCAGGCCTCCGCTGACCGCATCACCATCAGCGAGGGCATCACGGAGGAGCTCCTGGCGGAGACCGCCCGGGCCACCGAGGGCTTCTCAGGTGCGGGTGGTTGGGTGTGTGGGTGTAGGGCGGGGGGAGGACACAGTTGGGGTGAGGGGGAGGGAGCGCGTGGAGGCGTAGTTGTCTCATGAAATGGTAGGTGGGATAGCCTTTGGGATTCCATGCCTTTGTCACGTCCTCGGTGTACGGTGCGCATGTATCAGTTCGGTCCGCGGTCTGCACCCGCGCTCCCGTCTCCGTGTCCGCTCCCCCCTCCGCGTTCCTCACCTCAAATTACCCGAGTTCACCCATGACCTCATCCTCTTGGCCGCTCACTATCGCTTTTCCGGCAGGTCGTGAGCTGGCCAAGCTGCTGGCTGCCGTACAAGCTGCCGTGTACGGCGCTCCCCAGCCCGTACTCACCCCGGAGATCTGGCGCACCGTTCTTGCCCGCAAGCTGCACGAGCACGCCGAGCGGAGGTCCTTCCGTCTCGGCCACCACGGCACCGGGGACTCGGCCCCAGTGCTGGCGGGGCCGGGGGCGGGACCGCAGTGAAGGGGGGTATGGTGGACTACATTAGGGTTAGGTGGGCCCTGGGGCGGGTGGAGGGCTGTGCCAGTGTGTGGGGGGGATTCGCATGGCAAGGTACCACCGGGTTCAAGCAAGAAGAGTTGTTGGGATTCAGATTCATCCGCTGCTCTCGGCTGATTGTTAGTTTTTAGAACAGAGAAACGGAAGCACTGATTGGTGCTGGGGGCCATTAGAGAGTGCATGTGTGGGTAAGTCAGCAGCAGCTGGTGGGGTGAGGGGGATGGAAGTTGGAGTAGTGCTGGATGATGGAGGTTGACCGCAGCGCGGCACGAGACGAAACAAGTGGTATGCAACGATTACATGCAGGTGCTTTGGTTCGCCTGTTGGACCCCAGAGGTCATGCATGGCTGGGAGGGGCCGTTGCCCAAAGCTTCCTTCCGGGCCATAGTAGTGCTCTGCGCACTCATTATGGGCCGGTGTCTCCACCAGGAGACCTTATGACGTTTCGGACCTAAGGCTAGCTCTGAGCGGCCTCAGCCGGTCCCATTCATCGCCTTGGGGAGGGGGCCCTGCTGCGTGCCGTGCCGCGATGCTGCCGCTGCCGCTGCCGCTGTCGTGCGGCGCCCAACCCGACCCAATCCACCCTGGTCGGGTGGAGGACTCATGTCCCCAGAGTGTAATGGCTCATGGACATGTTGCGGCGGACTCGCACACGCGCCTGAGGACCGACGGGCCCTCCGGGAGCCGGCACGTCTGCGAGCTCGTCGGAGAGGAACATCAGTCCTGGGTGCCGTGCGGATGTCCATGTCGGGTCTCTAATATCGTCGCCGTGCGTGGCTACGGAGTTATGAGTATGGTATGTACTGACGCGCATGCCTTGTGCAGCTGTTGGTCCTGTTGCGACGCGGCGGACGGTTGTGTTTGTTATGTTTGTCGTACGGCAGTTGTTGGCGTTACCGCCTGTTCGGACCGAGCCAGTGGGGCCAGGAGGGGGAGGCGGGAGAGCAGTCGTGTGTCCATTCGTTTGGTTATATTTCCATTTGATGCGAGAGTGGTGCGGGATGTTGTTGGCAGGAGCAGAAGCGTTGGAGGTCTCTCGGTGAATTGGGGGGGGGTATGTCGGGACTTTCGGACGTGGAGTGATCTGCGTGTTCTCGTGTCGCTCGGCCCCCCCTTGTGTGTTAAGCTGTTCCTCCTCCATCCCCCCTTCTTGAAGTGGCCCGCTTCCCTTCGTCCCTCGTTCCATCCGAGATGGTGGTCTTGGTCTTGTTAAGGAATGGTTTTAGGGTTTTAGAGGAGGAGGGGGAGGGGGGGCGGCGGCCTAGCAGCAAGCTGTGAGTAGCCACTCTTGTGTGGTGTGCTGTGTCGTGCGGTGGTCTCCACGAGATGGTTTGTTTGTTGCGTTCTGTTCACAACATGAGATGTGAGCGCAGTGCTACTAATAATAAGAACCTGGCATTAGACTTGTGCGTGCCCGTGTGCGATGTATGTTTGGCCTGACGGTGGCCAACCGACAAACGGGAAACGGACAACCGACGTACAGACTGGACGTACTGGACCCTCCTTGGAAAGTCCCGCTTCCCATTAGTGTGGCTGGGTTCTCACGTATTGCGTTGGGACACACGGCCAGGGTGTGCCGCCAGGGTTCGGATAAGGGTAGGTGGGGTTTGGGGTTACTTTCGACTGGTTGCAGAAGGGAGGATGAGAAGATGCGCTGTCTGTTATGGTAGAAGGCTGATCGTGACAGCTGCATTGTTTGACCCACCACAAGTTGTTGGAGTGCTCTTTTTCCCTCCTTCAAATGCTTCGTTTTGGCTCAATAGTCCATGGTGGGCCTAACGAGCTGATGCAAATTTTCACTACCATAATCATCACCGTCATATCATCACCCAAAACCGATTTCTAAAGGAATGCTGAAAAGGAAAGAGAAAACTGACAAGTTTGGGAAGGCATCGGCGGGACTGCTTAGGACACGCATCATGAATACGGCGTTGACGTTTTTGTGTCACAAGCTTCACGAGCATGTACTCCAAACGAGCCAAGTAAGAAAATTGTGAGCTTAAAACAAAGAATGGTGAAAATACTGACAAATGGCTCTAAGGTGCTGAGGGCACGGGCCGTCCCGAGTAGTTGGTGAAGCAGTTGGGCCCGACACCGGACTAACTCTTCTTATGCGATCGAATTCCGCAGATGTTGGACGAATAACACTGTAACCATCGCATCCAAGCGGCTTGCATTGCAGTATTATCTATCGTCCCGAGAATGGCAGCGGATGTTACACATGCCTTTAGAGGCACATTTTATCACACGCCTTCGTATGGCCGCCTGGATGCGCTGCGGGATGTCGTAGTCGTAATCCAAGATGGAAGCATTGCGCGAATTGCAGAAGGCAGCGAGGAGGCTGCGGTGCGAGACGAGTATGGTCTCGCTGAAGTACGCCAGCTGGAGGCAAGTCATGAGTGGTTCCACTAGAATTCAAGTCAGTCGCTCAGCTGCAGGCGACTGACCTCGCCCTCCCCACCTCCTCCCACCAGCCAGGTCAATACTTCGTACCAGGCTTCATTGACACACATGTACATGCCCCACAGGTACGGCGATTGACCCCTCGGTCTACTGGTCGTACTGCTTATGACCTATAGATGCAGGTCCCTGGTCTTCAATGCGACCAGGCGCCATTCATTCATTCGTTCATTCATTCACTCAACGGCATCTCCTTATCAAGGTCCTTACCTTACCTACTAACCTGAAGAGCCACTTTGCTGGTGCACCCTTTCCCCCAACGTTGTGTGCGACTCTCAGCGGGTCGTTGCTGGCCTCACTTCCGCTTCCCCGCACCCCGGGGACCTCCGGCGTCAGTTCAGACACCCGACCGGCCGTACCAGGGGTTACTGCTCGCCGGTGCCCCACAAAACTCCTACCTTTATAAACTTTGCACCAGCGCAGGGTAGTTCTGTGCTCCTGACGAACACACAGGGGACTCCTCGCCATCCATATAAATAGCCCCTGTCACTGAGGCTGGCTCCGTTTCACCCGTTTGACAATAAAACCTTTCCTGCAGTACCACTACACCGGCACCGGCACTGATGTTCCGCTCATGGAATGGCTCCGCAAGTACACCTTCCCGGCGGAGACGTCCTTCCAGGACTTGGATGCCGCTCGCCAGCGCTACTCGCTGCTCGTGAAGCGCTTCTTGGCAAATGGCACAACCACCGCCATGTACTACGGCTCGCTGCACCTGCAGCCCAATTTGGTGCTGGTGGACTCAATCGAGCGGCTTGGGCAGCGGGCAGTGGTGGGGAAGGTAAGGAGGGGATGGGGGATAACGAGGTTAGAGGCGGGAGGGACGAGTGAAGGTAAAGGGTGAACTATGTAGCTTGGAGACGAGCAATGCTGAGAGGAAGGGCACTAAGAGATCCTGATGAAGTGTGTGGGTATTTGCTATGATTTTGTGCATGTTCATGTGCAACCCAGATGGTCGGTAACGATATAAGAAGGCGAGCGGGTTAATTTTTGATTTGAATTACGTTCTTCCCGACCCGGTCATCAACCCCAGGTTAACATGGACCGCCATTCCCCTGACGACTACATTGAGAACACCTCGGACGGTCTTCGTGACGCGGAGGCCTTCGTGACCTACACCCTGGACAAGAAGTGCTCCCGCATCCAACCCTGCATCACACCGCGCTTTATCCCAACGTGCACTCCGGAGCTAATGAAGGGTCAGTGGCCGGGGGTGCAGATGGCGGGGTCGGGTCGGACTTTTGAGGCGCATGGGGCTGTGGTGGGAAAAGTATTACCCAGCGCTGCCTGTGTTCTGCGTTGCCGAAATCGCCAAGCTACAAATCTTGTCCAGGGGCATCACTGACCTGGTTGAACCTGCGCATCACGTGCTTGTGTTCCCTCTCCCAGGCCTTGCTGCGATTGCGTCCAAGTACGGCTGCCACATCCAGTCGCACATCTCCGAGTGCTGTGGTGAGGTCAACTGTGTGCGGGAGATGCACCCCGATTACGCATCGGACGCGGCGGTGTTTGAGGAGATGGGTCTGCTCACCAGCCGTACTGTCATGGCGCACGGCACGCTGCTGAGCGACGAGGACATTCGCCACCTGGCGCGGCGGGGCACCGCCGTCAGCCACTGCCCGCTGTCGAACTTCATTTTCGGGGATGCGTTTTTCAAGTAAGCAGCGTTACCTTTATCAGAGCATTTATGCTGAATTACTAGCACCGATTTCAGTGATGTTTGTGGCACGGTTGAACATAACTCGGTCACAGCTTTGCTTCCTAATGCCCATCGCTCCCTTTCCCCTCTGTTGTCAGGGTGAATCACGCGCTGTCTTTGGGTCTCAAGGTGGGTCTGGGCACCGACGTGGCGGGGGGCATCTCCCCCTCCATGCTGTCGGCTCAGCGGATGGCGGTGGTCAACAGCCGGTGCCTCCGTGCGCACAAGCTCGCGGTCTCGGGCGGTACCATCGTCACCCAGGAAATGGAGAAGGACGTGATCACGTTCAAGGAAGCGCTGTGGCTGGCCACGGTGGGAGGAGCGCAGGTGGGTGCATGCACCCTAAGTGAAGCATTATGGCACGCCGACAAGCCCCGAGCAGCGGCCACTCACACCCGCCTCCCGTGTGTTGCTGGTCCCCCTCCACCCGCTTTCCATCTTTCCAGGCCCTTGACATGTCTGACCGTGTGGGTACCTTCGAGGTGGGCAAGGAGTTCGACGCCCTGCTTGTGGACACCAACCTAGGGGGTACCAGCGGCCCCTTCGACGTGTTCCCGGGAGAGGACGACGACCAGCGCTTCGAAAAGTTCATCAACCTGGGAGACGATCGCAACCTGATTGAGGTGTACGTGCAGGTGGGTCCCTCCTCCTCAGCCTCAGACCGGACTTCCCGGACTCCGCCGTGGAGGTTTTCGGTGCGTGGCTCTGATTATGCAGTAGTTGGTACTGACATGCAAACCCTTTTAAGCCTGGGCTATCCAAGTCCAAATCGGGTTAAACAAGCATGTACGTGTCCATGATGAAAAGAACATGTTGATGTAAAACTCAAGTGGGGCTTTGTGGTCCTGAGCTGGTTTCGCTTCGGTTTTAGGTCCGTATCATGACCGCGTCGCTGCGAATACCCTTCCCCGCTCTGGCTGCGCTCAGTCGTTTTTGCTGCTCTTTTAAGGTTCCCATCTCCTGTGCGTGGTGGTAATGGTGGCAGTCTGCACCTAAACGACCTAGCGCCATATTTCTGGTGGCCCCAGGGCGTATGTGTCAAACGGGGTGCTGAGTTCGTTCTGGAGGGACTGTACGGCGCACGAGGGCTCTCTGGCGCCGACGAGCTGCTGTCGGCCCCCACACCGCCGGAACCCGACGACGCGGACACGTTTGTTGATCTGAGGGCGCAGGAAGGGCCCCCCGGCGGCACCGACGACGGTGGAGGCGGAGGCGGCAAGGAGGGCACCGGAGGGGCAGGAGACGGTGAAGGTGGAGTTCCTGAGGGCGTTGATGGTGGCGACGAGGGAAGCAGACCTGGTGAAAGCTGTCACGGAGGCGGCGAGGAGTGCACAAGGGGCGAGTTGGCCCCGCCCGCCAAGCGGCCGCGGCACTAAGAGGGCCTAGACGGGCAACGGAGGGTGCGAGGTGGTGCGGCTCTTCTTATTCGTTGGGGCATTCTGCAAATGGGTGAATCCCATTCCGTTCCGAGGATTGGTTTGGCTAGGAAGCGGTCATCCGGTAGCCTGTGGCCTAATAAGATGTGTGCATATGTATGTTTGTGTGTGATAATGAATATTGCATTGTGTTTAGGGAGCCAGAAGCGTTGGTGTACCTTAATTGGTGCCGGCAGCTGTATGGCCGTCAATGTAGTCGTCCAGTGGCCAGAGAAGGGGAGGGGAGGTCCTCTGAGATATCCGTGCTTCGTGTTCCAGGAGCGGCTACAGCCTCGAGGTATTTGGCGAAGTCAGATCTCGCTCGATCCATCCTTTGTTTCCTGTGTTCTTCATCCACCCAACCACCAATCCACCCAGCATCCACCCGGGTAAGGTGATTATGGGATCTGGGTGATGCAGGGATTCAATTCGGTGTTGAAGGGTGCCCGTACGTATGTACGGATGTTGGGCGTTTTTGGCTGTGTTGATGGCCAAGATTTGTAGATTTGAATCAGCGCTACGGAGCTGGAGATTGGGAGGAGCATTGGAATACGCGGTGTGCGCGCGGCTGCTGCTACTGCTGCCCATGTTCCCTCACTGCCAGGCTGTCAAGGGGGGCTGCTACGCCGCATCCACTGGCGACTGGCCCGCCTGTCGTCCTCCGTGCGCTTTCAGTAGTACTGATTGCAAGTGCTTTTTCCGCATATGATGCATTTGCTCACTCACTCAACCCCCCCTTGTTGGACCGGGTGGCGGCTGCCTGACGTTGAGTTTGCGACTGGAGGCGAAAGCGTGCTTTGATATTTTTTCCTAAAGCAGATTAGTAGCCGGGCCTCAAGGATGGGGGATGCCGGGAGCCCTCCGTGCTGTCTGATGTTTAGCATGCAGGGTTAGACAGGCTATTGACCGGTTACTGCTTCCCTCGGGGTCAAATAGGGTTTAACCGTATTAATTGTTTGGCGTTTTGCTACCCGGTTGTAGGGGGGGTGGCAGAGAGGGAGAGAACAATAAACTGCTGCACAGTAAGAGGCAACGGGGTGGGTGGGTGTAAACCCACAACATCGGGAAATGAATAACAAATTGCGTGGATGGATGAAGGGCACTCGCTCCTGACCACAGGGTTTCAGGAAGTGGATGCCTTGGCGTAAAATGCAGCTCTCTTTGGATAATATTACTCCGGAGCATTTGTGTGCAATAGAGTTGTTGTATCGGATTAAGCCCTATCGTACCTGCCCGTACAACCATACCTACAACACGCCTTTGTGTATATGAAGGTTCCGGGTTCGCTTCCTGGTCAGACCCCCGACATTGTTCGGGAGGTCTAGGTTTACTTAGGGTTTGGAGGTGTGGAGATGAGGTCTAATTGATGGACTGAGTTTCGCATGCTGAGATGGTGGTGATGGCTGGCATCTGTCTCTACGAATGTCGGGTGACTGGATGAGGAGGGGTCTAGTTGGCAGGACCCAAACCGCCGTCGGTTGTACGGTGTAATCAACTTTCAATATATATAGTCCATGGCCTCCTGGCTTTCACGGACCCCCCGCACTCGTGCGGCACTTGTAACTTGTAACTTGCTAACGTGACTCATTTCCCGAAGACAGAGCATTGCTATACCCTCTGTATCTAGCCCACGCACACTATGGAGATCAGGGATTTGTTTATCCAACAGTTTCCCAGCTGCATCGACCAATAGTGGGTCAACCCAGAGCGGGGTTACCACCAGCTACTGGGCCGAGTGGTTGCAAATTCACTCTTGTTGGTGGCGGTAAATCCATTAATGCAGTCGCGAGGTGTACAAAAGCTCGGCGATGATGATCCAGCTGGAAAAGAAGCCGTTGACAAGTGCTGCTGATCGAATCCCCGAAAGCGCCGCGCCCTAGGCTATAAAGCCTTCTCCGACCCCGAGAACCTGTAAGGAACAAAATATCAAGTCCCGGTCGAGCGTAGTTTATCATACGCCTTATAGAAGTCAAGGAGGCAGGATCGTTTTTCTGTGCAAAGCACGGCTGGCAAGTTGGACCATGAGGATGCCGTCCGCAATTCGTCTTCCCGTTGAAAAGCTGTCTGTTCCGCCGTCGAAGACCCGCAAGCACCTATGCCAGGGTCCTGTAGTCTGTACCCAACTGAGTGATCAGTCGGTAATTGACGGGCATGGTGGGGTCATCTGCCTTGAAAAGGGAGGAAATGACCCCACCAAGAAAGCCCGTCGGCACATTATCCATCCGTCCAATAATAGGTAAACAAAGCTGTCAGGAGGGGTGCACAGTCAGTCCATTGATACAGCTCGACTGGCATGCCATCAATCCACAGTGCTCGGCCGGGTGGGGCTGCTTGAAATGCCGCATAAACCTCCTCAACCATGACGGTAGTCGCTTCCACTCCAGGGACAACTTCGGCTGGGCAAGATCGGCCATACCTATGCCGTGCCTCTGTAAGGCAGGCTTGGGCTTCAAGGTCGACGGCGGCCTGGGCGCTAATTTGTTGCCAATATTCTGCAATAGTTTCCCGCAGCTGCCGCATGTTGCTGCATAGGCGGCCATTCGATTGCCGTAAAGCTGAGATACAGCAATCGTGGTTGATGGCCGGAGTTGAAGATGTTAGGGCAGGGCTGGGGTGTTCCCGAACCCTTGATGGCGGGTTGGGCTGGAGCAGCCTGCAAGTGCACGTTGCACAGCATCAGCTTGAGCAGATCGGGCGCAAATGGCACGGGGCAGGGCAGTGATGTCCCCTTCCTCTACATCCAAGAATGCCTGATCGGCTTGGGCTTGGGCCGCCGCCTCCTCTGCCGCAACCACTACTCGGCGGCTACATGCAAGTTGGTTGATATGCAGAAATGGACAAGGACTGTTTGAATCCGGGCCACCACGGCAACATATCCTCTGGTTCTGCAGGGGCTGTTGGTCCGGTCGTTCCTACCCAAGAGCTGACGGGGTTTCGCACAGATCAAGGTGGTCTAGGAGATGAAGCCGGACTCGATGTAGGCCTTAGCCCAATGCCATTGAACCAAGCGCCGATCGCGAGGTAGTGTGAAGGGTACAGTGGTCGGATGGCGCACCAGTTGCCGTAGCACCATCATATACAGCCGTCACCAAGGAATTGAGACAAGATCGGTCAATGCGAGAAGCACCAGACGTATGCAGGAAAGTGTATGCACATCGGTTGGGGTGGTGGAAGGTATCGACCAAGCCAGGACACGCAGCGTTTAACACCCGTGTGGCAGCCGTGTCGGAGCCACGAGCCGATGATGTAGTCGAATCAATAGTCGGATCCGTTGCCGCCCATACATGCTGTCCCCCTGCCAATATCGGTTGAAGGCGCTGTACGATAAAGGCCGTTGAGCCGGGGGAGTAGGTATGCGCAAAGCAGCGTGATAAACCCCCAGTTAACTGTTATATGTAAGAGTCGTCCATTTGTGGCTGTTGTTGGCTGGGCCTGGGCTGCGGAATATGGGTTTCTTGCAGGCATACGATGTCCAGTCGTTGTTGAGCCCATAGCACAGGAGCTGGTTATTAGTATTACAATATCCTAAGCATATAAAACTACGTCTAGTATGGGCCCCAATCCTGAGGAGTCCAGGGTTTCCAGATTTCTGCCTTCGGTTGCGGGTCAAGCGAATAGCTACCCCGGCGCCATCGGGGAGAGGCTCAGGTTGCGCCAGCGCCTTAAGAGTGAGCGATAGGGGGGTTCCCTTTAGTATACTGTCAAGCTGAGGCGATGCAGCCCGGTGATTGACGTCAGCGTCATCAGGCTGCTGCTGCTGGCCATCCGGCGAAACGAGACGCTGCCGGACGACCCGCTGGTTAGGGCTGTTGTTTTGCTCCATCACTCAAGTTGCAACAAAAGTGGTGACCAAATAGCTTGGCAGCATTCGGCCTTTGGAACCCAGGAAGATAGTTTATAGCAACGCCAGATCACTCTGCCAAGCAACGGTGTACGAGATGTTATGCGGCTTGGCAATAGCATTGAAACAGCCACCATGTAGCCCTTGCGCGCGCAACGACGATGCGTTTCGGCCCACCTACAAGGAGTTTCTACCGGACGATTGACTTCCCAAAAAACGTACTGGAATATATAGAGATAATTGACATGCACTGAAAGATTTCACGTGAAAAAAGCTTTACGATGAAACTTTGGGTCGCGCGTAGTCATGAGAATGAATACCTGAAAAACGCATACTGCACTTTGAGATACGAGCTACCCACTCGCAGTCTGCTATATGCTACAGCATTGGCGTAAAAAGAGCAAAGTGTCAACCAGTACGACGGCGTGCACTTTTTGCATCAAATGTCACCATGTGCTCAACTTCCGCGTGGATCACCTTTACTATCCAGCGTACCCCTCGTCATTGCAATCTGCTAGGATGGCTGCTGCAGGCTCGCACGCTTTCAGGGGGACGTTTTACCATACACCGGCCTATGGTCAGCTGGAAGCGTTGCGCGATGTTGTGGTCGTCATACAGGACGGTAGAATTGCACGCATTGCCAGCGGTGCTGAGGAAGAGGCCGTGCAGAGCGAGTTTAGGCTGAGCGAAGTGCGCCGACTGAAGGCAAGTGGGAATCCGACGCAGAAGGCTTTGCAGGCTTGCAGCCAGTTGAATTAAGACCAATTCAATTTCAACTTACTACTGCAGGAGGGCCAGTACTTCGTTCCCGGCTTCATTGATACGCACGTCCACGCACCGCAGGTAAATAGGGATCATGCAAGGTAACTATAGTTTGCTTGCATGAGTTGCCAACCCTCCAAGCTCCGCACTAGCAGCATAAATAGGTTTGTTACAGTGTAAAAAACAGGTCACAGCGCGTCCTAAATTTTTACTGTGGTCCCGTTTCATATCTGTTGAAACCTCAACAGTACAAATTCACCGGCACCGGCACTGATGTTCCGCTCATGGAATGGCTCCGCAAGTACACCTTCCCGGCGGAGACGTCCTTCCAGGACTTGGATGCCGCTCGCCAGCGCTACTCGCTGCTCGTGAAGCGCTTCTTGGCAAATGGCACAACCACCGCCATGTACTACGGCTCGCTGCACCTGCAGCCCAATTTGGTGCTGGTGGACTCAATCGAGCGGCTTGGGCAGCGGGCAGTGGTGGGGAAGGTAAGGAGGGGATGGGGGATAACGAGGTTAGAGGCGGGAGGGACGAGTGAAGGTAAAGGGTGAACTATGTAGCTTGGAGACGAGCAATGCTGAGAGGAAGGGCACTAAGAGATCCTGATGAAGTGTGTGGGTATTTGCTATGATTTTGTGCATGTTCATGTGCAACCCAGATGGTCGGTAACGATATAAGAAGGCGAGCGGGTTAATTTTTGATTTGAATTACGTTCTTCCCGACCCGGTCATCAACCCCAGGTTAACATGGACCGCCATTCCCCTGACGACTACATTGAGAACACCTCGGACGGTCTTCGTGACGCGGAGGCCTTCGTGACCTACACCCTGGACAAGAAGTGCTCCCGCATCCAACCCTGCATCACACCGCGCTTTATCCCAACGTGCACTCCGGAGCTAATGAAGGGTCAGTGGCCGGGGGTGCAGATGGCGGGGTCGGGTCGGACTTTTGAGGCGCATGGAGCTGTGGTGGGAGTAGTATTACCCAGCGCTGCCTGTGTTCTGCGTTGCTACCCATCTTGTCCAGGACATCACTGACCTGGTTGAACTTGCGCATCACGTGCTTGTGTTCCCTCTCCCAGGCCTTGCTGCGATTGCGTCCAAGTACGGCTGCCACATCCAGTCGCACATCTCCGAGTGCTGTGGTGAGGTCAACTGTGTGCGGGAGATGCACCCCGATTACGCATCGGACGCGGCGGTGTTTGAGGAGATGGGTCTGCTCACCAGCCGTACTGTCATGGCGCACGGCACGCTGCTGAGCGACGAGGACATTCGCCACCTGGCGCGACGGGGCACCGCCGTCAGCCACTGCCCGCTGTCGAACTTTTTTCTCGGGGATGCGTTTTTCAAGTAAGCAGGGGTACCTTTATCAGAGCATTTATGCTGAATTACTAGCACCGATTTCAGTGATGTTTGTGGCACGGTTGAACATAACTCGGTCACAGCTTTGCTTCCTAATGCCCATCGCTCCCTTTCCCCTCTGTTGTCAGGGTGAATCACGCGCTGTCTTTGGGTCTCAAGGTGGGTCTGGGCACCGACGTGGCGGGGGGCATCTCCCCCTCCATGCTGTCGGCTCAGCGGATGGCGGTGGTCAACAGCCGGTGCCTCCGTGCGCACAAGCTCGCGGTCTCGGGCGGTACCATCGTCACCCAGGAAATGGAGAAGGACGTGATCACGTTCAAGGAAGCGCTGTGGCTGGCCACGGTGGGAGGAGCGCAGGTGGGTGCATGCACCCTAAGTGAAGCATTATGGCACGCCGACAAGCCCCGAGCAGCGGCCACTCACACCCGCCTCCCGTGTGTTGCTGGTCCCCCTCCACCCGCTTTCCATCTTTCCAGGCCCTTGATATGTCTGACCGTGTGGGTACCTTCGAGGTGGGCAAGGAGTTCGACGCCCTGCTTGTGGACACCAACCTAGGGGGTACCAGCGGCCCCTTCGACGTGTTCCCGGGAGAGGACGACGACCAGCGCTTCGAAAAGTTCATCAACCTGGGAGACGATCGCAACCTGATTGAGGTGTACGTGCAGGTGGGTAGACTGTGTGCATTATAGTGGTCATCCTAGGTGTTTGCATGCTAGGAGGTTCTTGCATGCATCTCTGGGTTTGCCGTCATTAATGAAGATGAACTGGTATTCTTACCTGAACCGCCTTACCACCTTTGTGACGTTCATGCAGGGCGTCTGTGTAAAGCGCGGCGATGTCTTTCTGTTGGACAGCAGCGTGGAGGTCAAGGAGGACGCTGACCTCCTCATGTCGGCCCCCACGCCCGTCGAGCCAGAAGCCGCCTACGTGGATTTGGCGAACCGGGTCGATAGCAGCGACGAGGCTGCCTCTATGGAGGGTGGCGACATGGCTCCGGACGGGGCTGCGGCACCGGAGTCGGCTCCCGTGTTTAAGCGCTTTCGCCATTAAATGACTATCCTGCGAGCTTGACGCCGTGCAACTTAGGTACCGATAATCTACGGCTTACAGGTAGTTCTTACGCAGGCGTTTTTGGACGGTATGATCAGATGAAAAATGCAAACTTTGCGCCTGCTAAGGCTTCGTACGGCCGCGTCGGCGCGCCATGTGGAAGGGGACTACTGGGCACTGGCCGCCGCATTTGGCGGTGGTGGTTTGTGTGGTCTTCTGCTGCAATGGCCGGTGGCTTGTCTGGGGACGTGGTACAGGTGGAACTGGGTGTAAGCCATTTGGGGATGAAGAAGGGGCAGTTGTCCTTTGCGGTGCTAATTTTATCATTGCCTCTTTGGTGATTGTTAACCTTTTTCGTCCGGTACATTATTATGGCTTAAGGGTTAAAACCAATTTATCTCGTATGTTGTACCATGTGAGCGGAGTACCGTTGTATCCTACTTTGTACGGTAAAGAGTACTCGCACGTTGTATGCAGTCTCCTTATGCCTGTGAGCGCTGCGCCCCTTTCATTGGCACAGAGCCGGAGTTGCCTGTCATGCGTCCCGACCTGGTCGCGTTCTGGCCCCTCGAAGGGCACGATGCAAGTCTGCTGGCGGGAGAGACTTAGAAGTGTTTTGTTTCATGGGGTGCAGTTTGTGTCTGAAGGAATGTGGACTATTGCTCCACATTGGTGGATGCAAGGTCTACGCTGTACCCGAGTGTAGCTGCACAGATACTTGCTGACATGAAAAGCAGTTTTTTTTCGCTGCCCTGCAGCCCCAGCGGGAGTGCGTGGGGAGACTGGCTGACGGCCGCACGACGCCAATGTGAATGGCGCGATGTATGCGGTGTTGACCGCTCTGTATTTTCTATGAGTCGTGAGCGAATTTCATGCATGATTTCCTATTCAGGATTTATCCTGTATGCATACTCAGTGAATCCACCAGAGTCAAGGGGCAGGTCGTGCTGAAGGGCTGTGAAGGTGGATTGGTTTTTTTTATGGGAGCCCATAAGCTTATTGCTGCTATGTTGTTGCCCAGTGTGGGGCCGAGGACATGGCAGCGCATGGTTTCGGCGTCCTAATGGACGACGAGATTCAACAACCTGAAGCAACGATTCAACATGGGAACTACAATGTCTTGAGGTGCTGCGCGATTGTGGGGACATCGTTCTCCCTTGTGATGTCGCTGCAGAGATACAAAATGTTAGGCATTTGGAAGGGACGCCATGCAGCGATTTTGACGGTGACTAGACTGCCATGGCTTTGTGACTTCCTTACCTGCAACGTCTATCGGTGCCTGGTACCTGGGGGCCCAGTCACTTTGTCGTACCATTATAGATTATCATTGTATGTCGCACAGGACATGGGGTGTGCCAAATCGAACTTGTGTAATGATTAATGCGTCACGGAGTTTGAGGATCTTGGGGAAAATCACCTCCAACCGGATGTGAATCAAGGCAATATGTTATTACAATATGTTATACTGGAGGCCTCCCCAGGGAACCAGTTGTGCAAATTTGTCCTCAACAATCGAGACCACGTAAGCCCGAACCAGTCCATAGCACGCACAAATAGCTCAATAAAGGGTGGTACAGTACACGCAGTTGCGTGGCCGATGACGTCCTTCCGAACAAGGGCAATCACGTGTTACCCCTATATGCTCGCAAGCGCTGCAGCCCCCATGCAGCCGGTTGAAATCCATCAACGCACTTTCGGTAGGCTACAGAGACCAGCAACACCGAGGGTTCGCTCCATTCAATACATCTGGTTGTAAAAGCATTTGTGCCGCAAGCATGTGGTATTCTCAAATGGGACAACACACAGATCGTAAAACTATTGCCACACGGCACTCTCCATCAGGATACAATTGAACCATTCGGTCGCGCCAAGATCGACACCCAATCTACCTCTGATATGCGCAAACAACCAGGGCGTTGTACTTAACGTCCAAACACACAGCTTCACTCACGCAAATGAGATATAGCAAAAACATCGTGTACATCACCAAAAACAGAGCATGCACAGACGATTCATCGCCAAAATCGCACCGCCAACCGCACCGCCCCATGTGCTTAACTACGCCGCAAGGTCATCCTGCAGGAGGAGCGCCACGGATGCGAGCACCCACTTAGAGGCCGGCTCCTGCGTGCGCAACGTGAACGTCGACACGATGGGCGAGTACACATTGGCACGCTGCATGTTCGTGTACACAGGACACTCGTAGTAGCCCTCCAGGTTGAACTGATCGGCCGTAACGGGCTTGACCTGCAGCACCGGCATGGCCGGGTGCAACTCGTTGGGCTTCGAGTCGCGCAGACAGGCGTCCTCACGGTCCCATCGTGCGCCCTCCAGTACTAGCCCGTGTACGTACACACCCAACGGCGCCGGCTCGGCCACCTGCTCCGGGCTTGTCATGCGTGTAACCTCCGTAATGAATTTCATCACATCGAGCGGCAGCTTGTTTGCACGGGCGTACGTTTGCATGACCGCGGTGAGGAAGGCCTTGGGGTTGAACAAACCAGGCAACCACACCGATGCGGGTGTGATAATGTCGCCAGCCGTCCAAGCCGCCAGCTGCTCGTAGCGCTTTAGCACGTCGGCGTACCAGGCCGACAGCGTGTACACCTCCTGCACGCGTGTCGACATGCAGCTCATCCACAGCTCCGGGACGGAGTTCGATGCAATGCCCTTGGCCAGCTTCTCCATGTTATCCGACATGTTGAGCGCTCCGTCCAAACCCAGTTGCAGCTCCTCCATGGAGCGCTTCATCTCCATCAGCAGCGCGTTCATGCGCGTCGCCTCCTGTAATGCCACCACCACAAACGGCGTCTTGTCCTTAACGCGAAGTTCCACCTCCACCATGTTGAACGGCTCCGGCAGGCGCTCCTTGTAGCTCTCCAATGCGGTACGGACAGAGTTTTCACTTCCACCACCACCGCCGCCACCACCGCCACCACCGCCGCCGGTCACCTCCACCACCGTCTTGAACAGCGTCTCACCCAGGCTGGTCAGAAGTGACAGCTCCGCGTTGGGGTGCATACCGTAGACCACGGGGCTCTCTGCCGGCAGGCTGGTCTCAATGTACTCCTTGAGCGAAGCATAGTCGGTCGGCACGGGTGCACGGAAGCCCGGCGCCAGCTCCAGCGTGGGTGCCTCCCAGGTGGCCGGATCCTCCGGGTTTCCAACCGGCAGGATCTCCTTCCGGATGAGAACCTCAAGATAGGTGTTGCAACAGCGGCGATCCATGCCATCAGTGATGTGGCCACCGTAGAACACGTCGCCAAACATGTACTGCAGGTCGCGCCATGGAATCTGCTCGTACGCTTCGAGATAGTTGTACAGCACGTCGCCGCAGGTCGTGAGGTCGCCCATGTTGAACGAGTAGCCGCGGCAGAAACCCAGCCCCGACCCCGAGCCTGTGCCAATACCCACACCAAACTTCTTGCGGCCCAACAGGAGGGAGTGATAGAAGCATAAGCCGAAGAGGATGGCGCGGAAGGCCACGCGCTTGGCTGGCGTTGAGGGACGTTCGCACTGCTCGGGGGTGAAGGCTGCAAAGGCGCGGCGCATATTCGACTTCATGTCCGAGGGCGGCTCGTTAGAGATCTTGATACAAGTCTGGAGGATGGATTCCGGGATGATCTTGGCATGCGGCGCACCATTGATGGGCTCCGCAGAGAAGAAGCAGCGGAAGTCGGGGTGTGCAGTCTCCGCCGCAATTTCCAGCTTGCGCTCGAGCTTTGGGATCCAGCCCTGCATCAGGTGCACATTGTCAAGGAACACCCAGCCGCCCTCGCGAGTGTACTTGTCCAGTACCGCCTCTGCCGGCGCCTCCTGGCCCTGACCCATGGAAATGAGGCATAGCCGGCCGTTCGCCACGCTGTAACCGGACTTGTTGGCATACACCTCAATCTCCTTGCTGGGGCTGTAGCCGGGGAAAAGGATGAAGAAGATGGGAGTCGCCGAGGAGGACTCCTCCATCATAGAAGCCGGTGAGAAGGCATCCTGTGTGGGAGAATCAGGGGAGGGCCAGTGAGGGACAGGAAAGGATGGCAGTGTGCAGCCATGTCTGTTGCCATCTACGCGTTGCCGCGGCTACAGGCCGGAGCTGTACAGCATGTGGTCCCGGATCCCGACGCTTTCCCGCCAGTCACGGATGCATGACAGCCGGATGCTACCATGTCCCATGCTACCCTTCCCCGTATCGTCGCACCTGGTTGACATACGCAGCGCCCATCATGTGCTCGCAGAAGTTTTGAAGTGCGTTGGTGATACGGTCAGGCCGCAGCGCGCGAATGATCAGCAGATGGCGGAATTCCGACAGGCGTGCCCAATCTCCGGGCATGGTGGCGCGTTCCGCCGCCTCATTATTGCACCAGGTGTACCAGTCGTCGCTGTTCTTCTCCATGTCCTTGGCCAGGTGCGCAAAACACGGCAGCGCCGTCAGGACATCCAGCGCCGACCACTGCGACTCCGTCATCCACCTGCAGATTCCAAAGTGCACAAATAACAATTGCGGTCACTGGCAAATACATTAACGGATGCGGTCGTCCAGCATGCAGCTTGCCTCTTTACTTCCCATTCGAATGCCTTGGTAAAGGTGATTTAGTAGGCGTGGCGCTTAGGCCATGGCAAGGAACAAATGTACAAAGCTAAGGCCAAAGCTTGCAATTGGCAAACATGTAGGCGGTTCGCCACCCCAACTACGCACCGGCTAAGGTCATCAGTGATGGGTGGCGGCGTGGGATTGCGCATGCCGCGGCACAGCGCCTCGTACTCTGATGCATCAACTGCCTGGCTACGCAGCAAGATGGTGAACGTGAGAAGGCTGAGCACAATAAGCTTATCGCGATCAAACAAGCCACGCCGCGTGTAGTTGTACACGGTGTATGTGCACGTCTCCAGGAGACTGATCAGCCGTTCCTCCAGCGCTTCGGGGCTCATGCTGAACGACTCCTCCTCTTCGTCATCGTCGCCGCCCTGGCTGCCGCGGCCGTTCTGTGAGTCTGGCAGCGATGTCTGAGACGCCTCCACTACAGGGATACCCTCTTGGCTCGAGCGTCGCTCGCTCACACCGCTGCTGCGGCGGGCCTTCTCCATCAGTGTCTGGTGATCCATAGGCTGCGGACGCAGGGATAAATGCGGGGGACAGAAAATGGAGGTCAGTGAGGAGCTGAACGGCCGGCACGGGATGCAAGCATAGAAGTGCTGCTTTTAAGAGCAGGGCCCGCCAAAACTGTTTCACTGGGGCGTGCGATGCCGTCACCGCATTGGTTCGTTGTGGCTTCACTGGCCATGGCACAGTGGTTTCGACTCCGGGGAAAGGGCAGTCGTTGTGCATCTAGTGCTGAAATCAATACGAACTAATGTGTACGAGGGGAGGATGAACTTCTCCGGGGACCTTATGATAATGTCCAGTCACGAAGGCCCAGGGCAATACCAGGAAGACATTCCACGAAGTGGAGCCGCGCTCGTACCTGGTCACGTAGCGACGGCTGCTTCTTCAGCTGTGGCTTTTTCTTGCGTCCACCCGGTGCCAGGTCCAGACCACGGCTGAAGACCGTTACGAAGGCGTTGAGTGAGAACTGATAGAAGGCATGGATCTTGTTCAGAGAGTTAAGTAGGAAGAACAGCATGGCGCCACGTGCCGCCACGGTGCGGTACTTGTTGCGGTTTTCGTTGATTGCTTGCTCTGTCTCACGAGACTCCTTGACCTGTGTGCGTCCGATTCCCAACATCGCACCACGTGCACATACCTCAGCAAGAGACGGCTGTCACAGCATCGATACAAGAGCTATAGCAATGCTGTTTGGACCCCAGGAAAAAAAACGAATCGCACCTTACAGTTGCTTCCTGTTTAAGCGGTGTTTTCAACATGCATGTTCCTACCCCACCCACCCATTCCGCAGGACTTCAAATTGACGACGGCTCTCAGCTCCCTCAGCGGGCAATACAATTAGAAAGCGATTGCCTGGCTAAACGGCGCGATTACGAAATTCCCTTACCTTCTCGCTGATCTCTGTGGAAACCCTCTTGGCATCCTCCAGAGACTCGATGAGCGCCACATCCTCCGTGATGTCACCCTCTGCGGTGGATAGCTTGAGCAGCAGCCCGTCCTCCAGCTCCTTCAGCTTGATGGTGAACTCTGTGTTCTGGATAATGAGCTGCGTCTTGGTCTCCTCCAGGTCGGGACGCTCCTTGTTCACCACCAGCGCGAGCAGCTGGTCCTCCAGACCCTGCTCTGTCACCGTGAAGTTGATCAGCGTCGTCTCGGCCTGAAGGGTGGGTAGGAGAATTGGAAGGGCAGAGAATGATAGAGAGTTAAGATGTGGCATAACCCGGCGTACATAGGGGAAGACAACGACAGAGATTTCTGATGGATACAGGATGGCGTCATGGTACTGGTACTGGTACCCAAAGGGATCAAGTGTTTGGACAAGAGACAATAGGAAAGACAGGCTGCGGCTGCCAGCTGCCAGCCCTTTGGTCGAAATAGGTTACAAATGTCTTTTCTGTTGATATACTATAATACTCACCTGAATCTCAGGCGGGTAGTGAGGGTTAGAGAGCTTGGTGTGCAGGAAGAGCTTGAAATTTTTGTTATACTCGCACTCCTTGTCGCCCAGCTTGACATAAAGGGAGCGACCCTTCTTGAAGGTGGAGCGCGTAATAACGGGGTTAAGCACCGCATCGATGGCCTCGCCCATGTTCTCAATCAGCACGCTGTGGCCACTCTCAATAGCGCGCTCCATGACGGTAAGCATGTTAGGGGCGCCCATACGCGTGACCTACAAAGGGAAAAGGTGTTGTGTGATGGCAGGTGGTTAGGCGCCGCACAAGTTCTACCATCGGTGTATTCGTTCAGACTGCTCATAAGCCCACAACATGACACTAGATGCACAACATGACACTACATGCTGCGTTAGCTTAACGCACACTCGTGATTCAAAGCAGGATGCCTTAGGTAGTCTGGAAACCATGCCATTTCCGGGTTGGGCCTTGCCATACTGCTCTAGACCGCAACGGTCGTCCCAAAACACACCTGTAGGTTGTTCTTGCTCTCACGCTCTTTGATCCACAGGATGCCCTGGAGCTGCGGGTCCATCATCAAGCTCCAGCGCTCAGAGTTAGTCAGGATGGTTCCGTTCTGGACGGAGGTGGGATCGGACGGCAGGCCCTCGCGGATCCAGCCCGCCACCAGCGCATCGTCCACCAGAACCTGCAATTATAATACGGCCCGGGACACGGTCAAGCCACAAGAGCACAACATCCAGGAATACTAGGAAGGCAATAACGCAGGTGAGACTTAACGCGAACACCGAGAGGCTGTTGCGAAGTAGATGAAGTGGCCATGGCATGAACACGTGTGTGTGCCGGCAAGGGAAGTACAACCGGAGAGGGGAGGATTCATTGCAAGTCCCCACACACCACCACAAGGCCACCATGTACGCGCCTCCCGTGCTTACCTTCAGCGGGTCGCTAATGCCCTCAGTCATGGGCATATGACGCTCTCGCAGGAAGAGGATCCAGTCGTCAATCAGCTGCGCGCGGAACTTGGCAGTGAAGGGGCCAGCGTACGACACGAAGGCCGCAGCCAGAAGCATATCGCCTGCAAAAAAGACCCAGCAAATTCAGCAACACGAGCAAGCACTGCCAGCGGTCCGCAGGCCCTCCAGCCAACTCGCAAGCATACACATGACCACGTTGCAATCCAGCGGGCTTACCAGTCAGCACCTCGTAATTCTTGCGCAGCTGCTCCACGGTCAGCGCCCAGCGCTCGCCCTCAGATGCAAGCGCATTAATCAGGCGGTTGGCCAGCTCAAGCTTGCGCTGGCAGCGCTCCGCCTCGCGGATGGCGGCCTCCTTGTCGTCGTTGGCCTCCTTGAACTGCTGTTCCAGCTCCTGGACCTTAGCGTTCAATAGGGCCACCTTCTCTTGCACGGCCGCCAACCTGCAAAAAGAGGGAGGCAAGAGCGAAGCTCAAACCACGGCAAAGGATGACGGCAAGCCGTGGGGATTCTTCTGCTTTTTATCGGCTTTGCCGGGGCTACATTCCTAAGTCCAGTCCCCAGCAGCTGCTTACGTGACGTTGGCTTCCTCGAGCTTTGCATTGGCCGCAGCCAATTCCTGACGCTTGGGCTCCACCTCCTGAACGACGTCATAGTACTTGATGATGTTGATGGCCCACTCGCACAGACCGGCAGCGGCAGCCGACTTCTTGCCGATGGCCTCGCGGTTGAAGTGCTCAAGCTGGAGGTATGGCCGGCACGCATCCACCGTCTTGCGTGCAACCTGTACGTTACACACAGAGTCGGTGAAAAGTTCAAGGCTAGCTCGAGACGCACAGCCTGCGAAAGGCAGCAACAGCGACCTTAGGCCAACTCTGGCACCAAACAACTTACCGCAGTGCTGACAGCAGGGAGAGCATACAATATAACCTAGGTACCAGCTTCGGCAACCGCACCTGTCCGGCATCGATAACGGTCTTGAATGACTTCACACGCTCGAGGAACTTGTCCACGTTGTTCATCATCTTTTGCGCCGCCGCCCACGATTTGTCCTTGGGGTTGTTGTCCAGCAGGCAGATGACCACGGCGGTAATGTCGTCGACGCCTGGTGGTGGCTTCTTGAGAGACTTGGCCTCACCCAGATCCTTCTTGGTCACCGTCTCGAGCGCAGCCATGGCCTCCGCCACCAGCGGCTCGGCGGCAGCCAGGTCGGCCTCACAACTGGCCTGCTTCTCAGACACCTCCTTTGCGATGACCGCGCACTTCTCGGCCTCAATCTGCGTCCATGTCACGGAATGGAATGAGGGTTATAGAACGGGTGACTGATCCAACACAAGACCGTAAGAAGCCACCTGCGCTACTAATGGAGCGGGCCCATAAGGCCCCCTCTTAGTGTGCCGCTCTCAGCAGCCACGTACCTGCGCCGCAGCGTTCTCCGCATTGACCTTCTCCTTCTCAACACCGACTTGTTCCGCGAAGATGTTGGCGGACGCGACCTTGTTCTCCACCTCGACAGCCTTGACTTTGGCCTCTTCTACCAGCACGTCCACATCCGCCTGCACCCTGTATGTAGCACAGCCAATGGGACAAGAGTAGTCAGCACATTTCGCTGTAAGGATCTCTTCCACATTCCAAGAAAGCTGTGGGATGACTAGGGATGCATATCGATATGTCCAAACACAGCACGCCAGCAGCCACAACGGGCCTTGTCAGTCCCGGTTGCTTTCCATATTCAGCCGCCAAGCACATGACCACCGTCGGTTGAAGGCAGCACCGAGCTTGCAAGTTCCTCGCCTTCCCACCTGTGCAGCTTCTGCAGACCATTCTCCAGGCGTTCTGTATTGTCCAGGTTGCCCTTGCGCTTGGCGGCTAGCACGTTCTTGTACAGCTTAATCAGCTCCAAGAACGTCTTCGGGGTCGTGTAGTTGTATCGGCGCTCCGTCTCCCGGAACTTGATAGACACCTGCATTGTGTTTGGACATCGTGCAGTGGGACCCCTTGTCAGCCAGCCAGCCCACCCCAGTAACAAGTTTACCGATCATGTTCTCTGGACACACAGCAGCGAACACAGCCGCGATGAAAAAACATGCCTCCGTCTGTTGAGCTCGTACGCGTCTATCCTACACATCTCAAGTTCTCCCACAAGCAGGTCCCTGCATCTTACCTTATTCACGAGCTGGAAGCTGTACGGCATGAACTCCACGACAGCGTTGCGGACGGTGTCCTCGCCCAGGTCCACCTCGTCCAGAAAGCGCTTGGCCACGCTAAACAGCGAGCTCTCGGGCCACGGCTGGAACCAGTCGATGACGGTTGATGTGACGGTCGCCAAGAAGCGCTACGGAACGGAACCAGGTGGGGCCGATGAGGTGACCACGTGGGATGTTTGTAAATAGGTGGACTTTGAATACGGTAATCCGAGGCTGACGCCTTCGTGTGAGATTTCTGTGCTAGGAGCAAATCCCCCAAAATTGCTCGCTGTATATGTCGACGATGCATGCTACCTACCTGAGAGCGCACGCGGAAGTTCTCGCCGACCGGGGAGGCCGTGAAAACCATGTGCAGGTTGGTCTTGACCTTCTGGATGAACACGCCCCAACAGTTCTCCGGCGTGTCCAGCAAGCCCAGACTCTTGGTCTCCGAACGCAGTGCATTTATAATGTCATCCTTGTCCTCCTGTGGGAATAGGTCCGGGATCTCGCCCGAAGACAGAAGGTCGTTGATGTACACCAGCATGCGCTCGTCAATGATTTGTGAGTCTGTGAATAGGAACATGACCCCTTCACCCTTGACGCCGGCGCGGCGATACATCTTCTGGATATCCTCCTTGAAGTTATTCATCGAGTAGGAGCCGGAGATGACGATAGTGGTCGTGATGTAGCCGCAGATATGCGCCGCCAAACGTGCAAGCGACTGCTTACCGGAGCCACCCACACCCACAAGCAGGGCGTGGCCGGACGGGTTCGACACGATGCGGCTGATGCGGCACACGTGCTTCATGGCGTCCTCAAACAGCACAAGGTCCATGGCGGCATTGGTGTCGTTGTATTCGTTCAGTGCCTCCGTGAGAATCTTAAATAGCGATGCGTAGTCCTGCACCTCATCATATGCCTTGTCCGCAAGGCCGCGTGCAAAATGGCAGAAAATGAGCGGCTTGGGGTCCTTCTTCTTGTAGTAATCGTCAATGTCCGTGACGGCAAAGTACTTCTTAGCGATGGCAACTGCTGCCTTGTTGTAGGCATCCAGGTCGTAGAGCGAGACAAGACGGTCAGCGTACACACGCTCCGACTCGTGCAGCCACAGCTTGCCCCACTTGACGGGTGAGTTGAAGGCTTCGGGGGTGGACATCAGCAGACCCTGGAACACGTTGGCCAGGTGGCGCACCGTGAACTCGTAATGGAAGTTGATGGCGGTCTTGCGGAACGTTTGCGACACCTTGTCATGCAGCGCCAGGGCAGCCTGCAAGATCTTGGTGCCCATGTCCTGGATCTCCTCCCTGAACTTCTTCAGGTGGCCCTGGAATATGATTACATGGAACGGGTTCCGGCAAGGGTGGGGGCCAAAGAGGGGTGAGGAGTGGCGCGCTCATGTCATTGGAGGCACCTGATCGTCTAACTTATAAGGATGGAACAATCTTCAAAGCTCAATACGCGACAAGCATTGTCCGCACCTGCAGGAACGTGCCATAGATCTTCATAAGTGAGTCCTGGCCCGGGAAGTCCACCGCCAGCGTCATGAACAGGCGTTGTAAGCGCGGGTTTATGATGAAGGAGCCGGCAGTGGGGTTCATGCACGCCACGTACTGTGTGTTGTTAATGTTCTTGGGCGTCAGCTTGGTGCGGTCGAACCAGTGGCCCCAGCCCAAGTGCTGGCGGATCAGGGAGATGGGCATCGCCGTCTCATACAAGTCCAGCTTAGGCATATTAAGGTCGTCCACGAAGTAGATGAGCTGCTTCGTGCCCGGCGGCCCGTAATTGATGCCTGCCTTCTTCTCCAGCGGGCTCTCCAGGACCTGACACCGCATACAGAAACAGGATTAGCGCGATAGCCGCGCGACTTCGTTGGTGCATGCAGTTGCACCAAAAATACAAACAAACGGCAAAACATTTATGCACGCCACCGCAGCTGCTTTTCATACTGGAAAAACAACAGGAACCCCAGGCCACTCTACTGCCGACACGGAATGGCTACGCCGACGGAAACATGGTCATAGTGTGGGATGCAGTGCATTCGTCTCACCTTTTGGAACGAGACTACATCCGTGAAGTAGTTGAAGCTGATTGACAGCGAAATGAAATCCTCAGAAAGGCTGCTGAGCTTGCCCTTAACAAGCTGCGTCTTGCCCACACCGGCGCCGCCCACAAACATGATGGGCTTGCGCAAGTCGACCATCATGTCCAGGAAGAAGCGCAAACTGCTTGTCTCCGCAGTGGGCACGAACACGGTGGACATGGGCTGCGACCCGTCGTAGTCAATGTCCGTCACCAGCTCAACCCACGGCTGGAACTTCTGCGTCTTGGGATTGACAAAATAGTCGTACACCGTGCCTTTGCTTGGGATCTTGACCGTCGTCCAAGTCTGTTTGAACCATTTGTCATAGTTCCGCCTGCACATCAAAGGTGAGGGAACGAAGGTTACGCCAGCATGGCAGGCTTCAGGGGCACTCACCCCAATTTGCAGCCGGTAGTGCAAACCTGAGCCTCACCTATAAGGTATGCCGTCTTTCTCAACGAGTGCTCCACCAAATGCCCAAATCATCGCAAAGACAAAGTACATCTCGAAGAGGCTCTGGTCAGCTTTATTCGATAAGTTTTCAGGCCGTAAGACCCCTTCCATGATATTGACGAGCGTCGTTACGAAATTCATCTGTGCCAGAGGCGTGATGTGGCTGTAGCTCTTCTTCATCTCCAGCAGAGTCGTGGGGATGTACTTCTCAAACATGTCCCGCAGCCACTGCATCGGCAGCGTGGGGTCCTTCCACTTGGCGCGCTCCGCGTATGGTTTGACGACCCTGTTGACGTACAAGGATAGAGCCGTTCACGTGGCAAAATCAAGCATGGTATGCATGCGAGCGATGCTGGATGAATGTATACAAGCATATATAAATTCATAGGGAGGTCCAACCCTGCTGCGAGGGGCAACGCTAGCGGTCGGCCCCCTCGTTGACCATGGCATCAATACCTGGCAATCTAGTTGGCAATCCCGCAGCAAATCGCTCCTCCGAATGGAAAAAATTCGTTTCCACCGCCTTTTGGGCCCTTATACGCACCTGTTGATCCAGGACATGGCCATGTTGTGCCATTGCTGGCCCTCCGAGATGTACAGGATACCAGCGCGCGTGGCGGTGGCGGGTGTGGCGAACTTGAGATCGCGGATCTCAAAAATTAGCTTCATGTGCGGCAGAACGCGGATACGCTCGTTGGACGGTAGCGTGAGCAGGCGGTTATCGTCCATGACCGAGTTCATGGACTCAATCCAGTTGGCGTCAAGGTCACCGTCCAGCATGAGCCATTTGGGATCGTCGCCGGGCCAGTTGGCCAGCTCACGCATGTAGTACGACAATAAACCATCCTTCCATTCGCGGGTCGCCTGGGATATTTGGAGGACGAACCAGGTGGCCAAAGGTGTGTAATTATCATTATCGGGGATCTCCGTGAGGATGGGCACACAACACATCGCAGGGACAACCGCGCGAAGGAAAGCAGCACGCACCCATGGCTATGGGGCTCAGGGATACTTTAGCGAGAAGCTGCAGATGCCGAGCGCAATAGACGCACCTGGTTGACCTGGCCGTACAACTCATATGTGGAGATGGACTTGGGGTTGATGTCGCGGATGACGACCTTCTTCTTGTTGGTCATCTTCAGGTAATCATTGATCGGGTTGTTGCAGCCCTTGGTAATAGCCTTGGCCAGCACGCGGTAGCACTCAGTGCGGCCCGTGCCCGTGGGGCCCATGAGGAAGACGCAGTGCCGGATAGCCAGCAACTCCGAGAACTGCACCACCCGCAGCACAAAGTCATCCTCTGCCGTCAAGCCCATCTCCTTGATGGTGGACACAATCACCTCCTCGAATTCCAAGTCGCGCTTACGCGGCGGGTCAATGCCTACATGTACGGGATGAAGGCAGGCACACAGCAACTGAGTCCAGTACAGCTTAATTGCGCCTGGCAAAGCACAATTGAGCATGGGCAACGGCACCTTCCTTCGACAGGGTGCTGCATAGTAATACTGTAACACACCTGGGAACAGGTCGTTTAGCAGGCCCATGAAGATGACCATATCCTGCGCCAGGATCTTGGGGATGTTGAAATCGCGCAAAGCGCGGAACAGCACGTCCGCCTCCACCTGGCCCGCCTCCGCACGCAGCAGCGAGCCGGCCACCACCAGCACTGATTTGATTGCACGCAGGCCCCAGTCGTAGTGCTTCTGTGGGCTGAGCAGGTCTTCCAGCAGGTAATAGAGCGATGCAAACTTCTTGGCTAGCATTTTGGCCTCGACGAAGCCCTCCGCCATGAGCATATTCTCCATAATCAGCTGCCGGTCGGGAACCATCACCGTGATGGGGCGGAACAGGGCCTGGAGGCACACAGGCGGCAAGCGCGGGGCCGGTGGCATGTACGTCAGGCAGGAAGGACATGCCGCATCGTCATGGTTTCGCAGTGGGGTGGATGACGTGTGCGAATACTATGCCTGACTGTGACTTTTACACGGAATTTGGCAGAAGCTTGCCATATTTGTATCGAGCCCAATCCATTTGCAAGCTGCACAGGCTTACCTTGAGCGACTCGGGCAGCTCCGCTCGGCCAATGTAGCCAGGGTTCATGGTGATGAACGCCGACGTGCCCTCCTCCAGTGGCATCTCCACGCCATCTGCCGCGATGAATGACCACTTCTCAATCGCTGGGTGCTTCACGCCGTCCTTAACATACTCTAGCCCGCGGCCTGGCAACATCGTCTTGCGCTTCTGGCTGTCAGTGACGCACTTGTACTGCACTGAGCACACGGATAGCACCTCCGGCACAAGGCGGTTGAACTCGTCGAAGCAGCCCCAGGAGCCCGACGCAGCAAGACCCTTAAAGATGTCGCCCATGGTGCGATAGTCCATCTCTGGAGAGCAGTTGAAGACGTACACCGACTTGCCCAGCTGGGCCGACAGATCCTTGGTGGTCTCCGTCTTGCCCGTGCCGGCAGGGCCAGCAGGGGCGGTACCCAGAGACAGCCAGCACGCCTGAGTGCATGATGTCGATGCAAGTAGCAAAGGAGGGCAGGGGCAAGCGGCAGCGAGCACCAGAGATCAACAAACGGCAAATCGTACATACCTACCACTAGGAGGCGCACCATATGTGCCAACGTGGGGTTCCAGTACAACAACTGATATGCATGGCCCTCCATGTAATGTCTGTAAGCACTAGGGGCGCGAGATATCTTTACGTGCGGGATGCTCATACCTGTGTGGCCGTGATGTAGATGCGATCCGTGAGCGGCGTGATCACGAGGCGCGGGCCGTTGCCCAGGTACTCGTAGCCGTAGGGGAAGGACGCGTCACAAATACGGATGCGGCAATCCATAATCTCGTTGTCCCAGTATGAACGCAGCTGGCTGACCCATTGGAAACAATCCGGCTGATCGGCCTTGGCCTCTACCACTGCCTGCAACGAACAAATGGCAGAGGCGTTGGCTCCTGCCCCGTTGGCTCACTGATATCAAGAGATGCAAAGTCTTGTAATCGTGCCATTCCAGTAGAAGCAAAACCGGTTGAATATATTTTGTTTATGGGCAAAAGGTGTGATCTAGCTGCGTGTCTCTGTAGCATTAGGGGCCCCAACAGTCCTGCACTCACCAGCACCATATCACGGGAGTGTGCGTCGATGGTAATCATGTTCATGATCTTCTGGCGGCTTGGCTTTGACAGGTCCGTGCGTGTCACCTCAATCAGCTTAGTCAGTTGCTTGACCTGCGCATATAAAGTCATGGCACGACATCGGGACTTGATAGCGCCTCAATCCTAGCATCCGGGTCGTAGGTACAGCCTGGAGTTAAGGGCTTAACGATTGCCGAATCTACCTATGCAGAAGCTGCATCAGCAGCATGTCGGTCTAGCCCTGCAGCATGGCCTTCTCCTTCTCCAGCCAGCATCCATGTGCACTCGCCCACCCCCACCCCAGGCAACCGGCTTACCTGGAATTCATTGTACTTGGCCATCGCGTCCTTGTCGCCCTTGCCCATCTCCACGAACGCCTGCTCCACCTCCATGCACCAGAAAATCTGGTTGACCACCAGGATGACCTGTGACGGCCAGTCAAACAGCCACTGCTCGCGCGGTTTGGTGGGATAGTCCTCCACCGACGCCTTGAGCACCATGCGCAGCTCGTTGCGCATCTTGACGATGATGTCGTTCATGTACTCCTCCACCTAAAGCACAGTACAGACACCAGGGTCATCATAGGAGCAAGATGCCGTCCACTATGGTCCAATAAAATTCCATGCACAATGCCCCGAAACATTATTTTTTGGCGGAATGGTGCCCTGTGAAAGGGGCCATACTTGGACAGCCTGGTTGGCGAGGACAACCAACCTTGTTCTCCAGCGGTAACGGTGTCGAAAAGGGCACATACTCGATACCGACGCAGGACTCCATACCCAGGCCCGTCGGCCGGCGGCCTGGCACCACCTCCTCCGAATCCAGGCGAAGCTTGTCAATAGCCTACGGGCAGCAAGCACAGGACAGCAGTTCAGTCGATCTCAACGCAGTCAAGGCAAGGGAACAACACACCAACCAAAGGGAGTCAAACTCTTTGGTTTAATAAACGTGCCATGGGCTGTCATTCGTGTTACCTGGAAGCACTTATTCATGTGAATCTGGACGCGCACAGGGTTATTGCCGTTGGACAGAATATCGAGCAGGTCGGCAGCGGACACGAAGTAGAAGCGCGGGAAGGCGCGGCGCTTCGACTCCATGTAGTCGTTGAGAGCCTTCTTGCATATCTCCAGCTCACGCTCTTGCGTCTCCAAGTTGGCGTACAGGCCTTCACGGTGGCAGCACGCCACGCAGTTCTTGATCTCCTTGAACTCCGCCAGCACCTGGCATTAGAGAAAAAACAGCTTGTCAGGGTTGGTGTCTGATAAATTCAAGTGTGAACCAATTGGTGCCCACGTAGAGATGTTGCATCATTTCCTAAGCCGTTTTTTAGACATTCCAGCAGTTTACCATATGGGCCACCAATCCCGGCGCCTGAATACCGCCAACGCTCCACGCCCTTCACCGCCAACGCTCCACACCCACCTTCTTGACCTCAGTGTCAATGTTGGCGAAGCGGACCGTCGCCTCTGGCAACTCCTTCTTGACCTCCTCGCTATGAATGAACAAGGACTCCAGGTATGCCCAAGTGCGCTGGATTTCAGCCATAATCTGATTCACGTCCGCCACGTCGTTGAGCTTCTTCTGCCAGCCCAGGATTTCGTCCTTAAACGTGGCCATGTAGCGGTTAGCAATCATGCCCTGGACCTGCACTTGGTTATCCTCCAGCGCCTGTTGGAAAAAAACGGCAAAGCACGGGTTGGCGCAAGGACACAATACACAAACCTACAACACAACTCTTCTCCAACAAGGCGACAGGCTGGCCAGGTGGGATGAACGCTGGGCGCACCTCAAAGTCCTCCTCCGCCATCCTGATGGTGTAGACAGGGTAGTCCTTATGCTGTGCGAACTGGAACTCCACGCGCGCCCAAGTGTCCGTTAGACGCTTCAGAGATACCTCCATCTTCTCTTCCTTCTGTGCACGGTCGACGATTTCGCCCACCTCTTCCTCAAACTTGTGCAGCTCCAGGGCCAACAGGTCGTTTAGCTTGAAATTGGGGTCCTTTACATCAAACGTCACCTGAAACCGGCAGCCGGCATGGCACGCTTCAGTACAATCGTAAACGATGATATGCCGCAGGCTGATAGAGCAGAAGGAAAGCCACCAAGGGTATCCAAACTCCTCCACACATTATAGGACGTCGTCAAGCAGGGCACAAATAGGCCACAAATAAAAGGTTGGACGTGGGAGCATGGGACTGGCGCAATGGCCAGGCAACCCTGGGATGCATACCTTGGTGGTGGACATAAGCTGCTCCCAGTGGCGGTCGCGCATCGCAGGGCTGCGCAGGTCGGCCACCAGCGGCACTGACACCAGGAAATTCTTGACGGTCTGGTCCACTCCGCGAAACACGTCCTCATCTCGGACCTTCTTGTGCAGGCCCTTGACCTCCTTGACGAACTGCTTGGCACCCTCCTCCATAATGTCGGTCCGGATATCGCTCCACAGCGTTTGGCGCCAGTCCTGCAGACGTAGTAGCTACCGTGAGAAGGCCCACAACAAGTCCTCGGAAGGTGATGCTACCTTTACCCAGGCCAGAGCTTGCAGCGGGCAACCAACCCGCGCCTTTAATGACAAATACAGCCTATCCTCTAAAGACCGCCTCCCTTTGTTCCCGCCTGCTGACTATGGCAGGCTTGCACACCTGGAACTGCAGCTCGCAAAGAACGGCCGTGTCCCACACATCCTTGACCATGACCAGGTCCTCAACCGTCTCCTTGATAGATGCGATCACCGGCTCCGTAAGCTGGGGGAATTCAAACACGCTGGCCAGCTCTTCCAGGCGATCACACTCCTTCTTCAGTTCCGCCAGTTCGCGCGCTGCAGCGTCCAGCTCCGGGTACGCCGCATCAAAGCCAGTGCTGAATTTAAAGAACGCGCGCGTCCGGAAGCCGGAGCGATAGTTGCGCACCTTTGCCGCAAAGACCTCAATTTCCTTCTTGATATCCTCGCCTTTCTGAGCCTGTTACGTGCAAGCAACGGGGGTATGCAACTCAGCGCATCCGTATTAAATGTGCTCGTGCTGGCTTGGCTAATAATTTAATTGCTTTCCGCGTGCACATGTCATGCCAGCAGCGCAAGCTTATGTAAGTAACCACGGTGCAGCTAAGCCCAACGACGTCTAAGGGTTGCGTGTGCAGCCACGTACCGCCGGTAATGCATTACACCTACCGTGCCCAGAGCGACTGTCCGTCATGGCGGTATCAGAAGTTTAAGCACAAGAGCGTCGTCCCATAGAAGCTGGACCTTCGTCAAGCCCTCATGCACTTCCCAGCCATGTTTGTGGCCCATCGAGTGCAATGCGCCGTGGGTGCGCATCAGGTGGCGTACTTCTTAAAGGCCGGCCTTGGTTTTAGGTAAAGCCCATCCAAACTTCCGCCACCCCAGTCCCTCAGCAACACGCACGAACCTGGATTGGCTCCACGTCCGTCTTGACCTGTGGCTGCGCCTTCTTAATCTCGTCCCACTTGTGTGCAGCGTCCTCAAGGCGTTTCTCCATCTTGTTCACGCCCGGCACCTTGTCACGGGCAAGCTGCGCAAACGCCTCGTGCAACTGATCAATCAGAAGGTCAGTACTGGCGCGTTGGCTCTTGACCTGGTACAGCGCGTCCATGACTTTGCGGAGCCCATTTTCAAAGTCCTTGATCAGCTTTTCAGGGCTGCGCGCAAGCTCCATGCCATGTGCTTGCACATCCACCCATTCCTCCAGGTTCTTAAGAAGAGCCTCCGTGGCGACGCGCATCTTCGGCGTAAATGTCATCGAGTCGCGTTGCTCCAGGAAGTCAAGGTACTGCACCAGGTCAAACTTCGGCGAGCCGGACGCTGTAGACAGCAGCACAATCCTATTGCGTAGCAGTGTGGCAAGGCTGCCAGTGGGCAATACAACGTCAGATGCGCCCAGGTAGACGCGCTCCCAGCTATTGGCCATAACGTCAAATAGCCAGCCATCGTTCAGCGGCTTGCCCTCCGTGTCAAGGCCGCCGTGAAGGAAAACCTTGCCGTGCGAGAATTCGCGCATAACAGCGCCATAGCGTGGCGCCGGTACGCCGTGCAAGCCCCCCGTGGGTGGGTTAACAGTGCATTGGATGTTGTTGGGTCCGGTAACCTCCATAATCACCAGGTCGCCCGTCACGACACTCTCAGCCTCATCATTAAGCAGCTGCCCTCCAAACATGACGATGCGGTTGCCAGTTGCCGCCGCAGCAGCGGTCTTGCGAGGTTCCGGGATGTCGCCCTTGAGAATGGGCTCCATCCAATTGGCGGCCTGGCGATCGGAGGTGTCCATCATGGCCAGCTCGCTGCACAGGGTTGCAAAGGGTGACGAGCAATGGGAAAGGGGGTCCCTGAGCCTTAAAGCTGGCGACAGCCTTGGACCGTCGGAGGGTTATAGCCCTATAGCATTAACCATTGCAGACGTAGAAGCACGGTCACAGCAGCTGCGCGCTTCAATTCTTTGTATGTACCCCACTGTGTGAGTGTGCATGTGCGTTACACCTTGAGTGGCGTTAACCTCCAAGGGTGCAATGGGTAATACGAGCCGGTGGCTCAAGGGCCAGCCACATTATGTTCCTCATGTGCAGGCATGAACCATTGTGCCACCCCGACGTTTCTCCCACCTAAGCCAGTCTTGAAGTCCTGATGACCAGTGACATGGTCAAGGGGAAGCCAAGCCAGAACTTACAACATCACGTCGCCGTCATGGTCGCCCATCATGACGTAGAGGTCCTTATCAATCACTACGGCAGCGGCGTTGTTCCGCGCAGCCACCGGAAGCTCGTGGGCCTGCTGAGCCGCTTCAGTGCTGGGTGCAGCGGGCGCCAAACCAGCGCTGGTGGGCCTCTCGTCGGCTCCATCACCCGCACAGCCCTCCCCGGCTGCCGCAGCCTCCCCGCCAGAAGCGGCGGCAGCCTCGCCCGCTACTGCCTTATCCTCAGCCCCCTCGTCCGTCGCAGCAGCGCCCTTAGGGTGCCTGTAAGCAGGGCAGCATAGCCAGAAGGATTATGGCCCAGCACTATTTTGCAAATTTACAAAACGCTTTGAGATAATGCCATGACATGGCATAACGGCTGGAGGCCCCTTTGCGGCAAAACCCAGAGGCATGTATCCCCACCGACCAACGCACAACTGGAACAGCAGCGCAAGGAGCACTGGTCCCACTCCAAAAGGTCTCGTTTCAAATTCTGGACCCACCGCATGTACGGCCGGTTCTCCGCGGGGCGGCTCCAGACCCAGCCGTCGCTCTGTTTGCGAAGATAGTAGACATCATTGAGGTCGTTCTGGTCTGCCAAGTCGATGCCACCGAATATTACCAGCTCGCTGTCGCTCAGCACCACCGTGGAGTGCATGGTACGGTCCGGTGGCGTTGCGCCCGTGGCCCCCGCGGGGCTCCATCGCCACTCTGTGTGCTCCGTTTGCAGCATCGTTACGCCTGACTTGTCGCCACCATACAATACCAGCTCATTCCCCAGTGTGGACAGCGTGACACCCTTGCGTTTCGACGGGGCGGTGCCCATAATGCGCGGCCTGACCCACGGGTCCACGCAGCGCACCGAGAACGGCGAGCCGCGGATTGGCACGAAGTCAGCGGTGCCAAGCTCGTTGAATGAGACGTGGATATTGTACACTCCCGCCGTGGGTGCAAAGTAATGCACCTCGTACTGGCCGTTGTTAAGGTCGCGTACACGAGACACGCCCTCGTACTTGCCGTCGGCAGAAACGACAGTGACCTTAAAAATATCCCCACCACTCGTGCGCTTGTCGTTCAGTGTATCTTTTGCCTGGACAATGAAAGGCACCTCCACACTGGAGAGCGTCTCCGCAAGCAGGCCCGGGCCGTAGGCAATGCAGTTGCGGGCAGCGGTGTTGGCGAAATATGCAAACTTAATCTTATTGACAGTCCAGCCTTCGCCATTAATGGAGACGCGCACGTCGACGGTGAGCGCGCCGTACTGCTCGTAGTTGGGCGTCTGCACGCGGATTGTTTCCGGGTCCACGTAGATGCCATCGACGATGACCTCGTTCTTCTCGCTGAGCCCAAACTTGACCTGCACCCTGCCATCGCGGAAGCGCAGGCCGCGGATTGTGATATCCGTCGAGCCAAACACCGGACCCATCTCTGGCTGAATTCCTGTGCACGCGTAAGGCGGGCCGATGATGGGTGACACGTTCAGCTTGTGCAGATCACCCAGCCATCGGTTGGCCCAGCCGCCAAAGATCAGCAGCGAGCAAGTCTTTACGTCAAACACCCATGCCGTGTCCTCACGGCCCACAGGCGGCGTCCCGTGGTCCACGGGAGGCGTGGACCACATCTGGCTGCCACAGTCCATGACCTCAACGGTGTTGAGATACTGCATCATGCCCTTGCGTCCGCCAAAGCTGAAGACCTTGTGATAAGGCACGCTCTCAATGCCATCGCAGACATTGTTGCAGATCTCGTAGGGCAGTGTCGGTGGCTGCGTGTCGTTCTCCCAGGCCATGCGATTGAGATCCAGCATATGGCTGTCCTGGTACATCTGGCTCAGATCTCGGCCACCCATAATAAGCAGTTTGTCGTAAGTGTCCGAGTTGGGTGTCACGGGATAGATGAAGGCCGAGTGATCAAAGCGCGCGGTGGGGCCGGTGCCCTGCAGTGACTCCGTGATGTTTTCCCAACGGAAGCCCTCGTCCCCGATGCGCAATACCCACATCTCGTTGTAGACCTGGCCACTGCCGCCATAGCCGCCAAATATAAAGACCCTGTTGCCGAACCGCGTTGCGGTAAAGTGCGCCCGGGGCTCTGGCGCATTGCCCGCAACATCTGCAGCGGTCCAGGTTCTCTCCTCGTAGTTAAACACCCAGACATCGTTGTAGCGGAGCCGTTTATTGAGACCGCCAAACACCAGCAGCCGCTTGTCGTCAAGCTAAGGAATCAGTACACGCATGGTGGAGGAGAGACAGGGAAAAGGCGTACCAGGTAGCGGGTGGTTTGAAGTTAGCAATCGGACGCCAACGCGCCATGGATACAGTACATAAGGTATATTATAAAGGGCTGGGCCAGCATGCACACAATGCGCCCCCAGGATGAGATGCAGGAGCCCTTATAGGCGAACCATTGCGTATTATGCAGTGAACACCCGGTTAACGTAACGCTTAAGCCCCTGGCTTTGTGCACGTCCTTAGTCGGATCCGGCCGCTCCTGAAGTTACAACCCGACTTTCCCCCCCTACACACCGGTCCCTTCCCCCCCCCCCCCCCGCAAAGATATTTCATCACAATTCCTCACCGCAATTGCCGTATGGCGAGCGCGAGGGGGTGGTGGGTTGGTGGCTGTGACTTCCTTCCACTTGTACTCATCGGGATCACTTGTATCAAGCTCATACAAATCGTTGAAGGCAGCAGCTTTGCCTACGCTTGCCATGTAAAGAGAATAGGTATCGACAATCTTACAGGAGCACATCTATGCAACTAGCTGTGCGTACCGTCCTTGCGTCCGCATCCTCCAAAAAGAATAAAGCGTTCACCGAGCACTGTAAATGAGTGGCCCGAACGGGGGCAAGGGGCTTCCCCTTGTACAACGGGAACCTCCCAAAAGATGGACTGCAAGGGAAGGAAAAGCTAGAGATGCTCAGCGACTACGGTGACCGCGGACTAGTCCACATCTGCAGGGGGGCCCAGTTGCGTACCATTTTGTCCGCTCGACAATTCAATAACTCATGTGGAAACCTTAAAAGTAAGCACGCTTATCCCTTTCAGTAACGTCACCTACAAGGTTCAGCTGGAAAAAGTTCTACGTCAATAGTTTATAAGATTATCACGTTTCTCTTTTGTGTTGAGTCTAAACCGCGATACCTGCGAAGTCCCAGGTTTGCCATACTCTTGGCAAAGGAGGAAGAAGTTCTCTAAGTCGTACAAGTACGGAGCAAAGTCACTACTGGCGTTTTGGTTTACCTGAATCGCCTGAATTTAGCTCCACCGATTGGAGATGGCATTGTGATGAACTGTAAAGATAAGAATACTGATACGTGAAACAGGGGCTGACACTTTTCGCACCGTTCTAGCAAGCTTCCACTGGTGGCAAGTGCCACATCAATAGTTTTGTTTTACGTGCTCTTCTTTTGCAATAACAACTGCCTGCTGTTTTTGACGTCGAAAAGGCGTCGGTGAAACCCGACGGCCACCCAATAGACTTCACTGATCAAACACATTGCGCGCTGGTTCATCAGACATGCCGCCTCAATTCAAGAAGCCACTGGCGAGTGACGTGTCTTTGGCGACGCTGGGAGCCGTCCTGTGATTGAACCTACAGTCAAGAAGGACTTCTGGACTTATCCTCCATTGGTCCTTCCTCGCTGCAGGAGTATGATCCATCGCTGGCCCAGCAAACACTACAGAAGAGCTATGCGAACTCCGACGCCGCGGTGGTAGCTAAGAAGCGGTCGCTTCTAGCAGAACTGGTACGGTTGCCATGTGTTGCACGTTTTCTCCCGCAAGGCAAGCTCAACTGTTTACGTTGTGAACCTGGAAAATATATGGCTCATCACCGCCGATGGGGGTAGTAGCACGAGGATGCCGGGTAATGTAAGGCTCCCTGTGTACTCTGCCAGGGGCTTGCGGACGAGGAATACGAACTTGAAGATGAAGATGAAGAGGAGGCGTTTGATGAGGATGAGGAGCCTCTTTTGGTTAACCGGGCACATAACCACACAAATGGCCAGGCCTCTCGCCCTTCCTATGGGTACCGCGACCTGTTTGGAAAAGAGATGGAGGCTCGGCGGCGCCAAATAATTGACGTGAAGGTGGGGCCAGTTACGCCTCGCGTGGAGTCCGGGTTTCCGGCTTGGTACAACGGGGTCTTAGGACATGGTTTCGTTCGTTTTCCGATCGCACCGTTTGCGTAAGGTCTCGTTGCCTGTACACGGCATGCAATGCTCATCGCTTCAGGCCTCAATTGTGACTTGCATCACATACCGCAGGGCTATGACCAGTACTTGGCCGATCTGCTGGAACGCAGCCATGAGCAGCTGCAGGTGAGGCGGGCATACTGGAGTACTGGATGCTCGTGCCGGGGCATTCTTCCGTCAGACAGCACACGGCTGCCGCTAGATCCGATAGCCTACTAAAAATCAGCGGATTGCGTCAGGACAGACCTTTGTAAACCTGATGTGGTTCGGCCTCAAACGCCCTTCCTGGCCTCCCATTGCAGGCGCTTCGCGCAGAGCAGGGCTTGCAATGTCCTGGAAATGTGGAGGTGAGCGGGCTTGAGGGCAATCCTGCTCAGCCGATGGTGGGCCCACCACTAGCAAGCCGCATTCTGCACGCTGTTCCTCTCGCGACCGGCCCCCACCGCTTAGTTACCCTAGTCCTGGCATAGAGCTCATGTAGGACCAGACTTTAAGTCGGTGCGTTGAGCGCCCACGAATTGCCCAACCTTTTCCCAGGCAAGGAGGAAGGGAGATCTAATCCGTCCATTCACGTATGAGTCCATTTCATGGATACACGCATGTACCCATTCTTGCCAAATGGAATCCACCCAGCACTCAACACGGATATGGATTGCGTTGTGCGATTGTAGGTTATACCAGCACTGCAGCATGAACTTAAGGCGTTGCATGAGGAGCTAAAGCAGATTCGCAGCCAGCAGCCGCCCTCGCCAGACACAGTTGACGTGAGCCGAGGAGCGAGCAGGTGGGTGTGCTGACAGGGTGGGCCCTGCATACGGATTCTGATAATCGGCACGGATTAACATGGCGCTTTAGGGTCCAGAAGTAAATAACGCGGGAGGCTATCTGCACATGTTGGCATGCCGGGTTGCCGAGCTGGGTGCAGAGGAGGAGCTAAGCCTCTTGCGTCCTAAGGGGCCTAGCCAGCAGGACAAGTGTGCAGGATCCAACCTGCGCGCTTTCCCGCTTGGAATCATTCACAGTCTTTTACAGCAGTCCAGTACTGTTGAGACTTTCCTTGTGGCCCGCGTCGTTTTCTTGGGGCATGCAGTGACCTGGTCCAGCAGGTCACATTGCTGCAGCGGCAGCTCACCTCTCGGGACGCAAGGCTGCGGGAGCTAGAATCGGAGAACACGAAGCTTAAGGTGGGGTGTTTTGTTGCTATCCCCGCGAGCTTCGAGGTCAGAGGATATTCGTGCGTGCGGTGGGCAAACCTCTGTTGCGTGGGGCCGCTGCCGCAGGCTCTTTTAGCAGACAGCAAGGGCGCCTTGGATGACGTCGCCTCTCGCCGCAGCGATACGGATGGTATGGTGGAGGAGCTTAAGCAGCAGCTTGCAGAGGCTAAGGTAAATGGGGCAAGGCACATGGTAGCTGCGTGTGCTTAACTGATGGGTGGACGTCAATGTCGGTGGCATCACCATGCCTAGTGGACACTGTGATGGGTGGTGGGGATGCGGCTTTGCCGTTTGGGCCAAGGCGTTTCACGCTGATAAGGATGTCATAGCGTCGCGCGCGTTAGGCAGCATCTGTATGGGCAAATAGTCGTCGTTTCAAACCTACCTTCTCCTGTGGTTCATCTTGGAACTTTGTAGTGTTGCGTCACCGGGGACAGCCGCGGGTCCCCCAATGCATGAAGAGCTGCGCAAGGGTAATACAGCTCGCACATGCAATTTAAGGATAAGAGCTACAGACCGTCATGGACACCCAGTTATCACGGGCCAACGCCACCCACTCCAAATTTGCCAAACACAAGTAAGACATGTTATGTATGCTTCCCCTGTGCTTCAGGCTCGCGAAGCCCAGCTCCATCAGCAGCTCGCGAAGGCACTGTCGGACATTACAGCAGCGAACTCTAACGCAAGGGCCCAGCAGGCGCTGTCCTCCAAGGACTCGCAAGGTGGCCAACTGGCGGCCCTGCAGCAGCAGCTGTTGGAGCTCACCGAGGAGAGCAACAAGAAAGTGGCGGAGTTGGAGGCGGAGCTGAAGCAGAAACAGGTGTGCATGAGCGGGGGCACTGTGGACGAAAAATGTTCTGCCATGGATGCACTGCATGTTTGGGGACGAAGGGAGGGTGCCATGCTGGTTTTGAAATTGGGGGCTGCGGGGTGGGTCATCCAGATCGTGTCAGCTGGCTGTCACATTGGCTTGCTGCGTTGGACTGGGCGTCTGCTAAAGACACGGTGCGCAACTTGCCGTCGTTGCGCTCGTTCCCCGCCGTAATCGTGGTCATCCCGCGGTCAAAGCATCACTAACTGGGGAAAAGGGCATCTGACCGGCCGGCTCACCTTATGTATTACATGCTCACTTGCGTGTGCAACGCAAGTCCTTGCCTGTCTCCTCGATGCAGCCAACGTTTTACGCCTGATCGTTGCTTACAGCCCGGTCGTCGCTCTTTCGAATGTTTAGCAGCCGTGTGCATTATGCGTTATGCGATCCGGGCAGGTGCAAATCCAGCAACTGCAGAGCACGAAAAGCGATGCGCTTGCGGCCATGAAGGTGCGTTTGTTATTGTCTAAAATTGCGTCAGCGCGCCTGTTAGACTTGCATCATATGGCCACTCGCGGCGGCACGGTTTACGTCAGGAATGTATCGGTGGCAATAACCTCTCTGAAAGAAGTCCCTTACAGCGACCAGTACGAATGCATTCACTGCTGCGACACCGCCTATCCCGTCCCTTGCAAACTCGAATATTATTCTTGTAGGAGATGAAGGGTAAAATGGCGGCGATGAAATCCGATGTTGCCACGCATGTGAAATCGCAACTTCAGGGCGTCAAGGTGGGCGCAGCCCTGATCAGGGCCTTCGTCAGAACCTGTAGTACAGGGTACTTGTTCAGATACCCAATGATCCCTTCGACTGAGCGGCCGTTGGTCCTTGGCCCTAGGTTGTTTTCGTGACGCGCCGTGGCTGGTGTTGTGGCCACCGTCCCAGGGGCCGTGAGTTTTCTGGGGAAATTTTGTGGCTCACCGTGCTTAATAAACGTTGTATCCCTTCGCTCCACGGCTATAGGCACAACTGGAAGAGCTTCACACCCTACGCGAGGCGGTCCTTGAGGAACTGGTAAGTTAGGGCTGCTCTTGGAACAACCGAGGCACCGCGTCGGGTGTCATGCATGCGTGTTTGGGTCCTTGTGGCAACTTCCCGCATTTGCAGTTTATGGCCATTACGCATTTTCACCGTCAGCGCAAAAGTCGATGCCGCACTTGGAAGCTGAGTTCCACCTCGGCCTGTTGCCGCATTCCGACCTCCTCTAGCTCCATTCTTCAACCTTTTGGGCGCTGATGAGGCTGCTGCTGATCACGCACCTTGCGCAGGTGGCTTTCAAGTCGGAGATCTTTTCGGACAAGGTGCTGACCCAGATGACGCGCTTGGTGCGCGACCGCGAGATTTCACGCGTTCGCTCCGCACAGTCTGACATACGGACCAAATTGACGGACATGGAGACCAAGCTGCGTGATGCACGGGAGGAGGTGGACGCGGTGCGCAAGGAGGTGCGTAACGGTGATGATGCCTCGGACCGGTGCTGTAGCCCGCCATGACCCAGCTACCTGTTTGTGCCACCGTGTTCCTGCACCCTGCGTATCCCGAATCCTGGAGTGCCACATGCGCTCCGCCGTCCGGGGTGTGCTTTAAAAGCAGTTCGCTGTCCCTTTCCCCTCCGGGCGCAGGCGGATCAGTCACTTCACATCCTGCAGCTGGAGACGCAGGGCCAAATCGCGCATTATCGCGACAAGTGGCGAACGGAGTTCGAAAAGCGGCGGAAGCTTCACAACCAGGTGCGCTGGGGCCCCGCTAGCACCCCACCCGCACTGGCTGTTGCCACTGGCCGTGTATTCTTAAGTTGTGCCTTTGTGGGAAGATGCGGACAGGGCAGCGCACTGAAGGGAATGGCTCTTGCTGGGGCAGCAATTTCCTTACCGTTATTCTCATGTTACGATTGCAGGTGCTGGAGCTTAAGGGCAATATTCGCGTCCTTTGTCGCGTGCGCCCGTTGCTGGAGAAGGAGCGTACGGCAGGTGGCGAGGGCCACATGCCGGTGAAGGTGACTAGTGAAGAGGCGCTGCGGGTGGCCGCAATGGACAACAAGGCAGAAAAGGACTTCGAGTTCGATCGAGTACTTGCGCCCGACGAGGGGCAAGACAAGGTGTGTGTGGGGCCATGAGTTTTCCGCTGTGCGCTGATGAGAGGTGCGAAGAGAGCATCTCTTTGGGGCTAGATTAAAATGTGCACCAATTTAACGGGGGAAACGTAAAGTACATGCTTTACTTTCACACGGTAAGGTCTGATGCGGCTTGTGTGGGAAGGACAGGAACGCGCATGTATACCCTATCGGCAGAAGCTGGCGGACTGTATAATCTGCATTGAGGCTTTTCCCGTAGCGCAATGAGCGGAATACGCCCATGCTATCTAGTTGTTCTTACGTGCTTAGCAGGGGCTCGCAGACGATGGCTGCGTCAGCCTACCTAACATATTCATGTGCCACATGAGCTGAGTAGGCCTGTCCCTGGATCCACACACCTGGTGTGTTGCAGCTGTACGACGAGGTGTCGGCACTCATCACTTCCGTCCTGGATGGCTTCAACGTGGCGATCATGGCATACGGTCAAACAGGGTCTGGAAAGACCTTCACTATGGAGGGACCCGAGGTGCGGTGGGGCGACAACCTAAACAGGGCGCGCTGTCTCACAAGCGTCTCGATCTAATCTTGACGATCTGGGTATGGAAAGCCGCTTTTTAGTCAAGATCAGTACAAGGGTTATGGGAGGCGCACTAATTGGCTGGGGATTCAGCCATGGGTGAAGTGCAGCCGGAGTAACCGGGACTAGTCACACGGGGTGGCGTGCGGCTCATTATGGCCAGTCTCGGCCGTTTTGCTAAGCGTGGCCCATGTTTGCCTAACGGTTGCGTATCATAAACCGGCAATTTCTAGCGTCTTGCGCCTGGTAGAGTTGCCGACATCGTTTTACGCTGCATGCTTGGTGTTTTGTGCCGCTATTGTTACAATGCAGGGCAACCCTGGTGTCAACTTGCGTGCTTTGGCGGACTTGTTCAAGCTGGCGGAGGAGCGCTCGGCGCAGTTTACGACCTCGTTTACTGCTTCCGTGCTGGAAATCTATAACGAGCAGATCTACGATCTTCTCGTATCTGGTGCCCAGGACGGCGACAAGCTGGACGTGAAGCAGGGCCCTGACGGCATGTATGTATCGGGATTAAAGGTGGAGGATGTCCACAATATGGGTGACGTCACCTCCATGATTGGCCGCGGGAAGTCGAACCGCTCCACGTTTGCCACTAATATGAATGAGCATAGCTCCCGCTCGCACCTGGTCCTGTCGGTCTACGTGACATGCGTCTCCAAGATGAACGGTGAGAAGGGGGTTCGCCTCGGTCAGGTCAGGCTGAGACGCGCGCTTGGCCCAGTCTAGGTGTGGTGCTCAGAGCGCTGGAAGGCGTGGGGACCTCTCGATAAAGCAACGAGTTGCGAGAGGACACGTGCAGGTTCTGCATGCCGTACGTGCAAAGAGCGCTCCAAGCATGAACCCCGCTGCATTCTGGTGCTATCGTAGGCGTGCCTAGGCCCAAAGCTGCCGCTCCTTTTGCTCGTGATACAGGCTCGACGTTGCGCGGTAAATTGCACCTCATTGACCTGGCGGGAAGTGAGCGCCTCAGTCGGACAGGCGCACAGGGCGACCGGCTCAAGGAGGCGCAGGCCATTAACAAGTCACTGAGCGCCCTGGGCGACGTGATCCAAGCGTTGCAACAGCGGAACGCACATATCCCATACCGCAACTCCAAAGTAAGCATGGACCGGCTGTCGTATTTGGGATCGCATGGGGATTCGATTAACGTTTCGTTGCATGGGTCGTCCGCCAGGCACGACATGGTAGCAATGGAACTTCCAGTTGTATGGTGGGGCATAGCGCCTTGCTAGGACATAGCGCCCTGGTTTGGAAATTGAGCTGCATTTCTTTCTGTTTGAGACGTTCATTAGCGACAGCAATGCATGCCGTCATTCCCATGCGCTCTTGCTGACGCCGCTTGCAGCTCACCCGACTGCTGGAGGACTCTCTTGGCGGTAACAGTAAGTGCGTTATGATTGTAAACGTGTCCCCTGCGGTGGAGAACGTATCGGAAACCAAGTGCTCGCTCGAGTTCGCATCACGCGCTCGCAAAGTGGAGCTGGGCCGAGCACGGGCCAATGTCACTTCTGGGGACTTCACCAGCGCCCTCAGCAGCTCCGCCTCAGCAAATGGCGGCAGCGCCTCCGTAACGCCCAGCCCGGCTCCCAGCCGACCCATGAGTGGCCGGGGGACGCCTGCTGGGGAATCGTCCATGAGCAGGGTAGCTTCACGTGAGACGATGAACTCGCAAATGCGGCGATCCTCCGGACCCACGGGGATCTTGCGGTGAGTGGACGTGTGTCTCATCAAACGCCTGTTCGCCGTGACCCACGCGGGTTGGGAATGGACGTGTGCCATGATGGTCGTTTAGCTGGCGGTTTGTGGGCTGCAGTTGAGCAAGTCAACGAGCTGGGACATCTGACGAATATGCAAATGGTTTCCGGGTTTGCTTTGAGTGTGGGGCTTGAGAACTCGGGGTTAGGGTATATGTGTTGCTGTTGTGTTTTTCGAACGCGTGGGGTTGCGGCCGCCTGGGCGCGGCCGGAGCTTTTAGCTGCAGAGCCCATGGCAGGGGGTTCTGGTCTTGGTGTTTGCGCCAGGTTGCCGTACAATGCAGCTGGCGTGTTATAGATAACAATATAAGAGTAATTGTCGACGACTTTCTCCTTTTTGGCGTCGCGGAGTCGATCCAATTAGTGCAGCATGCCGACGTGTGCGGGGTGCTCGCGGCCCCGTACATGGCTAGTGTGGGGCCACGCAATGTTCACCGAGTTCCAGCGTTATGTTGTGGGGGTATGATGGCAGACGTGTGGGTGGCGGGGTTTGCGGAGCGTTGCGCGTCTTCTACTTGGTGCATTGGGTGCCCCTTTATTCTGTGGCATGTCGCTGATCATTCAATTGGTCATTAGAAGAGCCCATTGACGGTGGTGGCCGTCTTGACTGGCTGTGATGGAGAGACCCCTTGTCCCTCGTTAGGGAGGTGCTGTGAACTAAGAGATGTCCGTTTGACGAAACCGCACACGACTTCGGAACTCATGGTCGGCCATGGGAATGTGTGTGTTGGTACGTTTGGGCGTTGTGGCGATAGAAGAAGGACACCGTTAGGGCTGCATTGGCGGCTACCGAGGGTTCTTCGCAATTATAGGTAAAGAGCAGGGAGGTGCTCCTTAGTCATCGTGCACGCTGTGTGGCTGGCCTGCCTGCGGCGTTTTGTGGGCGTTTTATAAAGCCTGTCGGTCGCCCATAGACTGGAGCAGCGGCAGGCCGAGTGCCGTTAGTGGGCACTAGTTTAAGTGGCGGGCGTAGTGCGCTGTACCTAGCTACATTGTACAAATGAGCGGATGACGATAAGCACAATAGTTTTTGCTGTGATCTGGTCCTCGACTTACGGTTTTTATATTTTTGTAGACCCCAAACCGGAGGTCGCTAGTGCGTTGCATGCGATGTACTGTGTCCTCTTTTGAATATCGTGCCCCCTAATGGCCATGTCCGCGAAAGCGATCCGTCGGCAATGGCGTGCGAGTGTGCGCTGACATTCTTTGACGCTGGGGAAGCGAAAGGAAGATTGCTCTTACTCGGGTGCGTGTTGCTTTACACCTAGGTCCCTTCCGTACGGCAGGACTGGAATACATATTGCCGTACTTCAGCGCTGCGGTGCGTCCTGCACGCATTTGCATCCTTCGGGTCATTCTACTAGATATGTAATCCGCGCAATAACGTGGCCTAAACCATCACCACGAACTTGCTTCACAACATAAGCCATTTTTCAGCCAATGCACCCTGGCAAACCCGGATCACATTCAAGGCCCGGTGCCGGTCCCAACAGCTGCCAGGCAACAGTACTGTCCGCCGTCCAAGGCCTCGGGGAACAACCAGTACGTAGCTTTCATATGGCCTACTTCATATATCCCACTAGGCCAGTGCACGCAAAGGTAGGTATGGCAGCTCCCCTGGCTTTACAATCCTGCAGGGAATTTATTCTTTACAAATAACCCTCGGATCGCAGCATTGGAATTCCCGTCGAGTCGTTACACAGCGAGCCCTATCCCTGAAAGCCGTGTAACTCAGGAGCACCGCAGGGAGGTTATATATACAGTGCAAATCCCAATGCCATTTCTCCACGTTGGCCTTTCCTTAAGCGCTGCCATCGCTGCCGCCACCCGCGCCATCACTGCTGCCGCTATCTCTTGCTACCGTCGCAGGCGCTTCAACAGCGCCCGAGTACGCAAACGGCAGACCGTATACCTCCTTCCACACGCCCTTCCACCAGTAGACAGCGCCTAGAGCAATTACGTTGGACGTGAAGATGAATGCGAAGCTCTTCCACACAAATGGCAGCGTCACGTTCATCAGCGGCACCTGCGCAGGGGCCACCGTCCGTTTGAAGCACGGTGGACAGAGGCATCATTATTGTCGACCTGAGCAGTCGCTCCAAATGTGCAACTAGCCTTTGCATCCCAAGCCCTTTGCCGAACAACAACCCCAAACAAACGTACTGCATGCACTACCCGTGGATATCGCAAGAGTATACACCCCGCGCCTTACGCCGCCACTATGAGCAGGTGCCCAGGCAGCGAAGCCTGTGCTAGATGCCCCATGCAGCCGCCTGCTCCCTCCCCTTAATGCCGCCAGCAACCCCCCTCCCTCCCGCATCGTACCAGGAGGAACAGGATGTTAAGCGCGTCCTTCTCCTTGGCTGTGCACTCCTTGGCACGAAGCGAAGGAATTGTAAACATCCAGATGGACCACATGCTGAGGGGAAGAAAGGAACGGGCACCGGGACAAGAGTGGGTCTGGTAGATATCCCCATAGTGCCAAGCGCCACCAATAAGGAAAACAGCTGCGGAAACAGCTCATTGGCCAGTACCCAGCCGAGCGAAGACCAGCCGAGGACACCCAGTCCTCGCTCGGGTCCCTTCCGTGTGCCTGCCCTGCTCACCCCAGCAAACGAGGGATGCTTGGCTCATCGGTTGGCCAGATAATATTAAAGGAAAGTAGACCACCGGCCACCAGGCAGATCCATGATTGGTATTCAAAGATGTCGTACAGTACGCTGCCCTTCACCGCAGGGTTCTTCTGCTTCGTCGACGACCGGGGCGCGAAGGTCCCTGCTGCCTGCCTGGTTAACTTGGTCACCTCTTTCTCGAGATCAACCTCAGCCCCAGTCGACGTCGATGGTTGCTCGGCTGCCAGGAGCCAGAAGGACTAGTTGAGCAAAGCCATCCTCTAATAAAAGGTCTAGCTATTTCGGCACAACGGCGTTCATTCGTTGAAAACCCGATTCATACAAGGGGTAAAATGCGTAGTTGGGCGCACCTGTTTGCGGTGCGCCATTATTCGCGCTCCGCACCACAAGTGGCTGTGCCATACCATGGACCCTTGGGCACGCCAGTTGCCTGCATGAGACTACTCGTGCCTGATGAAACCTTTGCTGTATCATCTGCATGTTGTAAACGGCTCCTGCTGTGGTAGAAATATCGACTAGCCCGATCCAAAGCTGGGTCGGTCGCAATAAAATCAAATATAATACAAGTAATGAAGGGTTACGTGTTTGCAAGGTTTGGATTGTGATCTATTTGGACGACTAAAGGTTGCTTTCGGAGCATGTCAAGCACACTGCACACAATTCATGTGCCCAGAGTCCATGAGTGCCATCCTGCTTTGTTTTACGTCTTACGATTAATTTCTTGACGATAACCCTAGGCACCGGCAACTTTTGGTACTCGTAGCGGGCAAACTCGATTTTTATCTTATATCAGTCAGTACCTACAGTGCAAAAATGTCTTCAGATCTTGAGGAGCAAAAAAAGGCAATCTTACCTTTCATGCAGGTATGCGAAACCCAGGAAGTCGTATCACCTGCCAATACCTCCATGGGTCAGCTGCCGCACGTTTCCTCTTTCGACAGAGGGCTCAGGAAATTCAGCAGGCCGACCCCAAGGTGGCCTACTACTGTCGGATGTATGCTGTGGACCAGGTGGGCCAGACTATGTCCGCAATACGTTGGGTCGGGTGGCGGTTGGTTACACCAGAGGACGCCCAGTCAGTACAGCCCCTCGGCCGTTGGTTTGGCGTCATGATGAATCTTTCGCCGTAGCTTCATAGGTAATCTTGATTCCGCGAAACTGCTTGAGCGGCGACCCGAGGGCACGCAGCACTACGACAGGCTCCAGGCTTATGTTGCCAGCGCCCCGGCAACCTAACCAGCGAGCCGCTGCGACCGCTTCTTCTTCCTCCTTCTCCTCCTCCTCCTCCTCAGAGCTGCCCTCGGGTGTCTTACTGTCTCTTCTCTTCTGCTGACGGTACTGCTGCCAACGTGCTTCTCCCCACCCGCGCCTCCTGAGCGGCCGGTCCCCAGCTGGCCAAAGCACCCCCTGCACCCGCACCTACCACCTGACCTGACCGCCCGCCCCACTTCCAATGATACCAGTCAACGTGATGGAGAAGCACCACCCGCGCACAACGCATCGCACAGTCCCTACTCCTACCTGCCCGTAACCCTCCACACATCCCTTCCACGCCCTCTCCCCCCCCTTACACGGATCCACCTAACCCGGCTTTCACTATCGACCGCCTCCACCAAACCCTCTCCACCCCCCTCGGCACCAACCGCAGGCCCTCAAGCTCCCACAACGAGCCAAGGAGGTCACCGCCCTGCTTTCCGCCACATTAAATCAGTTGGAGCGGGATAAAGCGCAAATCAAACTGGACCCCGTAGCCGACCGCATTCACTGCCTGGGTTTCGCACTTCGTATATTCGACAACGCGGACCGAGTGGACCGGGCAGGTCGGGCCACAGAGCGGACTGCGGTCGCCTACTACGCGGCGTCCGTGTTCGTGGAGGTGGGGGGGCCGGAGGGGTCAGGGACGGGAGGAGGGAGAGCTTGGGGACGGTGTGTTTCACAGCTTACCACAGCTCACCTTCGCCTCGGCGGGCGGACAGCTGGCGGATACCTCCGTTTCCACCAGTGTGTGGGGTTTTGACGTCCAGGTAGCACCGGCTGTGTCTGGTTGGGTTTGGGTGGTCCTATCGTCAGGTCCCAGCAGGCCTAGCGGGGTCATGTACCGCCTTTCACCCAGCGGCTATCACCGCCAGTGCGCGGCCCTACACATACAGCCCCCTTCGGTTCCATTCGCGGGCCTATCTGCAGATCTTAAACCAATTTGAGGGAGGTGTGGATGCGGATCTTTTGGAAAAGCAGCGCTATTGCGCCTGGAGGGCGGCGGAGATCCGCAAGGCGCTACGGGAGGGCCGCCAGCCCACACCGCCACCTTCTGCGAATCCCCTGCCCGCGGCAACGTCCGAGGGTGGCAATGCCGCTACCTCGGCCGATTTGCCACCCGCCTCCGGGTCCAGTGCCTGGGCGTACGGCGGACAGAGCCAGCCACATGCGTTGCCGCCGCCGCCTCTGCCTCCGGTGCCACCTGCTAGGGGAGGTGGCGAAGATGCCATGGGCGGAGAGGGTTTTGGGTCCTCAGATTCCTCGTTTCGTAGCACCGGTGGCGACAGCTTCGTATACCCTCGGCCGCCACCTCCCTCGGTGTCGTCCTCCTTTGGACGGCCGGAGAGCCCGATGGGGCAGGCGGCGGCCGCGTCCGGCGGACCAGCGCGGTTCTGGCCTGGTGCCAAGCTGCTGGTGCATACGGAGGAAGGGCTGGATGTCGGGGGCGAGGGCGGACTGAGCTCCGGTGGTGGCGGTGGTGGTGGTGGTGGGGTACATCCCCCCGGGGTAAGTGGTCCTAAGCAGTGCAGCCACCGGAGCGCTATCCCGTACCCTTGTGGCTCTGTATGGGGGGGAAGGGTCCGTGCGTTCACGTCCCTGGTTGAATCGCGCGTGTGTGCGTGCGTGTGTGTGTTTCATGTTTTCCTTCTGCCTGCTTCCCCCCTCTTCCTCCGGAAAATGGAGGGGGTTGTTCTACGGGCGGCCGTTATGGCTACGCGGCCGTCCCGCCATCAGCTACCCTACCAGGTGCGGTGCCCTTTCCGCCCACCACCCCACACCCCGCAGACGCAAGTGGGAACCGTTGGTCAGGTTGTCCGGCGGCCGGATGGGGGCTTCAGGTACGGGGTGGGGTGGGGTGAGGTGGGGTGGGGTGGGGTGGTGGTCGTATGAAGCGGGCCAAGTGGAGGAGATTGGACGGGGGTTGCCCACTGCCCACCGCCCCGATCCCTATGCCGACCTCCCCACAACTCCCCGGATGGCATTTTCCTCTGTCGCGCCCTGTCTCTCCCTCCACCTCCTTCCCCGGCTGTGTCTGAGGAACTTGGCCGAGGGTTAACCTAAATCGTGTCCATCCTATCCGCTGCTTTCCCTACTGCCCGACGGTACTGCTTGGTTGGCTGGTTGTTGTGTCGTTGTTGTCGTTGCCGTTGTCGTTGTTGTCAGCTACAAGGTGGCCCTCACGGACCGCCTGGTGGAGGTGCCGGAGGAGGCGGCAGTGGCGGCGCTGAGGGAGGGGGATGTGGCGTGTATGGCGCTGGGACATCAGCAGACCCAGCCCTTCACGGTCAAGGTCCTCCGCATCAACTACGCATCATGGTGAGAAGGAGGACTCAGGCCGGCGGGGTCAGAAGAAGAATGGAGAAAATTGCCACTGTCGGTCGCGGTGTGATGAGGTAGGGGCCTTGGAGTACCGTGTTTCGCAACCTGAACCCCAACAGCGCCCCGGGTGAGTGCGTTCCCCTGACGTCTGGTCGCTGATCACTAATTCCTACCCCGGGACCGCCTCGCCCCCGTACTAGGCCTCCCACATACCTCGTTCAGACGCCCGACGGCAAGGAGCAGGTAGTGACAGCCCAGCAGCTGACACCACCGCCACGTGACGGCCTCTCCGCCGCCACCTCCACGACCGCCGTACCACAGCTAGCCCCATCGGCACCTGCAGCATCCGCGCCGCCGCCGCCAATGCATCCCCCGCAGTCGCCCCCACCACCAGCACCCTCCTCTCCACCACGAGCTCCTTCAGCACCTGCGTACCCAGCGTACGGCGGTGGTGTCGCAACCCCGCCAGGCGCAGGGCCTTATCCGCCGGGCGGCGCAGTCCACCCTCCGTCTTTGCCATCGCATGCTGCGGGGGCCCCCTCAGCGTACCCCTACCCAGCTCCCACCCCGACGCACTCCACAAGCACGCCTGTCCAGGGGTACGGGTCCATCGCGGTTCCCCCCAGCACTGCTGCACTCCCGCCGGGATACAAGCCCCCTGTCCAGGTGAGGTAACGCATGCATGACCCACATGGGGAGGTATCCGAGCAGGACGTGCAGTACAGCCGCTGAATAGTAAGAACGGCGGGCTCCGGTCGGCTGGTCCCTTGGTTGTGAGTCCGTGGAGTGCGGTCTGTCACACGCTCGCACCCGATTGCGACGTCAATGCTCAGCAAAATCCCATCACACCGACGCTACCGCCGCTGGCACTGCGTGTGCTGCTCACCGCGTTTCCTCATGTGCCAGCATTGCTGCTGCGACGCCACTCAAACCGCCGGAGTAACCTCCCACAGATGATCATGGACGCTCAGAAGCAGGCCAAGTACGCGGTGTCAGCGCTTTCCTTCGAGGACATCCCTACGGCCGTGAAGCACCTGTCGGAGGCGCTACGGCTGCTCACCAGTCCCCCACCGCCGTCGGCAGCGGCAAACTTGACGATGCCCCGATAATGACGAATGGGGGGAAGGTGGCACTGGGCAGGTGGGCCCTTGCCCTCCACTTACCCAGCCGGAGTTTGGCCTGGCAGGCCATTGTCTGCCGCATACAGCGTCTCCCATAAAGAGCTGCCTGTGGGCCCTTCAACTGCGGAACCCTTGCGTGCTTATGAGGCCATTGTGGAGTGGTGGCATAGGCGGCTGTGTTGTTTGGATAGGGGATTAGCGGCATTGGCATTTGGCTGTGGTTGGGAGCTCTTCATTTGCTGTTGCCTTGCTAGTAGACGTTAAGCGCATGCTGCACGTGCATTGCAGGTAACAGCATGTAGTTGGAAAGATATATGTATGTGTGTGATGTATCGGGAGAGGACCTCCATCATACGTTTTTATCCCTAGGCAGCAACCGGCAGCACCCAGGCAAGGTGTGCTGCTGGTGGTTTCAAAGCCGCCAGATGTCCTTGTACCTCGACTCACGCAGCATCGGAACTGAGGATTGACGTGGAGGAGGACGCGAGGGGGATGCTGCAGACACCGGGAAGAGTCCCACGTGTATTCCCATGCAGTGGTACGTTCCACCAGATTGCGATGCCCGCGTGGGACCGGGCACCTATCGCACATCAACGGGGGTTAAATATGTGTATCTGTCAGTCCCTTTAAATCAGAACGATAGGTGCAGGTAGAGCGCGCTTATCCGCCACTTAAAGGTCCAACGCGGCACGTACTGCTATGCGACTTCATTACTGCCGCAGAACGAAGAAGACAACGCGGCACGAGATGGCAAAATGGCAGTAGCCAAGCGTGCGCTTTTGGGGCGAGGCCCCGGGCGCGAAGCACCTTTCGGGGGGTCGAGCCCCCGGGGTTCACTGCTGTCGGTCGGTCTGTCAGTTAGCGCCGTGTCACACGATGAACTCGCATGCCACGCTGAAGTGAGGATTGCATTTAAGGGCTACTACAACTGTATACACCAGATTCATACATCACTCCAATGCTGCCAGCCGCCGCCGCACCCGCACCCGGGCCTCGCAGCTATCCATAAACTGAGAGTATACTCCAGACACGACACCGTCCCTCCACTTGCAGCCCAGTGCCGTACAGCCTCACCTGCTTCACAATGGGGTGACTGGCTACACCGGGGCTGAGCCCTTTTCGGCTTTTTGAAGAAGCTGACTACCCTAGTCCTCGGACCAATCCATGTAATCCTCCTCAAACAAATGTCACATGTGACTGCCTCTCGACTCGGGGCTTCACTGATCTGGTGCGTCACAGCCGGGCTGCAGCCTCCCAAAGATTCCCCTTCTCAATCCGCACTAGATTAATAACCCGCCACAGCCCCTTCTCTTTCCTCCCAAACACACCCCGCCCCGCCCTACAGGCCCGCCATCTCTTGCCATCGCCACCGCCGTGGCCGGAGGGGCCCCCCTTAGGTGGAAGGTCGCACCCCATCCCTGTTGAGGGAACATAGCTCTGGGGCTTCCACCTTGCGGCGGGATGAACCCCTACAGGTCCACATCTTCGGCAGTTCGTCCGTCTGTAGGTCCGCACACTCGGAACAGTTCACTGTGGTCCACGTAGCCGTACTTGCGCATGGTCACATCTCGCCCCCGTGTCACCAGCAGCGCCTCTCCCACCACAGCTCCAGCCACACATCTCCGTGCGCTGCCCTGCCGCCCCCACGATGGGTTTTGCCCGTCTGCACCAGTGATCATTACACGCCCCCACTGCCTCAGGACACCACCCTCAAGCCTTTCCGCTTCGCCAAGTTTTTTTTTGCCGACGCGCTTTGTTCTCGACATACACACAGTCGCGCAGTTCCTTACTACCCCTCCTCAAAGCGCTGCACATCCATATCCGCATCAACACTGACGCAAAGGAACAGGCGGTGGTATTGCTGTGGGGCTCACAACAATCCCTCGTTCATGCTTAACCCCATCAACATCCGCACCACCGTCCGTCTTCTTTCCCAATCCAGCCGTATCCCCTCTTTTCACCCCTCCCAGCTCACTCCCTCAGCCCCCAGCTCGCCCCCTCTCGTGCCCGCTCCCTTACGCGCGCGCAAACTGCTTTACGACAGTTGGGTCCGCCCCCACGGCCCCCTCCCTTGGCAGCAGCTCGCACTGGGCAAAGTGCTGCAACAGCTGGTCAGCCAGCACCAGCGCCACCATGCTCTCAACCATAGGCACAGCGCTGGATGGGGGGAGGCGAGGGAGGCGGGGAGGAGAGAGGGAAGAAGGGGGGAGTTATGATGCTGGAAGGAAAGGGGAAAGAAATGTTTGTATTTAAACATGCAGAAGATATCAAGTAATGAGCGCATAGGAAAAGAGGGGTTGGAGAAGGGACAACGCTGGATAACATATTGTCGCAGGTCGCGGTGCATATCGCCAGTGCGAGACTTGGAGACAGACAAAGCGCCGTGTTCGTGTTCGTGTCTGTGTGTGCGCGCGGGGGGAGAGCCAGGAACAGGGTTTCTAGGTGTGCAGCAGGTGTCCCTCCTCTTTCCCGTCCCTTACCGCGGTACGACGCACGGGTCGTGTCGCCCCCGCGCCCGCAGCTCCGTCTCCTGTCCGTCCCTGGTGACGGTCCGCTGCTTGATCCCGATGGTGGAGGTGGGCTTGAAGGCCACTCGGATGACAATGTCCTCGCCGTTGCTCAGACCGCCCTGGACCCCCCCACTCCGGTTAGTGCGGGTGCGAACCTGCAGGGGCGGAGAGGGGGAAATTGGAGAGGGAGGGACAGCCGGGAGGGGGCAGCATGAGACGAAGGGAAGGGTCTTCCAGTAAAACTAAGACGGACCGGAAAAATGTACGTTGGGTTAAGGGAAGTGGGGTTGGGGGGTTGCGGCGCGGAACAGCTACTTATCCGGAACGGGTCTGCTAACTTGCTGGTCAAGAGCAGCCAAGAGCGCGGGCCGTTGGAACGCCGCGAGCCGTCCCTTCCTGTCTGCGGTGCTGACAGCCAGGTCACATCCCAACAGCCAGGTCCTCGCAAGGAGCACGAGTGCAATACACATACACATGCACTGCTTGACAGAGCCACGTAGCCGCCCGTCGTCGCCGCCCCATCACCCCCAGCTGCTCCCAGTGCCCGACCCCTTCACTACATGTGCTTACGGGAATTCCGTTCCCGAAAACTAAACCTTTGAACACCCGTACAAACTGCCAACTACCCTAGCAAGAGTTACTCCGTACATTCCCAAATACTGATGAAAATGCCCCGTGAGCCATACCCCTCCATGAGCCGTACGATCCCCTCCCCGGCCCCTCCCTGCCAACACATTCCCACCCACCCTGCCATGCTCGTCCATGTAGAACTCGTCATTGTGCTCCGACCCCAACATGGCGGCTCCCCGGAAGCCACTGCCAATCTCAAAACCCTGATCAGCGAGTAACGGGTTGGAGAAGGAGAATGAGGTCAGGGCAGTTAAAGTTAGATCATCAGTCACTCGATATGCCGTTACAGCAGTTGCGCACATCGCCTGTCCAGCAACAGAACCGGGGTCACAGCGGAAAGAGGATAATATGGCCATGACGATTAGGATATTACTGATGGTGGTGGTGGTGATGGCGGTGATGACGATGCAAACCAATAACAATGCAAAACCCAGGTGCCAACGTCCAAAGGTTCAACTGCCTAAATCCAAAGACAGCATGTCAACTCCGGAAGCAGTTCCGGAAGAAACTGGAGGGCGCCTCTCCAAAACCTCCTCCCCACCTGGCCCTGGGGGGCCAATGATCGGGTCTGCTCGCCTTCCCCTTACCCTCCCCTCTCCCTTTCCCCTCCTACCTTTGTGGCCGGCAGACTGAGCATGGCCTTGGCTAGCTCCGCCTCCAGCTTATCGAACACGGGTGACCCCAGGCCCTTAGGGCAGCGGCGGACCACACACGTCACCTCCCCTCCGCAGCTCTCACCCCGGGTGCGGACCTCGTTGATGGCTGCGAATGGCATGACAGGCGGGAGGGGAGGTGGGGGAGGTCGAGGTTGTTGCAGAAGGGGCCGGACGGATCGGCGCGCTAACAGCCCGCCTGACGCGCGCGCCTGCCCCCAGTGGTGTCTGCCCACACGCGGAGGTTAGCAGGCGTCCTTATTCACTGTTAACCTAATGCTCTTAGACAAGGGCGAATGCCCCCCAACCCCCCACTGGGTACGCCATGTGTGGTCACAAGGCACAGGACGCCTTCCCTGCATCAAAACCCACCCCCAGCACCTCATCACCCCCTCAGCCTCCCATCCCTTTCGCCTCCTCCCCCAGCGCCAACCCCCCAGCCCAGCAGCCCCACCATCGATCATCTTCGTGGCCGCCTGCTGGTCCGGGCACCTCACAATGTTGGACTCCACGTCCTCCAAGGTAAAGGAGGCGAGGTCCACGTGTGACTCGATGTCCCGGACTTTGGACACGAAGGCGAGGATCTGACAGCGGGTGGGAGGCAGGCAGGGTCCCGCGGGTCGGCAGGTCGGGGTGCATCATGATGGCGGTCGGGGAGCGGGAACGGTGCGCACGTGGAGGTGGTCTCACTAGTGGTGATGTGATGTGGCGTGATGTGGTGTGCCCAACATGCAAAGGGGCCAACGGCGCTACAGCGGCCTCGGTAGAGGAGGGGTCAGGAAGGGCGAAGTGAAGAGAGAGGTGTGTTCAGAGCCGACAGCATGCAGGACAGGGAACGGGAGTAAAGGAAGGGCACGCACACATTTGGAACAGGCGGGGGGGGGTGAAGGGGGCCCTGAGGAAGGAAAGCCGGCCAAGGAGGAGACAGGACAGAACCACGTGGGAGCCACGGCTGATTTGACGTGGCAATAGCAGTATAGCATCGCACACGACAGCCGGGAGATTTGGATAAAGCACTAAGAACCCAGATGGGTAGCAGGCATGGCCGAACGGGCTGCCATGGAAGGAGGCGGGGCGGGAGGGGGTGCACCCGAGGCCGAGCTGGTCGCAGACGTGACGCCGGCCTACCTCGGTATCACCGATAACCTTAAGAAGCTTCTTAGCCACGGCGCCTGCGGCAACCCGGCCAATCGTTTCTCGTGCTGAGCTGCGGCCGCCACCAGCTACCGCGCGGATGCCATACTTGAAGTCATAGGTGGCATCAGCATGGCTTGGCCTGTAAGCCACTGCCATCTCTGAGTAGTCTTGCGACTTCTGGTCCTTGTTGCGGGCCACAATCGCAATTGGGGTCCCGAGCGTGATACCGTCTACCACGCCCGAAAGGATCTCCGCAATGTCATCCTCCTTGCGTGGCGTTGTGATAATGCTTTGACCAGGCTTTCGGCGATCAAGCTCCAGCTGAATTTCATCTTCGGTAATTGGGAGACGTGGCGGCACACCATCGATAACACCGCCAACCCCCTTTCCATGAGACTCGCCAAAGGTTGTCACACGAAAGTTGTTTCCATAGGTGCTACCAGCGGCGTGCACGCTAAGTCGAAGTGAGCGGGAGCAATGGCGAGTGTAGCCGACGCGCGCACGGCGCCCTAGAAGACGTTGAGTAACTTCCATTTTTTAGGTCACCAATGCCAACAAATTGCGCAGCTGTTGTTTGAAATCAACCCTGCTCGTTTGCTCAAAGATCGTTTGTGGAACCACAACGAACTGCGTCGGTTTGGGCTGTAACCGAGGCTAGCTGCTTAGCGATGTGCATTGAAATACAGCAACGGCGGACTTGCACACCAAGCTAATATCTAGTTGTAGGTAGCATACAACGCAAGTCCGGTAGGGCGTAACGTAGTGTTTCCGAAGAATACGCTTTAATATCTTCGTGCGCTAATTGAATAGTACTAATCAAGGGTATGTAATGCTCTGAAAGCCAAAAGGTGGGATTCAATTGGTGACTACCGAACAGCAGCAGATGCCGGCATTAGACCGGCACATCGTCCATATGCATGCCAAGCAGCTTCATGTGTCCTATTCACGTGCTCACTTGAAAGGTTGTCATTATCCCCTGCGTTTATCGCAATTGATTAGGGCAGCCTCCGGGACCTCGGCAATAGCGTTTGTTCCGTACACGACGCACACTTCACACACACCAAATCATGAATTGACTGCTCTCTGCTGACAAGCCCTCATCCGATACCCCCTTCACCCCATCCAGGAGCGTGGCAAATCAATCTGAGGCACAGCGGTGCTGATGACATTATCAGCTGCACTCACCACCATCGCTGCTGCCGCCACTGCCGTCGCGGTCGTCCTAGGCACGCGCCAGCTTCGGCGGCGCATCCGACCCCAGAAGCCCTTCCTGTCCGTGTTCGCTGACACTACCGACCAGCCCTTTCCCCACCTGCCGCCCCAACCGGACGATGACGACGACGACTTCCAGCAGCGTTGTTGTGACTCTGGCTGTAGCAGCGGCGGCAGCGGTGGTGACAACACCGTGGCAGCCTCTACAGCTGCTGCTCCTGGAGCTACAGCCGCAGCGGCCGCCGCACCGCTACCTGAAGCAGCTCCAGGAAGACGTGGAGCTGCTGCGGGTGGCTCCCTACCTGCGGTGCACCCCTACCTGACCCGCATTAAGCGACTTATGGCCTCCACAGAATGCCCCATCCTGCGCCACCCGCCGCAGCCCCCACCGCTTCCACCGCAGATAACGAACCAACCCAAGCCGCCATCCATAGCACCGGCAGCAGCGGCACCACCACCACCACCAGCAGTAGCAGCTGCTGCTCAGGGCTGCTCCACCTCGGGGTCGAGGCCCGCTGCGACCCGTGGGTCAGTCCTCCCAGGTTTCCAGCTCCACTGGGTATCGAGTCCCAAGCAGCTGTACTGGCTGGGTCAGAGGCTGCGGCAGGTAGGCAGGTAGGCAGGTAGGCATAGGTAAGTAGAGGCAGGTAGGTAGGTAAGTAGGCAGGTAGGTAGGTAGGTAGGCAGGTAGGTAGGTAAGCAGGTAGGCAGGTAGGCAGGTAGGTACTGTGTGATGTGGCGCTGCTGTGTGGACACGGGGAACCTGGCCGTGATCTGTACAGCTAATTCTGTCGTATGTTTTTCAAAAGAACTAAAATGATAAAGCTTTGGCGGAGGGAGATGACGGAAAGGGAGACGGGGTGAGGGAGAGGGGAAAGGGGAAACACAAAACACCACTGCGCGTCCCCTTGGTTTAACCCTTTTTCGTGCTTCGGACGTGTCAGCAGTTGACTCAGTGCCTTTTGTATCCCCGGCATCAGCGTATGACTTCCCCTTCCAACTCCTCTGCCCTCCTCCTCCCCCCTTTTCGCCACCCACCGGCAGGAGCGGCAGATCGGTTTGGACACGGAAGCCTCCCCACTGCTATGCTACCACGGCAGGGTGTGCCTCATACAACTATCAGTCTGGGACGACACAGCCTCCCCGTGTGATGGCGGTGATGACGGGGGTAGCAGCGGCTGCAGCAGTGGCAGTGGCGGTAGTGGTGGTGGTGGCGGGCATGTGTGGCTGGTGGACGCTCTGGCACTACGTGGCCATGTGGGCGCTGCATTGGGTGGGCTGATGGCGGACCCACGGGTCGTGAAGGTGAAAGAAATCTGGGCCAGCACGCATCTGTACATCACTTTGCTTTGTACCGCATCATGGGTGGGCCAACCAGATGCACCCGCTGCGTATATGTGCTCCACTTCAAGATACACAACTCCGCTCAACGCCCCCAACCAACACCCCCAACCAACACCCCCAACCAACACCCCCAACCAACACCCCCAACCAACACCCCCAACCAACACCCCCAACCAACTCAACCGGCAGGCCCTCATCCTTCGCACCTCTTTTCTTCCCCCTCCCGATCCCCCAACCCGACTCCACAATATCTCATCATGCCTTGTACGGCTGTATCCGCGGATCAGCTCACACTGAATATATAGTTTTCCCAAGCCGCCTCCTGCCTTGTATCCTCCTCCTCCCCACCCTCCCCCCGCCATCTTCCTCCCCCTTCCGGTGCAGGTGCTGCATGGCGGAGGTAATGATGTGGTTTGGCTGCAGCGGGACTTCCGCGTGTACCTGGTCAATGTGTTTGACACGGAGAAGGCCAGCCAGGCGAGTGGGGGCCGGGGGGAGGGGGCCGGGGGAAGGGGGCATCCGGAGGTCGTTTTGCACCAACAGTACCCGTGCGACTGGTGTGACCAGTGGCGGAGTGTGAGATGTCGTGGAAGGGTGCATTACGTCAGGAAGATGAGTCGGATGACTAGAGGACAGCTTCAACGAGGACGAAGCTCTGTGTGCCTTTGTGCTTGTTGTGCCGTACGAAACTCTTTGTGGCGGCTCTTGTCGACCTGTATGTGAAAGTGATGGGGTTCGCTGGGGCAAGGCTCCCACACTGCCGCTGCTGCTGCAGCTCCTGCCATCGCTCCTATTGCTGCTGCCGGGGAATCCTTTCGAAGCTCACATGTGTGGCCCTGCTTGTTTTTGGTTGTTTTTGAAGGTACTGGGCTACGAGAATCGTGCCCTGGCCTCCCTGCTATCGCGCATTGTGGGCCTGGATGTGGGGGCCGAGAAGGCGGCGGGGCAGCGGGCCGACTGGAGGAGGCGGCCGCTGCCACCGGCACTGTTGCGCTACGCTGCAGCTGACGTGGCGTATTTGCCGTACCTTGCTGACGTACTTCGCAGGGAGCTGGCGGCGCTAGGACCACCCGGTGGGCCGTGTGTGTGTGTATGTGGTGGGGGGGGAGGGTAGTGGGAAGGAAAACCCCGAGAGCCCGGGGCTGGCCACGGTGGTAGAGCGGGGAAGATGTGAAGACAGTGCTGCAGTGATGACTTTGAGCTGCTTTGCAGCCAGCCGACCAACTCACCGGCGGTTTCTGTTACAGTGCACCGAACCGCTCCTCCACCTGCCCCCTTGTCACCATTCCACCTGTCCCCTCCCCCTCCCCCTCCTCCTCCTCCTCCCCCTCCTCCTCAATACACCTGCGCCCCCGCTACCGCCCTGCCAGGACGGGACTGGCCTAATCCCCCTCCTCCTCCTCGCCCGGCTGACCCGGTACTGGGCCACCGGACACCCGCTGCTGGGGAAGAACCCCCTCAGCGGCCAGGAACCCGCCACGTGGCTGCTCCGCTGGTGGGGCCGCCGCCGCAGCAGCTGCAGCAGCAGCAGCAGCAGCAGCAGCAGCAGCACATGTGCGGCAGGGCACCAACCCAGGGAGGACCAGTAGCTGCAGCGGGAGCAGCAGCAGGCCCCAGACCCATGTGTACGGCACTGGGACAAGCGGTGCTCCGAAGCCATCAGCTGAGTCTCACGCTATACAAGAAGCCGCTGTCGGATGCGGCGGTAGCGACGGGCAGCGCTGCCCCCGCCGGCACTGCCACGACTGCCGCCGCTGCCGTACTGCGCAAGTTCTTTTCTGCTGCAGCACTGCCGCAGCAGATCGTGACGGCGACGTCGGGCGCAGCCCCTTCTGGTGCAGCCGCGGTGGCGGGTGCAGCCGGAGCGACGGTTACGGCGACGGCAGCGGCAGCAGGTGCCGTACTGGCGCTTTGCCGCTGGCGCGATGCGACTGCTCGTCGTCTGGATTTGGGTCCGCAGCGGCTGCTGCCGGATGTGGCAGTGGCGGCGCTGGCAGCTGTACGGCCCCCACCTGCTGGCGGGCAGGCGCTTCTGAGGTTGGTTTCGGAGCAGCTGGCGGCGGCGAACCAAGTAAGTGGAGTGGGTGTGGGAGCTGTGGACCGAATTTGACCGTTCGTATGACCTCCCGGGTGGGAGGGAGAGGTCCGACGTGATGCCACCAGGTGATGCTGGTACACAGCTGTACGGTAGTTCACGGCACCTAACCGTACCGTTTGACCGTACATTATCCTGGCTGCGGGCCTCCTATGCCCAGGGTCTGCAAGCCGAGCCGTACACTGCGCGGTATGAGATCTGTACGGCGCTACGTTCCCAAGCTGAGGCACTCAGCGGGCTGCTGACGGCGACAGCGGCGGGCCGGCTGACGGCGGCGACGGCAGCAGCATCGGCGGCGGTCTCGTCGGCGGTGGAGGCGGGGTCGAGAGCCGTACACCAGCCGGGCGACCTCGCCGCGGCCGGAGCCGCTGGTCGCCGTACCCGCCACGACCCGGCCGCTGCTCGGGAGCGTCGGAGCTGGCTGATTGAGAAGTTTAGCGCCAAGACGCAGGTGGATGGGTGGGTGGGTGAGTGAGTGTGTGGATGGGTGGGTGGGTGAGTGAGTGTGTGGTGATTTCGCCTTCCTCCCTACCTCCTCGCCCCCCTTCTCCCGCACCCTCTCTCCCGCCCCTGCTACAGGTGTATCAGAACTGCCGCATGCTGAGTCACGAGGGGCAGTTGCTTTGCTTCTGTGACTCCCGGAAGCTGAGGTGGTACTTGAATAAAGGGCTGGCAGTGCAGGTGGGTACGCGGGGAGAGGGAGGGGGGAGCGGCCGGCTGGGAGTGATGTGTGAGGAGGTTACGGCTGCAGGGCTGTGCCGCCGTGTGTGCTCTCATTCGCCGGCGGTTGGTATCGTTATCCGTCGTCGTCCTCCTCGTCCTCCTCCTCCTCGTTGTCGCAGCAGCGGCGAGAGCGAGGGGGCGGCGAGGGGGCTGGGGGGGAATGGACGCGTCAGTAGGGGGGGGGAATGACCCACACGGAGGGTGAGGTGAGGGTGAGGTGAGGTGGTTAGGTTGGGTTCATATGCTGGTGGGTCGCAGCCGCGTACCTCCCCCCCACTCCGGTGTATTGCCCTCCGAAGCTAAATACACGTCTTGTCAAGTGCCTCCCCCCAACCCCCCTCTCCACATTCCCCCCGGGGCCCCACAGGTGTGTGAGGACCCCCCCACCATCCAGTTGCTGTTCGAGCACCAGAATACCGACCAGAAACTGGGTGAGCAATTGGGGGGTCACCGGGCCACGGGGCGGGAAGGCGTGAGGGAGGGTGAGGGAGGTGGGGGGTGAGGGAGGTGGGAGGTGGGGGGTGAGGTACAGGAATGTGGCCCTGGCGCCTTTTCATTCACGAAGAGGTGGAGAGATCCTTTAAGCCTTACCGATGGAGCCGCGCACTGCAAACCCTGTGCTGCCAGCTCCTCCTCTGCACCCATCGCCCGCCGTGCCCCCCTACGCACTTATCACCCACCCACCACCCGCCACAGGCACCGACGACTTCTATACGCAATCCAAGTCCAATCGCTGTGTGGGTTGCGGCTGTAGCAGCCACTACCTGCGCTACCGGGTGCTCCCCGCCTGCTACCGCCGCCACATGCCCTCCGCCCTCAAGAGCCACCGCTCACACGATGTTGTGCTGCTGTGCATCGACTGCCACGAGCTGGCACAAAAGGTGGGGATTTGGGGGCCCCTGGGCGGTTGGGTGTGGGGAGTTTCAGGGGAGGAGAGCAAAGGAGGGGAGGTGGGTGCTAGGGAGTCCGGGTATGTGTGACGGAGGACGTGTGTGTGGTGATATGTATGTATAGCGGGCTGCACAGGGCTCGGGGTGTGTGTGGGTGTGTATCGGCGTCTTTAGCGGATGAGCGAGGTGTGGGCCTCGCTTCTCCCCCCCCCCTCCCCCTCCTTTAGTTTTTTTTGGGGGGGTTGGGAGGAGCACTTGCATACCGACAGCCTTTCAGTATCAGCAAATCCGCCTTTTTCTCCAGGCCAGCAACTTTACGCCACCTTTACGACAGCACTATTTTACTGGCCGCCTTCACTACTACGTTTCTACACCTACTTCTTTACGGATTGGCTATACTATTCAGCTTTTTAATTCTGGCGGCTTAGGTAGGTAGGAGTTCCAACATCAACGTCACTTCGTCATTCCGAGGTCACAGTCGTCACAGTCGCCACGGACGCCTTTCGGTCAGTTTTTACGTTTGCTACTCTCTTGCCCTGGCAGCAGCTTCAATCGTGTGTGGTTCGTCTTTCCCCCCTCCAAAAGTTTCGGCTTCGGCCCGGCGAATGACTGGGTTCGGGTCATTCGTACGGCAACTGCGGTCGAAACTCCCAGCAAGCAGTATTGGTCGGTCGAGGAAGTGGTTCCGTGTTCGGCCCTGGGGTGCGATGCTTACCGAGGGTCGCCGCCGTTCACTTACGTCATGCATTTTTTTTGCATTGACGTACACGACCCGCCGGCCGCATCTTCACGTCTCGGACTACTTCTTCTCGACTCCGTCGTCATGGTTTCTCTACTCACTTCTTCTTATTCTTATCCTATTCAACCGCGACTTTACAACCAGTTGCAACTTTACATCACAGCCGCAAATTTCACTGCCAGCCGCGAATTCCGAAACAGCCGCGATTTTGCTGACAGCCACTTTTTCGTCAGCCAGGTCACACCGCATATCGGGAGGTTGGGTATGGGCTGTTTTTCCTGGTTCTGGCTATGCCTCGCCAGCGCCAGCGTCGTCTTTTGAAGCTCGGATTCCTGCGGACGCCGAAACGCTGGATCGCTGTGAAGAGTTGCGGGGCACGGCGCGTAAATCGTCCTTGGCAGGTGAGTCCAAAGGGTGGTTCGAGCTTCTTTGGTATATCGCGTTGGCGTCGGTAGGCTAGCCGGAATAGAATAGTCGGGTCGGTCGGGTCGGTCGGGTCGGTCGCGCGTTTTAGTTTTTTTTGGGGGGTTGGGAGGAGCACTTGCATACCGACAGCCTTTCAGTATCAGCAAATCCGCCTTTTTCTCCAGGCCAGCAACTTTACGCCACCTTTACGACAGCACTATTTTACTGGCGGCCTTCACTACTACGTTTCTACACCTACTTCTTTACGGATTGGCTATACTATTCAGCTTTTTAATTCTGGCGGCTTAGGTAGGTAGGATTTCCGACATCAACGTCATTTCGTCATTCCGAGGTCACAGTCGTCACAGTCGCCACGGACGCCTTTCGGTCAGTTTTTACGTTTGCTACTCTCTTGCCCTAGTAGCAGCTTCACTCGTTCGTGGTTCGTCTTTCCCCTACAGGGTCCACCCACAGCCTTCCAGTAGCACCTTCTCCCACCCGCTTCCCCTTCCCTTCCTGATACCGCTGTTGCTGACCTCCGGCCCCGGCAACCCCCTGTACACCGGCCCCAGGTTCCGCACATGTTTCGTGGAGGCTCTACAGCCGCAGTACCTGCCCCCCGCCTGGGGAGTGGCCACTCGGCCTGCCGGGACTTCGGACCCTACTCCGTGTATGCCTCAAGGGAGGGCCCCCAGCGGCAGGAGGAGTGTGGAGGTGGGCATGGGGAGGGGCATGGGCAGCAGGGGTGCCATGAGGAGGGGGAGGGGGAAGGGATGGATTGAAAGCCGTGAGGGCAGGAGCAGACAGAGAGGGTTTGGAGGCGGGTTCAGGTTGACATTTTAGGGCATTGTAAAGCGCCCTTCGTGGGACAGGGCTGGAGCGTGATGGGCGGCGCCGTAGGCAGCCAGTATGCCAACGGTTCCCCTCCAGGGATTCCAGATGCCAAGTCTTCAGGGGAACCTATCTGTACTTGTATCGCTCTCACCACCACCAGTATCGTACTCGAGTCTCCACATCCAATTCCCCACGACCCATAAAACCCAAATTGAATGACCACCCAAAGAGCTTTGTGGCGGGCTTTGGGAGGGAAGTTGAGAGAGCGCTATGTGATAGATGATATTGAGGTTTTCAGGGAACACTTTGCTGCACTATTAAATTCAGGTGTGGGGGAGACAGGGCCTGATGGTTTGATTCGGCTTATTGCTCAGTCCTGCCGTGTTGCGTTACAGTAGCTGAGCCGTCAACCGCAAGCGCAATTCATTAGCAAAACAACCCGTTGCGAAACCCCCTCCCAACACCAACCCATTGTGAAAGTTGCACTAGTGGCCGATAGTAATGACAGGTCTTGAAAGGACCCACAAGTGCAACGATCGCTGGTCGGTATAGGTCAAGAGGGTCATCGCCCATGCCCCAGCCGCGGTGCTGTCTTCACCATTATGCTCTCGAAACCTCCGCACTCTTCCAGCACCCCGCTTCTGCATCAAGCTGCAATCCGCACGGTTGTTAACGGCAGCGGTCACACCTTCAGAGTGCAGTGAGTGTGTTCCAAAGCGCGGAGACAGCCCTGCCTCCACAAAGAGCCTCCACAGGGGCCCCGGAGCAGTCTGTATGGTTGGGTGGGATGGTTGTGTTGAGCGGCGTGGTATGCTGCTCCAAGCTCGGCATGCCATCCGAGTTGGCCACGACCCAGCGGAGGGAAGGGATGGTGGTGACGATGCCGCACAACCCATATCGTGTCCATCGGTGCCGCTTGCAGCACACACGGACCACTACAAGTGGGGCACGATATGTGTATCAGGGTCTGCATTTCAGGGGTGGCACTGGCACAAAGTGGGCGCCGTCGGCAAAGTCCACTGGGAATGCAACCGTGTACCATCTTGGCGGGTGGATACCCCTTGGGTGACCCCGAGTGGACGGGACTATGCCCTCTTTGAGTAACACAGACTAGCTTGGACGAGCGGAAAAGCTGCAGCCAAGACTAAGCTATCACGACTATTACTGTAATTATTACGATGATATGATGACTATTATTATGGATTTTATGGATTTGGGCCACCAGGTTGCATGAGGCCCGAGAGACATGGTGGACCAAAGCCGTGCCTGGTGGCGGTTGCATGCATCAGGGCTTGTCCGATGATTGCGAAGGCGGAAACACCACCCAGCGACATTCGCACCCTGTCGCATGTCAGTATCTGGTGAAATTGTAAGGGGGAGCATTAGGTGACTGCTGTCGATGTGACTAAGGCAACTGCAAATTATCCTCGTGACCCCACGGTCTGCCCAGTTGTGCAAAAAAAGCAGGGTTTAGCAGCCAAACGAAAGTGCCATGCTACTTGAAGAGCGCGTCCGCGAACTGGTGGCACTCAAGAGGGAAACAATCCGCTAAGAGATCCAAGCCCTATTACCAGAGCAGTGGTGCGCACGCGTCATGTGCATGGCCACAAGGGGTCCACCTTTGGATCATCAAGTCTTTAGCAGGTTGGCTTTGATTGTCACCAGCACCCGCTGGGCGTCCAAGCACCCCTGCCGAATGAGGCTCGGTAACACATTAAACATCGCCGACAGTTCCAGGAGTCTGAGATGGACCCTCCAGTTCCGATACCCACCAGCCCACAGCAAGGGCACCGTCCTCAAGGACCCAACCAACCCAGCCGCCATACGAAAACTCGGAACAGCATCTGTGTGGATGGCAGATGGGTGCGCGTGGGTAGGTTGCCAAAAGAGTTTAACCCACCCTAGACTGCAAAGAAACGAGCACGATTTGGCGACTCCGACAGCTCATGGCTGGCGGCAGGACCAGACCTGGACCGGTAAAACTGTGGACCACATTGGGGCAGCGATAGCGACATGCCCGAAAGGTCCGCGATCTCATGCACCCAGTAGGGAGTACAGCTGTTGAACGCTGCGCAGGTTCAACCATCCTCTGCACTGCGAGTCTCATCCTTTCGGTACGAATGGAGCCGTTGATGGTGTCAACCCGCCCCCAAGTATTCCGTCCACTGCTCAGGTTCGAAAGGGCATTCCTGGTTACTAGTTGATGATCCCCCGTTAACCAAGTCGGTGAGAACCCGCTCTCGCCGCTGGTAGGGCGCCCGCACCCTGGTGTGCGAAAAAACCCCAACAGGCTGGTGCCAGCCTACTGGGCACTGCACAACCTGGGAAAATTCGCCCTTGCTGTGCAAAGCCTAAATTGCCGAGCTTCCTTTTGCATATCAATGTGGTGATAGCCGGACTTCTGAGACACGGTGGGCAGATAGCCGTGTGGTTGCGGCACTTCACACAAGCATCCCACGGGACTTATACCTGTAGCTCGGCACCACACGGTGCTCGATAATATAACATAACGTGCATCAGAAATTAGGCGGAATTTGGGAGTGGCCTTCTTTAGGAACAAAACCGAGGGGCAATACGCGGCGCAGTTGGCAGTCGACTCGTGGTCCCGCCCCAGTTGCGACCAGTTCGGTGATCGCAAAATTCAGTCTGCTGTTAGGCCGACGGTTGGTCAGGCTGTAGGGTGCTTCGCACAACAGCGGAAACCGAACAGTACCCAGGCCATGACCAGGCGGGACTGCATAAATAACTTCCAACATGCTGTTTTGGCTTTCAACCGGGCCCTCATCTGTGATGGCTTAGGTTTGTCTGCGCGCGGCAAGCTCGGCCCGGCCCTCCTTGCCTTCAATGTCGGGACAACTCTCATGTCATCCACGCGCCGGGTGCACTTGTTCAGGGCCTGTCGGTACCGGTGTTCTCTCCGGGGAAATGCGGACACCTTGGTTGCGGGCACTGGGTTGCCGTGTCACGCCTCTTATGGTGCCCTTGTGTCGGCCGACTCGAGGCCGGTCCGGCATCCGTAGGATAAACTTGCGTTTGACGCGCTGGTATAACCAGTGCTGCTGAGGGATCGCTATATTTTGAGCCAAAGAGTAACCGTAGACTTGGTCTTGTTGCCGATTGCGATGGTGTTGAGCCATTGCTGCGTACATAAGATCGCGCCCGACGAAGATGCACTGTCTGGTGACGACCACAGTGGTCGAAGCTGTATGACTTTGGCACAACCCCCGCCGATGTGCGGCCGGGCGCGCTGGTTGTTGCAGGCCGCCGGTCAGGAGACGGGAAAAGGGGCCAATCCTTCTTAAGTAAGCCTCTTCCTTCATTGAATATCGGGACAAGATCGTTTAGTAGACGAACGCGTGTCTGCAAACGCGCATGGACAGGTTCCCTTGAATGGCAATGAATTAGTAGCCATGTCCTGTTTGCTGGGCACCCAGGAAGATCTTGTATATGTAGTGTGTTAAGATCTAGAGACGCGGCGGCAAGGTACGCGACGCACGAAGGCGAAGTCGGGATGTATCGGGGAAAACTGATGTGATGAAGCGGGAGTATGGAACCAGTGCGCTGTCTTCTTGTGCTTGCCCGGAGTGGGCACTCATGTTGGATGGTTGGGTAGCTGATGTGAAGTGGGGGCAAGGAAGGAAATTGGGTTTCTGCATACCCGCGCAGCTTTAGCACCAAAAGTGATTTAAGCCTGCCCACACAGTAGGGCACGACAGACTGATTTAATGGGTCTTGTAGCCTCTTTACCCTACCGCAGTCACTTGAGTATGTACCCTTTGCGGGGGTGGGGTGCGTCACTGTCGACTGCCAAAGTAATCACAACTGCGCGCCACATCCGGCCAGAACCACAGTGAAGCCGGGCAGTATTAGAGCTCTTCTCACAAGAGACTTCTGGCCACATCCAGCCTAAGCACAGCGAGTGTCCAAAATTGCTGACCACATCCGGCCTCGTAAGCAGCTTGTGTGGGATGTTACTGGCCCCTCCAGCCTGTAGCTGTCGGTCTCCAAGCAGGGGAGAAGAATATCGGAACCGTTAGTAACCTTAAGCAATTGCTGCGCGAGATCCGAAAACTGCCCGGCCCATGCGGCCGCCTAAGCAGTCAGTGCGCGAGGTCCAAAAAACTGCCCGGCCCATGCGGCAGCATGAGCCGTCTATGCGCGAAGTCCCAAAACTGCCTGGCCCAAACGGCCACATAAACAGGCGATGCGCAATTCCACGAAAACTGCCTGGCCCAAACGGCCACATAAACAGGCGATGCGCAATTCCACGAAAACTGCCTGGCCCGAACGGCCACCTAAACAGGCGATGCGCAATTCCACAAAAACTGCCTGGCCCAAACGGCCACCTAAACAGGCGATGCGCAATTCCACGAAAACTGCCTGGCCCAAACGGCCACCTAAACAGGCGATGCGCAATTCCACGAAAACTGCCTGGCCCAAACGGCCACATAAACAGGCGATGCGCAATTCCACGAAAACTGCCTGGCCCAAACGGCCACATAAACAGGCGATGCGCGAAGTCCCAAAACTGCCTGGCCCAAACGGCCACATAAACAGGCGATGCGCAATTCCACGAAAACTGCCGGCCTATACGGCCTCACAAGCAGTTGATGCGCGAGGTCCACGAAACTGCCGGCCCGAACGGCCTCACAAGCAGTTGATGCGCGAGGTCCACGAAACTGCCGGCCCGAACGGCCACATAAACAGGCGACGCGCGATATCCACAAAACTGCCGGCCCGAACAGCCTCCCAAGCAGTCGATGCGCGATATCCAAAAACTGCCGGCCACATTTGCCCGCGCAAGCAGTCCAAGCGCGATAGTACTAGCTAAATATAACCTTGGGGAAAGCGCTCTCGGCTTCGTGACTTGTGGTAGTTAAGCCCGGTGTCCGGTAAGTTGCTGTGGCGCATCACACCGCCAGTGCCTGAAGGGGGCCGGTGGACAGAGCCAGGGTAGGTTACATGCCTGCTGCAGGAGCTTGTCGCGTTAGCCCAGCCGTTGACACCCACGCTGCCTGCTGGCCGCGTGAGCCCAGTGTGAGTGGTGGTGGTTCGTCCATTTGGGCGTCCTCGAACATGCGATCCCCCGTTGCCCAGCGTCCTGGCAGGTTGTAAACCTTGCCCCGGAAATGTGGCGAATACGACAAAGGATCTGTACAACATTATTTGTAACTGGGTGTGACAGCCGGAGAATTCAGTAGTTGTGTAACAGTATGTGTGAAAGACGCTCGAATAAACGACACCGAAGTGGTACGCATTAGAATTCACAACTCAAGATAACAACATTTCATAGCGGATTTGAACTCCTAATGTATGGTGACGTTCCTAGCGGCAATGGAAGCTAAATAGCGGAGGTTGTTTACCCACGTGACAGCTTTCAGCAACGCCTGACCTTCTTCGGACGCATCATCCGCCATTGCTGTTCAAATTACGTTAATGCGCTCAATGGCGACGCGCACAACCTTCACCAAGGCCCAGGATCCGCGTAATTGCGGGTGGCTGGCTAAGGGCCGGCGGCTCCGCACATTGTAAAAGATTATCGCTTCGGGCTGAGCTAACATCAGCTGGGTTAGCTCCTCGTGCTCCTTCAGCCTCCGGTTGAAGTAAGCGGTGAGTGCTGGCGAAATAACTCGCGCTCCTCAGCTAGCTGCTGTTCGAAGACGGCCCGCATTTCGGGAGTGAGTACTAATCTTTCTGCGCCCGCAGCGCCAATTTCCATAGCCGACATTCGATTCTGGTAACGCTAGAAAAAGACGGTGCAACACAAAACTAGAGGACACTGTCCCAGCAGCGGGACACGCCTCTTGGTAATAGTCAAAACAACGGCAGTTAAAGAACCAATGCGCCTGTGGGACCCAAGTAAGGAGCTCGGCGTCCCCTGCCGTACTGTGGTCCGGCATATGCATGCATGCATGCGCCCTACTTCCACGCACCACGGCAGTTCCTTCGCAATAACTTGCCTATCTCTACACTCATACTTCGCTTCGAGAAGTCGAAGCTTTTGAACTACCATAAATACTGCCCCATATACCGTAGTGCTACTTATAGTTCGTGATCGCTTTGTTTGGGGAGGGATAAAAAACTTTCTGAAATTTGTACGTGCT